ATCAGGTTTTGATGAAGCAAGCTCTTTGGTGGTTGTGAGCGATAACTGATCGATATGTGCTCGTTCTCACCAGTTTACACTACATTTAATTAATTCTTTATGTTAAATAAATGCAATCAAGATTCTATTTATCCGTGTTTAAAACAGTTGCAGGTGCATAATTTTTGTTTTGATGTGTTTTCGTGTTGCTCTGTTGTTCAGACAGTTTGAAGTAAAAAATCCTTGTAAGCACCGTTCGAAGTTGAGTCAAAACAAAAAAGCAGTTACATCACTTTTTTAGCATATTGTATTTTAAAGATCTCTGCATAGTTATCTAAAGCCGTGAATATACAAAGTGCAGTTGTTTGTTTCAAGGATAATTTCACGAGACTCGAATCGGTGCAGGGTACCTGTTCTTTCAATTTTCGCGAACTTCTTACTTAGAATTCAGTGACTGATTTGGACCATCAAAAGTAAAGAGACCCGGTCCTTAAAAACGAAATACTCAGGGTATGGGCAAAAATATTTGGATTAATGAAATTATGAGTTCAGAACGAAAACCCAAGAATTTTAAGTGTCTTGATGTTTTAGGAAACAAGAAAGGGCCATTATGCTGACTGTAACCTAAGCAGGCTACACCTTTTTGAAATAATAACTTTTGTTAAAAGTTGAAGAACCAACAGTATTATTAAGATAAGAAGAGTATTAGAAAAACCACATTCTAAAAGATCAGGCGATTGAGCACATAACTTCAGATATATCTTGTTAGACTGTATATTTGGTTAACGTTTTGCAATTATGTTGCTGGTTTCTGTCAAATTACCCACTTTGTGGTATTTTTAAAAAGAATTTTCGAAGAACGTAAGAGTAAAGTGAGTGGGATGTCAAATACACAAAAGCACGAGGTTTTATAGGGAAAAACCTGCAGCCTTGGACGTAGCTGATAAGATAGCCTCTTCAATGCCTATTTGGCAGCTTGTATGTGTAGTAGAGCGATTCAACCAGCCCTCAAATTAACATTCAGGACGTATTGATTATATTGAACGAGCGATCGGCACCGAAATGAGGGTAGGGGGGGTGCGAAGTCTCAACATCCCCCCAGGGTCGTAAAGTGCAATAATGCTGTGAATAACAACAGCAAGTCCTATTTTTTTGTCGTATCCCTATATCTTCAAATTAAACTTTGTTGTTATCAGTTAGTATTTTAAAGAAATATGCAAAGACGTATTAAACCTTGCTGCGATCAGAGAATCCAAAAGCCCATTTATTTCGTTTGCTTTATTCAGATAAACGTCAGTCGGTTTTCAGTCTCAAACAGTAATCCAACAGACTTTCCGAACTAAGGCTGCTTTATTTGAGGTTGTAAGATTCAGCTACTAATTCTGTTAATAGTTCGATGTGCAAAAAATTATCACCATATTTTACAGGCTGCTTTTATGAAATGTTGAAGTATTCAACACTCTGAAGACTGCCATTCAATGACCCTGCTAGATAAAGAAACGAGTTTTGTATTTTATACCTAAAAGAAACCCAGTAGCAAATAACTTGTAAACAAAGACCAAGTTCTAAAGTGGCTCTCTATGATGAAAGAAACCGAAAGTGAAGGATCCTTGATTTCAGTCCTTCTTCCCAACAAAAGATTAATTTAGTCGTCGCGTTCTGTATCAAAGACAGTTAAATAGTCTTTTAGCTATAAAATTAAAACATTTCCGAGAAAAAATTAGTTGTTGTCAAAATGCAAATGGAGAAGAGTTAAAGACAAGTGTGTTTAATTTGTGGATAGATCCTTATCAGAATCACCTGCATTGCTAATGAGTCTTTCAATTTTTAATAACGGACCAGATTCCCTCATATTTTTCGCATTTTCTATCAGTGGCGTAACCGGAGTCTATTTGCAAAGGGAGGAGGTTAGGGGGAATCGGGCTCGAATAAATTTGTCTTGCTTGCCTGGTTTTTCAATGTCATTTAATTGCTGCCATTCACCAATCTAGCCGTATGTTAACTAGATATATTATCTACAAGTGTAACTGAGAATTTTTGTGAGTCAGAGGTTTTTGACAAGCTAACTGGTGGACTTGGTTGCTTGTATGCGGGTTGAGTCAAAATAACACTTGCTTCAATGGCCTAAGTCGAAATGGGGACCTTTCCTGATTGTTCTTATGAGCGAAATTATGTTGTTGATACATCTGTTTTCTACTGTGTTACGAGAATCGGATGGTTATGAGAGCAAAGGAACCTCCTCAATAACACTTGATCCAATGGCCTAAGTCGAAATGGGGACCTTTCCTGATTGTTCTTATGAGCGAAATTATGTTGTTGATGCATCTGTTTTCTACTGTGTTACGAGAATCGGATGGTTATGAGAGCAAAGGAACCTCCTCAATAACACTTGATCCAATGGCCTAAGTCGAAATGGGGACCTTTCCTGATTGTTCTTATGAGCGAAATTATGTTGTTGATGCATCTGTTTTCTACTGTGTTACGAGAATCGGATGGTTATGAGAGCAAAGGAACCTCCTCAATAACACTTGATCCAATGGCCTAAGTCGAAATGGGGACCTTTCCTGATTGTTCTTATGAGCGAAATTATGTTGTTGATGCATCTGTTTTCTACTGTGTTACGAGAATCGGATGGTTATGAGAGCAAAGGAACCTCCTCAATAACACTTGATCCAATGGCCTAAGTCGAAATGGGGACCTGTCCTGATTGTTCTTATGAGCGAAATAATGTTGTTGATGCATCTGTTTGCTACTGTGTTACGAGAATTAGATGGTTATGAGAGCAAAGGAACCTCCTCAATAAATGACAAAGAAAGTGTTTGTATGATGAAAATCTAGCTGTTTTCATGAAAAGGCACAAATAGGCATAATACAGAGCTATAAAGAAGTTACAGGAAGAACAGGAATTTGTCATATATTGATTCATGAATGAACCTTCATTATCTATAATATATATATAATATTTTTATGGGAACTTAATAATATAATATGCTTTCCTAGAACTTTTCTGGGTATATAAAAACCATATCTGAAGGCAACGATATTAATGCCTTGGTTAAATTCCCCGTTGCTTCAATAGAGGCGGCACGTTGCTGGTAACACAGAATTGTGTGACGTCAGTTTTCTTCCATTCATCATCGCAGGCCATGTCATATGACCCGTCTAATTTTTCACTATTAATCTAAAAGTATGAATTTAATGAATCAGTTAATACCGAGTTTCATCGTCACAACGCCTATGATTTAATCTTAAACTGCTTAAAGCCATTTTATAAGATTTTAAACATAGTGATAATTATCAATGAGAGTAATTTAAACGAGTGTTCATGATCGCCGCTAATGCTATTATTCTCTGGGAGTTCGTTATCGATCCAAAGCGCACTCCATACAAAACTTATCAAATCAAACAACGCTAAACTTTGTTGTTAGACAGGACAATCCAAATGAAGTCTATTTCGAATTTTCCAACATTAATCTGCTGTCAAAAATGTATATCTTCTTTCATATGGAGGAATTTAGAACCACGTGCTTGAAATTCGAATGTCTTATTTTGATTAAAATTTTTCCAGTTACTAGACTTGTTCAGCTATTTCTACTGTCTTGTAGAGAATTCATAAAAGGTCGAATCCCTGAAATACCTTTTAATATAAGTTGTATTTTGTATTACAAATATTTTCGGCTATAACTACTTGTGAGAGCCAGAACGGTCTTACATTTTCTACTCTTTCTTTGTTAATTGTATTTATGTCTTCAATTTGACTCCCCCTTTGCAATAAATATCGAATCATCTGTTAAGGCATTATTCCTTGCTACAACTATCATTGAATACTAGTGACAGTTTTCTTTTGCGTCAAACGTTCAGGTCAACTTTGTGACTTGCCAACATAATGAAGGGCTTGGAAAAATTACATCATTGACTCGACTTTTTGTATAAAGACAATCTTGCCGCTGACTGTAAAGAAACGAACAACGAATTCTTAAACTGGATTATCTTGAGCCAATTTCTGCTGCCACTTTCTCTTCTGTTAGGCAAGAGTAGCCATTTCTTCTGACGTGTAAACTGATGCCATTGTAGGATAAGTACGAGACTAGACTGCTTGACGCCCTTTCACCTCTCACCTAAGCACCACACAAACTAATTCCTTAATTTCATTCAACCAAAGTATGCTACGGGCAATTTTTTTCTTTTGTTTATACTTTAAAAACCGCGCTAACTCGGAAGTTTTAATAAAGATTTTGTTAAATCCGCTTTTTTGACCCAATGTTTTTGAGAGGTTTGTTCGTGTCTACATACAAATTATCAGAGGCAAGCCTTTTGTAACGTGCGACTAAAGCTGGTATCTATAAGCTAAAGCCATTACATAAAATCCATTAAGTTTGTAAAGCCATTAAATCGAATTCATTAATTACTTTTGGATTAATTAATAGATTTAGTACAGTCAAAACTTTCATTCCTTAACACCATACTTAGTAAAATCTATAAGTTGTGTCGGTTGTTTGAAGGATATGGGTAAATATTGCATTCATATTCAATAGGAGTTTGTATTCGTTGTTGGGGGTGCTACAAAACGATTTAGAAACTACTTTCTATACGTCTCGTTAGGTCAAGAGCAGTATCTTTTCACATTTAAACGTTACCCACCCTATGTACCATCCATTCTATGTGTCCCTATTGCATTGCATTCTTTAACTTTCCGTAATTCCTCAGAAATGTTGAGAAAATAAATTTTAACGGTAAAACCTTTAAAAAGAATGGCTAAACTCGGGTGATTTTCTTCATTTTGAAGTAGTTATCCTGTCATACCATGTGATGTTATCATTAAAAATAAATCTTTGTATTTTGTCGCCCACGATTGGCATAAAAAAGCTCCTTCTTCCATTTAACCATAAAAATATGGCATTTATTTACAATATATATACATTGTACTCTCTTGTGAAGAATGGAACTCCAAATGCTGTTAAATTTACTTACTGGGTCATTTCTAAGTGCTACATATTAAATTATTTTTCTTCTAATTTCAGAGAACCTGCTTGAGATGCTGCAGTTTTATGCCCAATGCCTCGATAGCCCAATGATCAGTTTGTGGAGACAGCTTACTGACGATCCAACTTGTTCAGATAAAAGGTACAAAGATATGTTTTAAAGTTTCTAACTCGTTTCCATTTTGTCAGTTTTCTAAACTTAATTGCCAAGTATCATAAATACAGTTTTTGATTTAATATACAATTTTAGACATTTCAAGTTACACAAACGCCATTTCATTTGCACTGGTAAAGATATACCGTGTCAATGCCAGCGCTTGTAAGATTTGTGCAAAGTATTTAAGATTTCCCTTCCAAGCTTTGTTGTTGCAGTTATCAACCCTTTAATGCTCGGTCTTAAAGCTTTGCGTGTGCAATGCTGTGAAGTTTAGGGACTTTGTACTGTTGTTGAGTTGATTTGTCATTTTTGCTGTAAAGTTCGATTGTGTTATGTGATCATCTCATTTTGGACTCAAACACCCAGTGTCGATTTTTTTACTGAAACAGACACATAAACTTCCCTTTTCAGTGAGAAGATGACCCCCCAGTTGGAACATCAGGCTACAGCCCCCTTTAAAACGAGTAGCATCCGTCTAGGCAACCATGTTCTCATTCATATTCTCTTTTTTTACTTTTGTTATTTAATTTTTAGCTTGGATGAAGAAAGCCAGCGATCAAAAATACCCATTCTACTTTACGACGTTTCATCGCTTCTTATCCAGTTTGTTCTTACTTGGCCAACCTGGATTTCGATAGGTGAGACCTGTTTTTTCCACGCTTATGTTCCTTAACGTTTGAGCTTTTCCTACTTAGATTTTATTTAGAACCTTCTCACTCCTGAAGTCATGCTCTCTGAATGTTTATATTTGTATTCTAGCTTAAAAAACATTGTTTCATATGTGGACTAATAACGATAGCACAAAGGAGTTTCGTGTTTATTTTTTTGTTCATTTGCATGGAGAGTTGTTAACATTTGTTTTCAATTTCAGATCATTTCAAATGCATTGTTAGAGTACTTTACAATGTCAACGTGATTCAGGTAATGTTTAGTGTTATCTTTATCGATGTGACGCTGTAGAACCCGTTCTTTCGGACAAGTCCGCTCACGCGGCTTTTGCTAAGAATTTAGTCTTCTCGTGCGAATCTCCAAGCAGAATATTATCCGTTCCTCACAATCCCCGAAATGTTGAGTCTTCTTAAGGTATCTTAAAAGGTATCTAAAAATTATATTTTAAAATGTCGACATGAACTCAATTTTCACAGTACTGCATTGCTAAATGATCCCATTTTTAGGAGTATGTTCGTTAACTGTTTTTCAATGAAATATGGAAGGTTGGATATTTGGTTTAATCATAGGAATTATAAGAAATATATCGGCTTTAATGAAAGTATAATATAACAGGCAGTGCTTTGAAACATCTGAAGCAAAATTTGATTGCTATAAACCAAGCGAATGGCTCGAAACCTCAGTAAAAAATTATCATGTTAATTTTACAGCTTCTTTTACTTCGCCACCCTATTTTTTATATAGGGTTAACCCTCACTGGCATCTACTTTCCTTTGCAGTGTTCGAATTACAAATAAACCAGCAAATTTTTGATGAAAATTTAATAAGAAATTGAGATTCAACATTTGTTAACGTAAGCAACTCTCTTTTAAGGGATTAACGTCCATTTGCATGAACCTTCGAAATGATGAATTCCCAAGGACAGGAAGGCTGCAGGTGGGTAATTACAAGGAAATAGGTGAAAAAACCAGTGTTAGAGCTAAGTAAACCGCGATTCGTTTTGCACTAAACTGATCCTCTGTTGCGCTTCTTGATTCTTCTTAGAAGTTTCAGTTTTATATTGAATTTTGAAACGCATTCAGCAAAGTAGACCTTTTGAAACCATAAAATAGAAAATTGAATGCACTTTTCTTTGCTTGATCGGTATTAAGCACGAGTCCCAGGTTTTATCAGAGGCGAATTTTAATATGCATTGCAAATTCTCCATCAAATACTGTGTCAGAAGGATAGACGAGCATCTGATTCCAGCAGTATTATGTATGTGTTCTTGTTCTGCTAGTAAGGTTTACGTTAGAGATGTGGCATGATCGACGTGCAGCATGAACATGGATGGTATTAAGCGTTGTATGCTGCGCAATTTTTGGACATTTTTTTATTTATCATATTTATACACAGAAACCCTATCAGCTACTAAGTTAAAAAAAGTAAAGATTAATTTGCTGTTGCCTACATGATTCAAAATAGATACCTTTGCTGTTTCTGCAGGATTCAAATAATCATGTTGCATACGAGTTATTGGACTTGGTGGGGAATTCACTCTCTGGTCTAAAGGACAAAGTTTTTGAAAATGAAGGAATGCAAGATGATGCGATGACGGGGGTGTGTACTTTTCGACATTTTCCTCTTAATTAGATCAATATTCTATTAACTTTTGTGCTCAAAACGTATTGACTAAAATGTAACAAATTAAAATGTTTCAGTAAATAGAGTATAATAAAGTCAGGAGCAAAATATGTTATACATGATGCTTATCGATTATTTGCCACCCTAAACTTTGTAAGAAATGCAAACCATTGTATAATTTGTAGCCTTATATAAACATTTGCATGATTTAAACATGTCTGATACACATTGTATCATGATTATATCTTTTCATTTCCTGTTAGAGCTATCCCTCTTTTTCCAAGTTTTCATTCAAGAGAATTAGAGTAGAAGGGAATTATCAGCTACTGGTACCACTAGCAATGCTATTTAGTTATAAGGGCATAAGAAATTGCTTTACGAATCTCAGTTTTCGGATGATATAATCACCAAGAGAGCATTATAAGAACTCTCATGTAAAGAACCAATGGGCCAAATAGTGCTTGCTGACGGTACCATGGCATCAAACTGGTCGTTTATAAATATCTCCTTTCATCGTAGATAAGCCTATCACTGCTATCACCGCACGCAATTGAGCTGCAGATACAAGACTTCATTCTTCCGTTTTTAAGATTGGCTGCCTCCCTCGCACACGTGTTGTTTGCAGCTCCATTCAAAGAGACTCTGGTTAGATTATGATTGTTCCCATATAGAAAACAAATTTTCATTTAGTGGTATAATTGTCTCTCTTTTCAATCTTTCGCCTGATTTGAATAAAAGAGATCATTCAAGAATATGATGCATGTTGACATTCACAATCTGCATCAAAGTGTAAAAAGATTTGAACAGTATACACAGATCTAAAAAAGTTGGGAAAGATCTTTACTTACTTTTGTAAATCTCAAAATTTGTAGCTTACTCTAGAGCAGTCTGATGCTTGCATTAAGCATGAAACTTAGAAGTTTTCTGTTCTATACACCAAAACGCTTAGTCGAGATTGTGTTTTGCCTTTCCAAACGGTTCCCATGCTGTATTACATGTTGTGATTATTAATATAATGTGCTTATTTTTATGGAAATGCTAAACTTGTTAGGGTTCTTATACTTCAATAGAAGGAGAATTCACTTATACTACTATTGGTCTATGTGTCAAAATTTAAGTCCCAGTAAGATACATTCAAGTCGGTTCAGATACATCCCAGAGCCTCAGAGAGTCAAAGGATGAAGAACGAGAGAAAGGAAATGCGAAGGATACTCTTCCAGTCTCCTACGCAATTCCTTCCCCCATTCTTCATCCTTTGACTCTCTGAGGCTCTGGCACCCAGGGTAGAAATGATCCGACTTCACAGATGTATGATCCGGGTTACGACTTTTGATTAAGAAGAGATATGAAAATATGAAAATCAGTCGGGTTCAGGGAATGTTCGAATTATCTGGAGAAAGCCTTAAACAGAACTAAACTGCTGTTTTTTTAAGAAGCGGATTTGTAGCATTGTACTTATTATTTTTCCGTTTCATTAGGATCAGAAAGAATTCCAAACCTTGGCAACAAATCTAGGGCTTGTTGCATCCAAAGGAAGTGATACAGATATACAAGATCTGTTGCCAACTGATTGCCTGAAATGGCATTTTCCACGTCCGTACGAAGTGATACAACTTTGGTGTGATCAGTTGATGGCTGTTGCTTCTTTCGAAAGGAATCCAGATTTGGTCAGTGCCCAGTTTTAAATTTGATATATATTAATGAAGGTTATTGAAATGCAATAGTACTGATTTTTCATGCAATTAAATTATCTGAGAAACACCTCCTACGAAGCGAAATATGCAACCATTTTACACTGCAGTGTACGGTAAACTTGACAATATATCTGTTTATTGTCGCAGAGTGTCGACCCTTCGTCTCGTTTCTTAACCCGTTTAGTTTCTGGTACGTTCTTGAATCCAGTATCGTATTCGATGGAATACTTGCGCTTATTGTTACCGAAAACATAGTTTGTAATTCATCCTCATCCTTATTCTGTCTTCTCAACCTAAGTTACATCCAACTTCTACGAAGTCAAAATTGGTTTCAGTACTTATATTTTTGAAGACATATTTAAACTATTGAAAACCCCTGCAAACATCCTGCAGACTTAAAGTTTCTTCTTAAACGTGCTTTTTCTTTTTTCAGACAATGTTGCCCGTGAATCATAACTGGTCTGAATTAAACCTAGTTGCGTTGCCATCCTCCTACGACAGGTACAAAGTTGCTTAAACAACAGTCACCATGTTTGTTTTCGTTTTTATCAATGTAATCTTTCTTCAAAGACCCACTGTTTTGCCAATATGCTTTTTTAATCAGTAGTGTATCTGAAGATGTTTGAAATATAATTTTTCGCAGTGTTTTATCTTTATCTAGCATCAATGGAGCGTATTGATTATTTTGTAGCCTTTTTGTTCAACTTTGTAGATAGATAACTACCAATGTATCATCACAAGTCACCAGGCATATTCTGCACGCCATGTTTTTATAAGAAAGTATCTTGTTTGATAGTGCAGTACTTTCGTTTTTGTTTGGCCAATGATTTAAAGCAATCAATTTTAGTTGCTAAGCACCACGAAACTTACCATTATTCTCTATCTACTTTGGAACTTCTTAACCCTTTAAGGGGCAAATATTGATTTACTTCACCTACGTAATCCAAACTTTCAGAAAAATAGATATTACCAAAAAAAACTGAAAAACATTAAAAAAAAGTATATGGGGGTCGAGGCGATTTTTTATGAATTAATTACTCCTTACGAATTTTGCCTTTTAACTCATTAGTGTCAATTTAAATAGTTCACAAAATGTGGCCTACCGAAAATACACAAAAAACCATGAGAAAAAATCAACTACTTCCCTGCTTTTAAGTTATTACAACATCAAGAAAATGCATCTTTCGATTTCCCACTTAGGCCAACGTAGCCAAAAATTTCCGAAATGGAAGACAGCGTCTTCGGAAACACGGTTTTTTTGTCTTTCTGCAAATGGAAGCCCAAACAAACTGTTCTAGGCCGCCATTATAAATACCTCCATGTAAAAACACACGAATCACTAGTAATTTACGGACCAGTGATTTGTTGGAATCATTTCCACAATTTGTTGCAAATCTGCTACAATGTTGAGATGTGCCTTTTAAACTGTTCTGTTCTCCAGCATATCAAAACCACTCAGTGATTTTCTTAGCGTGACATTGCTTTTCTATGTTCATGTCTTTAATCCAGTATTTCTTAATATTACGCAAGTTCTTCTCAATTTTGACAGTTTGTTCCAGTGTTATCGGAAAAAGGCGTGCAGTAAATGCAACAAAGTTCCAGAGCATCCTGCATTATGTTTAGTTTGTGGCGAATTTTGTTGCTTCCAATCAAGCTGTTGTGCAGATGCAAATGGAACTTACGAATGTGCTCAGGTTCGTATGATATATAGCAAATCTTGTAGGCCAGAATTTATATTGTTTAGACTTTATATTTTGACATGAATCTTTTTTTCATGGACCACAAGAATTATCCTGGAATTAGCCATTTCTTAAAGGATATTTTTACCACTACTTATTATTCGTCGCAGATCAAAGTTACTAGATTTGACAAAATAGAATAATACCAACATTTTCTACGATGCCCAGAAGTTGTAGTTAATAAGTAAAACATATGAAAATAATATTTTTTGGTTTATCTCCCTTGAAGTTTTTGTATAATTCTACTATCCCCGTGTACAATTAAAATAGTTTTACCAATGTTTATCTTGCAGTATTTTTCCAATTAAGTAAGTTTGAATACTTAAGCATTACTGTAGACCAAATCGAAGCCAACTGTTTTGAAAGTCGATAAACCTGGGTATCAGCTATGCCTTGAACTTATTGCGTGAAAATGATAATATTGTGCAGAATGGTGCAAATCCAGTGCTGTTGGGGAACACAACAAACAGGAGCAAAAGGCAAATGAAATAGGATCGAATATGTTGATATCTTAGTAAAAGTAAAGCCATATGCTATTTGGAAAAAAATCAAGGTCAGTTATGAAACTGCCCACGTGTTTTAGCGTGGTATAAGGTAGCCAATACAGAGAGGGAGAGAATCTTGGGTTTATGAAATTTATACAACGATCTAAATTTGATCCAACAGCTTTTTGTTAGGTTTCAAATGTGTTTTGGTAACTAAGCTGCATTTGATTAAATTTATTGATTTCTGTTTTACAGCATTCGGTGACATGTGGCTCTGGTACTTGTGTCTTTCTCATCGTGTCGAGCTCGTCTGTTCTCATTATTCGAGGTGAACGCGCCTGCATATGGGGTTCTGTTTACCTTGATAGCTTTGGAGAAGAGGATAAAGATCTAGGGTAAGATTGGACTTGAGTTCAATGAATTTTTTGTCTTTCTTGACTAGTTACAAACCTACTGTACCAAGGCAATCAGCAATAGAGGTTTTATAGAAATCTCGTAAGAGTGACTGGTGAACTTTAATTTTTGCCTAATGATACTTGCATAGGGAACACAAATATAGTTCTGCCTCGCTGATAATGCAGTTGTTTGGAGTGAATATAGTATAAAAAGAATGAAATTTTATTGAAGATACTTGAGGTTCCTAGATGTTAAATGTCGATCTTATTACAATTTAGAGTTCTATGCGCACATCACCAATTTAGAGTTGACATTTTAGATCAGATACATGAATTTGGAATTCACAGGAATAATGAAGATATTTTCACCTTTCAGACGTGGGAAACCTTTGTTCTTGAGCAGAGAACGGTATGGCCATCTCAACCAGCAATGGCTAACGCATAGGTTCGACAGAAGCTGCAAACGTTGGGAATTACACAATGGCAAACTTTGAATCTGGAAATGAAATTTGATTGAATGATTTCATGATATTTATGATTGTATTTTGTATAACTGTCTGAAAAAGAATTTTGTGTTCTGAGTGAAAGTATGATGTATATAGAAATCTGAATATTTTTGTCACATGCAGTTGTTTGAGCTTATTTTATAAATTCTGTTATTTATCGATGCTGTTCTTTTGTTTAACGACTTGCTTGAATGAGTGTTGATATTTGCTTGTTTGTAGCTGCTTCCTGGCCACACGATTCTCTGGATAATTTTTCGAGTTTTATGTTCTGATTGCATTCATACAAGTGAAAATTGTCTGTTGTTGCTTTTTGTTCCTAAGAATTGCTTTATATGTAGAAAAATGTATTTAATCATAAAAAATGCTTGAAAAATCTTTAAGTGTAAATTTTAGCCTATGTTTCTAGAAAATAACCAGAAACGTCTTTCTTGCAATCTTCAGACTTAGGAAACCTATTTGTAACATTTAAGCTAGAACGGAGTGACCATGGGGACTAGGCTGGCATGTGCCCACCCTTAAAGGATATTCAAAAATTGCAGTGTTTTTAGACCTTAATTTTTGCTGGCTAAATCCCTTTCAGCCACCCCCGGCTCTCAATTTTTGAAGCCCTTAAACTTCAAGAATTACTTAAAGAATTGCATTATCATGAAATTGAAAACATATTTCGCATGTCAACTCCTTCGGCGAAATTCCAAAGCAATGGGGAAAAGAGATAAAAAACTCAAATAAATATATACCATGAAAGCTCTATTATGCCCTCCCTGTCTTTTTAGCAAAAATTTAAAAAAACACTCGACTTTATTGAGTATCCCCTCTTAAGCCCATGATGTCAAACAAAGAAAACATATGCATTGAGTTGGTCTCTTGATGGGTGTGATGACGATGAGATTGTGTGCATGAAATACGGTCCATGTAGATATTTACTTGTGCTCCTTAAAAACTCTTTAAAAGGCAGTCGAAATTTGTTTAGAAGGTGTCCAATAGAAGATGTTATAGATTTTAAGAAACTTTCGAAGCTGCTAACAAAGACTTTTAAAAATATTTGTATGACATTTTCATAACAAAAACTGAATGAGGGCATTTTTATAATATTTTTTACATTGAATTATGAATAGGCCCCATCTTTAATAAGCCCCCCTCTTTTAAGCCCCCTTCTAGGACGGACAAAAATAAATAAGCCCCCGGTCGAGTCATATGATTGCCTTGTCCTCTCTATCAAACCGAGGTTGCAGGCTATGTCTACGAGAAGCTGGTATTCCTTTCCTTATTAGAAAATGACATTTAATTTTCATTTTATGATACTTTAACGATAAACATGGCCTGCGATTGAAATGTCAGCTGTTGAAGATGCCTTTTTCGCAGGAGAAACTACAGAACTGCATCAGGAAAGGCTGTTGCAGCTCGTGAGAAATGCAGTTTCTGTTGGGGAGTGGGAACTGGCTAAGGCATCTGCCAGGGTATACCACGAGTCAAAAGTTGGAAAGGATGATGTTCTGCACAAGCTGCTTCTAGATATCGTGCACCATCCAAGAAAATACAGGTATAAAAGTTATGATTTGTCAATCTACTTTTCAAGATATACTAAAACAAGACAAAAAAATTACATAGCCTATTTATTTGTAGGCATTGAACAAGCAAAACAATTGGTTGATTTTTATTTTCCTTAACTTTTAATGGCTAGACTTGGTTAAAATTCACTCATTGTTTTGTATTTCATGGTAAATTTGTGCATGTAGATAAAATTTGACATCAACACTGACACTTTCGGTTGTGTTGTCATATTAATAAAAAAACATCTGATTTATGATTAAATTCTGATGTTTAGTTTTCAAGCTTTGAAAAAGTTATTAAATGTGAAAGCACATTGCTAAATGTTTTTTCTAATATACAAATACCTCAAATGTATCCCACTATAATTTTAAAGACTTTGTTACTTTTACAGCCATGGCTCAAAGTCTGTTCCAACCCCTTTTCATTTATCTTGGCTTGCCCTTCTTCTGTATGTGGAGCTCTACAACAATGAGAAGAAAGAGGTAGGGAAATGTCTTTTTAATCATTTATACAGTGCTTCCTTTGGCCCAGTCAAGGATAGTCTCATCACAGCTTGTATGTAACTGTTTTTCTGGCTTGAATGTAAATCTTGCCATCTTGCCGTTAACAACATTTCTCTCACAGTAAATAAAAAAGCAAAGTTTATCAAACATTTACCAATGATTTTATATTTTTTGACTAGCCCCTCCTATCTATTGTTTTCAAAACACACACTTAATGTACCAAAGAAACAATTTGCACTGTTTTTAAATTGATATTCAAATTTTAGCTTAAGTTTTGTATATGTTTAGTGAATTATTTCTCACATAAAATATCATCTCCATTGTGTCTTCTTACAAATATTTTTTATATCCATTGCAAAAATGATGTTTTATTTTTCATGTGAATATCAACTCAAATGCCTTGGTTTTTACCATTAGAGTAAAATCATAACTGAATTATGCACTTTTGCTGTTTTTTGTTTTAGGCATATTTATCAAATGCTAACCGAAGGCTGTTAGAGTTCAAGATATTTCTCCTTACATTAGGCCAAGATATTACCCCAGAGCAACAACAGGTAAGCACATTTTCAACTTGATTTTTCATGCATATAAATTAGACATATAATAATGTAATGCTGCTCAGAGACTGCAGCATTACTTGATTACAAATTCCCCCACTTTTATCTATCTTATATTACACAAATGAAGCCAAACTTTTTGTTTGCTGAAGATGGATTTGTTGAAATTCAAGTACTTCAAAATTAAACAATTTGAATCTGAAAAAAGAAGAATATAAGGAAGAATACTAAAAGCAACTTTCACAGCCAAGAAATGTGTCAATATTGAAATGAAAATTTTTTAATTATTATACTGTTGGCACTTTTTGGCCCTACTGTACCACCTTCTGGCACACATACCTGGGCACAGAGCAATGGAATGATTTCAAATTTCAATCCATATTTCTATTTATCTATAATACTATTTCAATATTTCTATATTTCTTGTAAGATAGCTAAAACAGTATGTTCCTTGATTAATAGTATATCATGTACTTTTCATCAAGCATAAAATGATTTCAAGTATTCATTTTTACATTCTGTTACACAAAATAACCAATTAGATATTAATCTCTAAATCTGTACTGACAAGTGCAGATTGCTTAAAGACAAATGCCTTTCTAGTGGCAACATTAGTGTTACAATCATGGCATAATGTATTAATGTTAAATTTAACCTTTTTCATCTTATCAATGAGTAGATTAATATTTTTTATAGATGGATGAATTTTCATGAACTGTTTTTATTAGATTTTTAATTCATATTCAGTTTACTCAATGACTTTGTGACTATTTTGTGACTGCACTCCATATTTATGTTTTTAATCATCTGAGCATGTGGTAACAGGTCTGGCCATTTGAGCCTCCACACTCCCATTGCAACCTGAGGCGAGCTATGAATTGTTCTCCTAAACAGAACATGACGGGAGAATCACTCCCCTAAAATTTCCATTCATTTGCCCTTTTCCTATTCAGAGAACCCTGAAAACTTACAAGGGTTAATTGGGCTATTTTTGTAACAGCGACTTCTCCCGTCATTGCATTTTTTGCAATTAACCTTTTGCTTGTTGGGCAGTTTTTGTTATGATAGGCATGAACTTTGATCATTTGGAAAAGGGATAGTGAAGCGAAAGGTGCGTTTGTAGCGATTAGAACCTTTCAATCTTAAGAAAACAGGCATATTTTTGGAAGGAAAGTCAAAGGAATTGGTAGGAATTGTAGATTGGAGGATATAATAAAACAGCAGGTCCCTTCCAGCAGTAGAAACAAAACCATCCCTCAAAGAGAACAGGGTAATCTGTCTTGCAGATCAAAATGACAACCAAAACATGGAATTTCACTATCCAGCGACATTTACTGAAAAATCCAGATTGGGTGAAAAATTATAACGGCGACATGTTTCACATTATTGGCAAAGCCATCGTTCCATCTAGCAGTTTGTGAATCTATCTACTATATAAACATGACAAACCGCTTTTGTGTGGACAGAAGAAGTTCATTTTCACCTTAGGCCTCTGTTGGTAACATTTTCAATAGGGAAGCGGCACTGATTGGACAACCTTAACAGTCATGTGCTCGTGTTTTCTGACTGGCCTATTTCGATCCAAAACTAGGTATTTACATTTCCTAGTGTAGAGCTTCTCTGAAGAGTGCTAGACGAATAACTTTTGTTTGTTTCAAAATTTGTTTTTCAAAGCTATTTTCAAATTCTGTACAACAAAAAGATTGTTTAGCAAGATAATATTTATTTTCGTTTTGCGCCAGCTTTACATGAAACTGAAAGAGTCTGTTCTTTTAAATCCTTCAAGTAAAGGAGGTGCCCAAGTCACGGTTAAAGCAAATACAAATTGAAAGAAGTAAAATAGCATTTTCCTTGACTTCAAGACTATTTAAAGGCAACTGATAGATAGTAAAGGGGCTTAAGCCATCTATCGAGTGTCTTTAAAGTACATTCTATGTGTTACTTATTTAGCTTGCCTGAGCAAATGTGGGGAGCAATTCACAGCTCACCTACAAAAATACAGATGGCCAGGTCTGTGGTAATCAGTGTTCATGTTACCCATTGGCTATGATCTTAATTTAGTTGTCTCTTTATCAAAGAGAAATTTAGAGAGAAAAAGTGCTTTTATTTTCATATTTGCAATTTTCCTTCCATTTCTGAATTTGATTTAGTTCCAATTGAGAATTCAAAAGATAATATTTATCTGTCAATATTTCTTTTTTAGGATGTTTATTGCTTTTTCAAGCTTGGTCATGATGAGCACAAGCAGCATGAAGCTCTCATAAGTTTATCAAAAGAGTTCTGCCAATTCTTAACTGAATTTGCCATTTCTAATCCGGAAAAATGTAGAACATTAACTAACTTTCTTGTCAGCCCAGCAAGACCTGAAGCAATGTTAGAAAGAAGGAAAGATGTCATTGCCGAATGTTATTTGCGAGTTATCTTATCTTATATTGGCCGATTAAAGCTTTTTGATGAGAGCATTCAAACAATGCTTATTAGAGACTGTATTCCTGTCATTGTCTCTGCAAAGGAATATTTTACCCCAGATAACATGCTGTTTATAAATGCAGTGGTATCCATTGTAAAAATCATTAATGAATTTAGCCCAAAGGACATGAAGTTGCTATATTTTTCAATTGTTGATTGTGAATCAAAACCTTTCTTGGTGCTGGCATTAGAATCATCTTGGAAATATAAATTGAATAGCCTAAAACTGCAAGATATTTTGGAAGACACAAGGTATAATGAGGATGAACAGAGGATATGTATAGCAAATTTGCTCTCTGGCAGCTTTGGCAAAAATCCTGCTATTGATTTCATGACAGCCTACCAAATTTGTGACTACTACAAAATACATTTTCTGGATTATATTATTGTAAGTTGTTCCTCAATTTTTTGTTATCATAAAATTATCTTTACATTCCTCAGTGTATTAGTATTATCACCTTTTGTTTCAGTTTCATCATTCCATCCTTCTTTTACCATCTCTATGTTTTCATCAAAGTAGTTAATTAAGATAATCTATTTTGTTGCATTATATGTGATGTCTTTTTATTTAAACCCAGTTTGAGATAACTTTTCTGTTTGTGATAAGAATTTTTTGAACCTGTTTCTTTTAAAAATTAACTTTGATGATCTTTGTGCTTTGTATCTTTGTGTTTACCATATAATCTTTTTAGCATGCCAGTCTTGAGTTGATCAACAGAGGGAAATATGAATTTGCACTAGAGATTTTGAAACCAGCAGCATTGCAGCCTCTTACACCCTTAATTATTTTGTTGGCATGGGAAAATCAACCATCTTACACTGAAAAGCAAAGACTCATTAAACTTCTTACATATCAAAAGGTAAGCTAAGTCTTCCATTTTATATTTAATAGTGACCAATGTTAGTATGCAGGTATATTTTTAACCTTACACTTGATTTTAAATTTTAGCTATATCTGAAATAGTGATATCCAAAATGTTATTCTTCGAAGACAAGCATAAAACTCATAAATTTCTGGTGGCTCATCAAGTTGGAAACTCTCATTGCTAATTTCTGATTTAGCAGTTCTTGCCTTATGTGAATTGCAACATTCATTGAGTGTTTCCTGTCCCTAAATAAAATTTGAAATCGATTTATTTTCAGGTGAACATTTGATATGAGATAAACAAACCTGCACCCAATCTCCCCCGCTCCCATCTGAATGTTAATTCAGCTCACCACTTGCTTAAACTTAATTTATGGATGATTTAGCTGCTTGTATTTTCTATTTTATTTGTTCTGCTTTTCTCTAGGGCTGTGAAATGGATCCAACATTTATTGGAGCATGCAAACGCCTTGAATACAATCTGAATGTCAGCAGAAAATTTTTTACAAAGAGAAGGTAATGTTTTAGTGCACTTAGAGTCAATTACTGACACTTACTTTTAGACTCTTTTCTTTACTTGCCTTTTATATTTGTTTCATATATGTGATAAACAAATTTATGAACGTTAACTGATACTCAGATATTGTTATTTGACTATATTTAACTAATATTGTTATTCGTAAAACTTTTCTCGTTCAAGCCATATTTGTACTATTTAAAGTGTTAAGAAGTAAATCTGTAAATTGTCATATACCTCGCTCATATGCAGAGCATTTAACAAAATGAAAAACATAATATATATGCTATAGCCTATTTGATAATATATACCATATATTTTGAAAATTAAATACATTTTATGTGCCGAATTGTTTAGTTTGTAATCATTCGGTTTTTCCAGCGGGGGAGATAGTGTGGATATACTGACAAGAGGACTCTTGGAAGAAGATGTATTTCGCGAAATGGATTTCAGTCCTGTTCTTCCATCAATAAATGAATTGAAAATCTTCCAGTGGTTCAGTACTGAAGAACTGGTCGACCTGTTAAATTTTCAGCCTACGTATCCAAAATGTTTTGGTTCTAGCTCTAATGATGAAAGGACTATTCCCTTGGCAGAGATTCGCACGTATTTATGTTTCTGCATTCTTCAAAAAACCCTTTCTCTTTTTATTAATGGTTGTGGTGACCAATCAGGCTCGAAAGACGACAAAGAAATCAACAATCTGAAGACCCAAATCCAAAAGATAAGCCCATTGTCATTTCGGCTCGAAACCCTGGAAAACCTCTTTTCTTTGCTTTTTATCCGTGAAGAGCATTTATCATGTACAAATTTGCAGAATAGCTATGACTTGACTAGAAGCAGTGGACCATCGAATATGTCTGAACTGGATCGCGTTTCGGAAGATTCTGTAAAAATTCAAAAATATCACAGATTTTTGTTCAAAGAAGAAGCAATAAAGGAATATTTGGATCTTCTCAACGAGTGTACGATGGAACTCATCGCAGCAAAGTATTCTGCGCTGGAAAAATCTTCTCAAGGTTAGAACATAGAATTGAAGACATTAGCTATTCAAATGAGTAGCCAGCTATTGTAGATAATCTTCACTAAGAGTGGCTTTAACAATTCATGCCTATTGTCCTTGAAAGTTGAAACAACTTGTTGCTAGGACTCTTGTGAAAAATTAGCACCATTCCTTAAGAGAAACAGACCAGGCATACTGCCCCTTGCAAAACAATGTTTGTGAAAAGATTTGCACTAAAACTATCTGACAGGAATTTATCGGTCAATACTGAAGATCTACAAATATTTGAAGGGAGATGCATTTTTTGAAGGGGGATGTCATTGTAAATTAACAAAAGCTACTGTATTGTAGCAAAATCTGTACCTGGTATTATGGGCTCTCGACACTTTCTTGAAGAAATGCCTTTCCAGCTAGTTTGTTTTGTTCAGCACTTGAGTGCGAGTAAAATTCATCTGATTTTTCAATACTGAATAGTACAATTTGATATAAAAAACAAACAAATCTATGATTATTTATACAGTTGTATTGACTGCATACCACTAAATTGGTACAGTATATGTCAAAGTAATAGGAAAGAATAAAAGTACTTATAACTTTAGAATATCAGCATCTACTAGCTGTAAATAAATGGCGAAGCAACCGACGGAAACTTGCTATCACTTTTTTGTAGATTGCTATATGGGAACAGCATTTGATCAAAGAGTCTCCCATTTGAGACAAAGCATAAATGATGCAAGCTGGAGACTGCAACTTGTTTCGGATCTATGCAGTTTCCCACAAGAGGAAAATGATTCTGCATTGCCTGCTGCTAAGGCAGACCAACCCAGTGTTGATACGGATTCTGAAGGGGAATATGACGAAGTTCCGTGCATAGGAAATTCTGGAGAGTCAGAGCAACTGGTAGCACGTATGCTGTCATCTTCAGAATCATTAGTGCATTTGTGTTTGCAAAAAGATAGCTTGCTTCGAGGAAAGCAAGTCATAAAGATGTTTCAGTTAGAAGGTGATTAGCGACAGTATCTCTTACAAAGACGGTTGTTGATACGGTCTCTCTCTCTCTCTCTCTCTCTCTCTCTCTCTCTCTCTCTCTCGCTCATTCTCTCGCCAAACTGTTTCTCTCCTACCATTGCTTTTTGTTTATCGTTTCAATAAATATGTTGATATAATTTGACGTTAAATCAGCCTAGCTATGAATAGTATGTTTAGGGTGATTCATTGATGCAATGCTCTTTCTGTTGTTGATACCTATTTTTCTCAATTCAGGAGATAGTTGTGGCCTCGAAGTCAGCTTTTCCGAAAGTTTTGATAATGTAATCAAAGATTTGCAGCTATTGTCACCAGTTGAATCAACGAAGCCCGGGAGTTCGTCACAGCTAACTCACATCAGATCTGCTGCAGCGGCCGGCTTGCTTTCATCCAATATCAGAAGCATATTGAAAAAGCTATTGGAACACGATTTTATCACATCCAGTAAGACACCATTTGGATCAGTAGCCTTGTGTTTTGACCTCGTCGTGTCCGGAGAGTTACCAAGTGCTGTTTGCAAAACGATTCTGGACGCGACAGATGAGTTCATTAAGCTTGGTATGTTAGTTTTTAACTATAATGATAATGATGATGATGGTTTTGTGAAATAAAGATAATGATGGTTTTATGAAATTCTGTAAGACATTGCTTTGCATTTATATATTCCTAATGCAAGGTGCATTTTTCAGTGGTTTCTTTAAGAGCCATTGATTTATTAGTTGCAATACTTCAATTCAATTAACAACTTTCTTTCGAAGGATAATTCAAACTCTTTTGCACTGAACTTTTATTCAAGATTCGGACTAAGGGTCAACATTTTATTCTATGTTCAAGTTTTCACGATGCTAGTTATTTTGATATAAATTTTTTGACAATATTAGGTTAAAAATTTTGGTAAGAGATTTGATTATGATTAGCGACTGACGGTGAAAGCTTTTCAAATTCCTTATAAATTATAAAACTTCATACCGTTATTCAATCTACACTATAAGCATAAACAGTATGAAAATTTTATTCTAACGAAAAATCTTGTGGTTAATCCTAAAATGGGCTCAAAATAGAAAATGAGGCCGTGTATTGATTTGGTATGTTATGGTAATTGCAATCCAATGGAAAAGGAAACATTTAACAGTTGTTTTCTTGCTATGCAGCATGCAACTTATTAAAGATAGCATTTCAATTTCAGATCCTAGCCCAGAATTAAGATCAAGTCTACTGAGCTGCCTGGGCGTCTTAAAGACATCTTTGTCGCTGTTCACTCAACTGGAAACAAGAACCATGAAAAACGTTTTGAATGACACTTCTTCGTCATTCAGCCAGTTCCTCACACAGCCGTATCACCAACAATTCGAAGGGGAGACCGAATCAAATTTTAGCAAACTTGCTGAACAAAAGGGCTGTCTTGAAAGTATCGTGCAATTTCTAGATGACGAAATAATAGCTACTGCAATTTTAGCTGAAGAAAAAAACACAGAAGGAAATTTATGCAGACAATCCATGAATGAAACTTTGAGTGCATTTTCCTCTGATAACCTTGTGCTTATTCCAGAGGGAATGCCGAGGCGTAATTATATAAAAACACTGTTCAGGCATGTTGATACTCTAGCTAGGCTTCAGCTTTACTTCAAAACAAGACATACTGGTAAACAACGCTTTGTCAAATTCGAGCAACAGTCTTCTCTTGGTGGCATAAAAGCAGCCAACCCATTTGTCGTACTGAAGGATGATATCTGTGATATTTTTGGTCGTTTGCTTTTTGAATGGAGCATGCCTCCAAAAAGGTATGTTTTCTAGCTATTTTCTCAGTTCTCAGGCCAGGTCACTTTCTCAACAAAAGTATCATGCAACTTCTATTGAATTTTATTAATCCATTAAACTGTAATTGATTATATTTGTGATACCTTGTAAGACGTTTTATTATTTTTAAATGTGGTAGCGTCACTTACAGTTGCAGATTTGTTCGTTGTTTAAATTCTGGTCTGATCTTGTGATGGATTTTAATTTGCATGACACCAACAGTCTCTTGTAACACATTAGTATTCTTTTGAAGTTAGCCTGTCTTTTTTACCATTCTTCAATGGTAGTACTTTCTTCAATTTAGATCTCATTTCTTTATCTGGTTTTCTTATGATTTTAATTCAGGCTAGAGTCTATAGCAAGACAGGTGAACATTAGCCTTGTCAAAGTTGTTGCCAAAAGTTTTGGTTTAGCGATACCAGTCAAAAGTGCTCAGAATTGTCCAGGTAATCTTGATAAACAAAAATTAATAATCGCTTTATTGAGGGTTTTTTATACACAATTCTTGATTCTGATTTTGGTTTCTAATGATTAATAATATAAACCATCTGATTATTGAAACAATTGGTAATGATTAAATGCATAACAAAACTACATTTTCTGAATCCTTCCTGACTGTTTTTTTGACACAATCTTTGTAGCAAAAATAATATGTAAACCATCGTTTAGGATAAATCATGTTGACTTCACCGCTGTATCCTTGTTTCTAGCAAATTAGTGTCTATGATTTATGGAAACTCTCTGGCTGTTATAATCGATAACGTTAACCTAAATAATTAGAAAAAATCTAACAGACATTAAACAATTTTTTCTTATCCCGACCCTAGATCTAACAACATTTTTGCTAAGGCAACCAATTAACGTGCTGAACAAGAGCAATGAAGAAATGGAAGCAAAAAACCCAACTGAAGTCATGGAAAATCTGTTGGAACAGCTGGTGAAAATTCTATCAGGTAAATTCTTACCTATCATTGTTGTTTTTATTAACGTATTTTAAAACGTTACTTTGGTGTCCATGCGGTTTCATAAGGTTTATACTTCTTGTATTATTTCTGCATTTATCAACGTCTTTACGTATCAAGAACATTCTAAGAACACAAGAAACAACAAATATAGTGTATGCCTCCCACGATTAAGAACTGAATACGCAAGGAAAGGCTTCTTCTACATGGGTGTAAAGATTTTTAAGGAACTGCCACTTGCTGCAAGGATGTCTGGCAATTTCAGGAAGATCATAGATAATTTTTATGCACAACATAACAATTTATAAAATATATTCCTAAAGATGTAATTATCGTCTAATTTTTTTATTTTTTTTTAAGTATCTTTTAGTTCTACAGGACGAACATTGATAGCAGCAATCAATTGTTAAGGTTTTTTATCCTGTATAAAAATATTATTATTATCGACATATACTGAGACAATCAGTAAAACCCAAATAGGCATGGTACTGATCAGGCCAGTCCCGCTGACAGGAGTCGGCGAAATATGTGTCATATTCAAAGCAGGCCATGGTGGAGGTAGGAGAATTAGGGCTTGAAAGAGAAATTCCCCGAAATGGAGAGAAGAAGGGCTTGTGTGGAAAATGGAAAAGTCCTAAGCAGAAAAAGAAAAGGACAGCATAATAATACCTAATGATAAAAAAAATATATAAATATATAACAACATGCTGCTACAAGAACATAAGAATGCAATTCTGACTTGTAAAGAAGAAATTCCTGAAATGTACTGCTGTTGTTTGCTTTGTGAATGGAATTCGAGAACTGCTCCAGAATTAAATTTAAGTTTGTTATAGCTCTTTGAAAGAAAGACAATTTATAGATGAGGATTCTGATGTGAGATAAGGAATAAGTCTATTCCTCGTCTGATGCCTTTTTCGAGATTGTAATTCAACATCAACCGCTTTATCCAAATCCTTTCTAGAGGTTTGAGATTTTCTAGTTAACGAGAATTTTATGCTTCCGTTAACGATGGTTTAAAATTGTATAATTTCAACTAAACGTTTTGCGATTTTCAAAAATATTTATCGTGAAACTAAAACGGATAATTTATTGATAATTTGATTTTCTAAAACCAAACCGGCAACTAACAGTTAAATGATCTATTTTTCAGGCCTGCCTTCCACCTATGAGACTCATGTTGGCTCAAAACAGATAAAGAAAGTTGTTGAGTCAGAGAATTTTAAAAGATTTGTGCATACTTCCTCCTTGCTAAAGTTCGTGGATCTGAACAACTTGGATACAGACAACGAGAAAATATGCTTTATCATAAATCTTCACAACGTTATGTTTTTTCATGGAATTCTTATGATCTTAAGTGGGAGCATAGAAGGACTTCCAGATATTTCTTCATCAGAGGTTGAAAAATGGTCGTTTGAATCAGTCATGAGCAATCCTGTTGGCAGATTGGCAATTGATCAGTTTATGGCGTACGAGGTTGGGCAAGTGGGAATCATGAGGTAAGCATTCTCGTCTCTTTAGTTCCTAGCCAATGATGGGAATCCTATTGCATAATTTCTTGGGAAGATGAATTGGTGAATGCATCATTACATCTTATGAAAACTTCACTTCAGCTGACGTATACATCATCTCGTCCAATGAAAGTGTCATCTAATGTAATGAATACGTCACCTCATCTATTGCACCATTTCAAAATCCAGTTAATAATCTAAAAAGTTTATATTCGATATTGTATGCCCTGTTCAGAGTGACTAAACTCACACGCATGAGTAGCTGCCATACGTAGGTGATAAATGAGGTGAATATATCAACTGTACCATGGCAAGATTCGTGATGATTATTTCAATGTAATAAAGCTACTCTTAACCTCGGTTTATAATCAAACCAAGTGAGAGCCTGCGGTTTTTTTCACAGTGCCTTCAACATATTCCGCCATATTCTTGGTATAACGACAGCTGGTTATTACGGAGGTGCAATAAAGACCAGGCACGAATGTAAGTTCTATCTTTTATCCCAGGTGGGTCATTTGAACTTTTTATATACAAGGATGGTCAATCCGATAATTATGGGTAAGCATTTTCTGATACCTGATTTAACAATATAACTTTTTGATACTTGTGTGTCAGCTTACACAAAATTATATCAAAAACATGAATAAAAGAACATATGTGTTTAAACTGGTGATTATAGGAAACAGTCTAAATTACTATGACTAGTGGTCCGTTTTGTGCTTAACAAAAAATATTTTCTATTTTGATATTTTTGGGTCTTATCAAAACATTTTCGCTAATAATTTTGGGTCTGTTAAATTTGTTTTTGATACTTTGAGGTGGATTTTGATAGCAGTGGATTGACCTCCCCGTATATAAAAAGTTTGAGTGACGCCTGGGTAATTTTTAAGTACCTGCACTTCTCTCAGGCTATAAGAAGGTAACTATCTAAATGCTAAAATCTTGTTACTTTAAGTATTCTTTTGCCACGTGCTAGTAAAAGAGTCGTAATACAGTTTTGCTAGGTAAGTCAGATATACTAATTCTTGCAAGCCAGCTTAAAAATATCAAATACGTCACCTGTGTTTGATTTCATTTTATTTTCGTCACATTTTATACACGCTCCTTATTGTCGTCACGTTTTAACTTATTTGAAATAAATGATTAGAACATCTCGAGTAAATATATTGTTGTCTCAGAAGAATTACAGGCTAAATATTATCTTTTAACTAAAACACGACAACTCTTTGCTGAGGTTTCAAGTCCAAATATTCAAATGTTTAACAGAATGATATTTTTAATTTTATTTCAGTGTTTGAATGGACAGAGTCCCGACTTGCTTTTACACCAACCAATCACGATAAGAGATGCATTTTCCTTTTGACTCATGGAAGCTCAAGTTGCCCACCTTTAAAAGTTAGTTGTAATTTCAAATTCTTATTTGGTAGTTAATCGCTTTAGTTTTCTTCCCTATATGGATATAGATTCCCTGTACGTCGTAGTGGATTACTCTATTGCCTCTCGTCACTGGGCAGGGACGCCGGAGAAGGGGGGCGTGGAGGATCAACCGCCCCTGTTGCCTTTTTATAAGAGGGGCAAGAGGCCAAAGTGCCGTTTTTATAGAAGTCACATTGACATCAGCCGTTTGTAATTATCAAAAGATCCATCTGAAATCCAGACTGTACCGCCTTATCACTGACATCATGTCTGTAAAACCACTAAAAGGGGATTTTACAGACGTGAGTTCGTAGATCGTTCGCAGAAACGTGCACGATAGATACGACAAAAACTGTTCTCCAATTCTCTAATGTCTCAAATGCCTTTACTCAAGCCTGCACCCTTCCCCCTTGGTCGTTCCGGCGTTCCTGCCACTGGGTGCAGTCACGCACTGTGCACAAAAACAGAAGTCAGGTTACGGGCCAGGACGGGTCAGACACCTTGAAATGAAAAACAGCAAATATTACTCATTTAGACATTCAATATATTTATTATCTGACTCATCTTTACTATTTTTTCTATTGACACTTACAATGTTGATTATTTTTCATTTACTCATTTTGAACTAGGGTTATGTCATACTGGGCGTTTAATGCCATACTGAGTCCTTCAATGCTAAACCTTGCTTTTTGCAGGTACTCAAACCTAGAACAATTGCAGGCCAAATAGAATCTGCTGCAAAAAATTATTTGGAGAAGAACGTCAAAGTCGTGCAGAAAAACAACAGGGTGAGCACAACTATTAGTTACGTAATCATAAAGTTATATCCGCGTGACGTAGTAAACTGGAAACAGTCAGGACCCCGAAATTTTTACCTGAACCTTTGCCCATGCCTTTCTTATTCGAGCCCAAGCTATCTGCCAGATATGCTCTAGTCGCAAGACATGGCTCCTGACCGGTGCAATTTATGAAAACCTTGGTTAATATTTCATAACCTTTAGAGGAACCTTTGACAATATATGCATTACAGCAACTAAACCTGGGATCATTTATTATTTTGAGTTGTGAACCGGAGAAGCTAGCTCCTCATACACTGCAGCTGATAGTGGTTTTCCAGGCAAATTTTCAATGTCATGGTTTTTTCATTGCAGGTAATAGTTCCAAAATTATTACATTGGCACAGAGACCTATTTCTGCAAAGACTACCTTTAAACCCTGGACTGCAAACAGCCTCATCGTTGGACTGTAAGAGTCGCAATATTTTGCTATTGAAGTTCATTATGCAAAACTCGAGCAAGCTGAATGAAAAGCTCGGGTATATAAGCAAAGCTGATTTTTTGTTTGATGTTGATTCCTCCAATTGGAATCTAAACTTTAATCTTGACACTGAGCCAGCGAATGCCTGCAATAAAGACTCTACAAGAAATTCAATGAAGGAAGTGACTGGGCAGATTAAAAAAAGCGTTGTCCTTAATGAACCGATGAAAAAGTACCTTTATGAAGCATCCCCCGTGTCAGCTTCAGTTATTTGTATGGCTCTTGAAAAGAAGCGACTGCTCGATCAGATCGGAGAAGTGATCATCGAATCAAAGTATGGAGGAATCAGAATGGGTACTCAGAAAATATTTTCTCTCCCAAGCTTTATCCAAAGGGAAATACAGAATATCCAGCAAACAGTTGATGCCAGTTTGCCATTTCAAGCATTCGTACAAATTCGTTCTGAGCTTGTTTTGAAAATTCTGAAATGCCTTCAAGTAGACCATCCGAATGTTTCAGCGAAGTATGTTAAGCATGTCCAATCTTTGATTAAAGTCACTGTCTCCCTGCTTGATGTTTGCGGCTCCGTCAACATGGAATCGACAGAATTTCTCGTCGAGCTCGTGCACGTATTTCTCTCATTTGGTGGCATGTTTTTTGCAGCACTGATGGAAACCTTCCCCAGAATGTTTCCTGTTGTGACGAAGGACAGATTGTTATGTGAAAGCATTTATGAAACTCGTAATAGACTGGACGATTTAACTGAGACCTGTATGGCCTCAGGTGACAATGCTTTGGAAATCGACTTGGATCACATCGTTGAGCTTAAACTTGAACACAAACGCTGTTTGATGCTCCTTAATGACCCATTTCTACGTTATAAGATGACAATGGATAGTATTTTGTATTACGATGTTGTTGAAGCATTAGAAATTCTCGAAGTTTGCTCCGAAGGTTGCAGCTCTTCTCAGACGTTAGCTGATCAATTAACTTTTGAGGCAGAGAAAATTCGATGGTATGACAGAGTAAGTAAATATACATTTTCATTTTGACTCTGTTGATTTAAGTTCATAAATAAAACGATCAAGACATTCAGAGAAGACATGATTATTTCTTACTGACCTTTAGGACAAGAAGAAAATACGTAAATTATAGAAAGATTACATTTTGTTAGTCATTTAGTCGCTAGAATATGATATTTAATTTATGTCCTTTTCTCTCATTAAGTCTTGTCCATTTTTCAAGAGCATTGTCTTTTTTCAGGTTCAGAAGCTCTCTATGTCACATTATGAAAACGTCCAATCTGCAGCTCCAGAAGACTTCAAACTCACACGGTGGCAAGACGTCATCGACTTTGTCCTGTATCACCCTGAATACGTCTCAATTTTGCTCGTTGCGGCAGGAGCCTTCGATCTCATTGATTTTTGGATCAACAATTTTTGTGTTTCACGTGACCTGAGCAAGGTGAGTGGCTCTTCTGTAGTTTTATTTAAATCAACTTTTTATTTTGTGAGTACCAGATACCAAAGCCAATATTACAACTTGGTTTATGTTAGTGATATTAGAACATTATTAAATTGAAACCATAGCCGAAAACCATTTATCTATCTCTTGTCCTTTGTCAGGTAGGTGCTATTAATCATAAACTTCTCGGTTTAAGATCTCCCTATGGCAACGTGATAGTAAATGTTTTAAGAAGCAAGCACATGAAAACATTTATACTTTAAAGCGTTTTTGTCACTTACCACTAAGCATTTTGTAATCAATTAACTTGAAACCCTGATCTTCGATTTTTACCGATACTGTGTACGAATTTTAAGCAGGGTATTGCGGATAGATAAACTAACTAACTAGTTTTCATATATCCCGGTGAGGTAATTGAATGGAGTGAATGAATTGCTGATCTCCTACGCTCACGGAAAGCTTTTTTTCGAATATGGCAACATGCATGCCATGTTCTTTGCCAAAATTTGCTACGTCCTTTGGACTGGCGATAGGTAAATAAGGCAGAAAAGCTGGTAGCATCTTTAACTGTGTTTTCATTTTAATAGAAACGTATTTGTGTTTGTTAGCATCCGAAGGTAGGTTTAGGACGCTGAGAAGCGATGCTCGTCGAGCAATGTCCATGACCTTTTTTCCGATGGGGCCAAACCTCATGATTCTCACTTTGAGTGAAAATTTGGACATGACGGAGACTTGAAACCCAGGCCCTTGCTTTGTTCTGTAGTCAGCTGCCTCAACCACTGAGTCATCCTCAGATTCTAGCGTGACATTAAATTTGTATCTTTGCAGATGTGCTTGCGTGGAAAGCTATATGACTTATTGAAAGACTCCAAAACAGATTACACACGACTTCATCAACATCTGGAAGGCCTGCATAATAAGCACATGACATTGGAACTGTGCCAAGATTTACTACAAAGCAGTGAAATATCTACCCACAATTCTCTGGCATTGCTGCGTTATATGATAGAATACCTTACAGACATGTTTTCTAAAGAAAAACTCACTGAACTTTTGTACACAGAACTGGGGTTCAAAGCTCTGGATAGGCTCCCTGAGTCACTGAAATTCTCATATTGGCATTTAAGTTCGAAGCCAACTCTTATTCTAGAGCAGTTGCTGATGAACATGAAGGTCGAGCTTGCAAAAACTGTAATAGATGTTTTCAGATCCAATATATCTGAAAGTGGTACTTTTACATCTTTAAACAGCAAAATCGACGACATTGTTGCTACCTATGCGGAAAAGTCGTTGGCTGTTCCAGTTTTGGAAATGAGTGTGCAACATAGTTTAAAGGACATCGGTAGGAATCGATACAGTTAACAAAATTTAATGCATTTTGTCTGATTTTAAGGCTTTTATAGAATTTTAAGTTTAGAAAAAATTATTTTATCGTTACTTTGCAGATTTCTGTAAATCATCCCTTTTTTACTTGCATGTTAAGAAAGGCCCCTTTTCCCCTACTCGGATAATACTTTACCGTTTGCTAAAATTGTGCAGTTAAAATAGGAAGAGTAATCATACAATTGGGTTGACTACGATCTCAAAATAGTTTTGATAATTCCGTGTTTCAGTGTGTAAAAAAGATCTCTTAAGTTACTTCGTGCATATGAAATATATTTGAACCAAATGCATTTGCTTTTGTTGCCTTCAGAAAGAGGCCAGTTGTCAAGGAAGAAGCGCCCAAGAGCAAACAGTGGTCAGAAAAACGAGGCTAATCTCGAAGCCGGACATGATAAACAAGAGGAAGAGCGAAACAAACAGAAGTTGTCGACTGACATTAAAGATAAGGAAGATTTGTCTGGGATCGAAGAGCCGCCCGTTGATCGAAACCATTGGATATCGGATCGTATGGTTAGAATATGTATGATTTGCAACCTGACAATTTTCACTACTGTAAGTAGAACATTTTAACTTGAATTTCGTCAGGTTTCGTGAAATTCAATTTTCTCTTATACCGCTTATACCGAATGCAAAACCCGCATTCAAGATCTCTACAATTGCCCATTCAACTTTATTTCATGTTCATCATCTGAAGCAATTTTGCATCAATGTGTCTATTGATATCTTAGAATGCCTGTACAAAACAGAAAATCCAATTCGAAAAGTCGTCAGTCGCATCAGAAATAAGAAGGAACTGGCTAGTTAATCAGAGCTAGCAACGCACGCCTTTTTTGTCGACTTACTCTGTAGACTATTATGATCCAGCATTTCTTATCGTAATAAGTTTTGGAGGCATATTGTGTTAAGCTTTATATATACAATTCCAAGCCATTACATTCGTTTGCGATTTTTCATTATGCAATTGTGACGGTTTTATTTTCTTTTATTCTATTTTATGATTTTTTAGACAGTTTTGTTATTCTGTTGTTTTGAAGAAATATACGCACGTTCTGTAAAAATATGCGAACTGTCACATAATCTATAGAAACATTCAGAAATAAGTCTTGATCAATTTAGTTTTCTGTTAGAGATAAATAGATATAGAGATTTGAAAGAGTTATTTGCCTGAATGGTGAATTGTTTACATTTTGAAAGAAAAATTTGTATTTGCAGTTCAATCGACGTCATCATTGTCGACATTGCGGCAAGGTTTCATGTGCATATTGCTCTAGCCACCGCTGCGCAGTACCTGGTTATCCAACCAAGGTGCGCGTGTGCAAGCAGTGTTATCAACAATTTTACTCTACAGAGCAAAGGTAATCAATATTTTCAAACCTTTACGATGTTACTAAAACCTTAGTCAAGTAACCTCAAAATTTATACTTAATACCATGAAATTTTCTATATGTTCCCATTCCTCAAAAACGAATGTGTTTACTCATTCATTTTATTTGTTATATTATATAATTTATTTTATAAAGTCATTAATCATTTATTGGACTTGTTTACAAAACGAGAATTGGGTAACTGATAAGTAGCAAGCGCAAGGTGACTGGTTTTCGTTCGTTTCCAGACGTCACCATTCCAAGCTTGACTTCTATGGAAGGATCTATTGACCGTTCCATTGATTCTCTCTGTCTTTCAGCTCTATTTCTTCTGAGTGCCGGGAGGAGCTACTGCTTATTAAGAAATGAACAATGATTTATCCTGTACTTTATCCAATAAGAATTTACGCGATCACCAGTTCATTTGAACCTGGTGCAAACGCTAGGCGTGCAAACGCTAGGCGTGCAAACGCTAGGCGTGCAAACGCTAGGCGTGCAAACGCTAGGCGTGCAAACGCTAGGCGTGCAAAGCCTGAGGGATTCAATAACGTTTCACCACAGAAAAGCTTTTTAAAGGCTTAATTACCTTGCGCGTTGCAGATTTAATTTCCATATTTGGAGCAGCATTTATAAGTGATACTATTTAGTTTGTTAGGCAATATATGCATATTTTTCGACTGTCATTATCGTTTTCAATGTGATTGCGATGATCGTCATATCGACTTTGACTAAACAGCAGCTTTGATTTTGATAAAATCTAATACTGCTATTCCTATCCACAGAGGTACAATAAAAAGAGAACGGCAGGATCGTGGTAAGTGAGCGTGATATTTGTGTTACAATATGAACTTAATACACTTGGTATCTTTTCATACGAAAGCATAGAAACAATGGTGTCAATTCACATTTTAGAGTCATCATCGCTTCCAGAATCTGCCTCAAGCCTGCCTCGATACAGTTCCCCTATTAACAGTGATTCGGAAAAAGACGTGGGTAACAAAATTGAGTCTGGAGATCCGGGCGAGTGGCAATTGACTGTCGATGACAAAAAGAATGAGGATATTAAGAAAAGTTTCTTTTTTGAGCAGGTGATATTATAGGATGCATTTTACATACCTCATGCTATCGTCGCGTATGATATTCTAGTTCATGCTATGCAAGCAAAATCACGGACATCGGGAAGGGGGGACAGGGGGTCCAACGCCCCTGTTGCCTTTTGGTAGGAGGGGAAAGGGGGCCAAAGTGCCTTTTTCACAAAAGTCCCCTTGACTTGTTATTATCAAAAGATTCCCATGAATTTCTGACTGTATTGCCTTATTCTTGACGACAAACTTGTAAAGAGATTTCTTATCCCAAACGTTACCTACAGATACGTACGATTTTAAGGGTACCTACAGAAGATCGAAACAAAATGTTTGTTTGTAGCTGGGAATTATTTTTCCAATGTTCCTTTACCAAAACCGCCCTCTTCGACCTTTGGTCGTTCCGGCGAGCAATATGATGACGTAATACCATTGCATATTCTTGTTGGCAGTCTATGCTAACCTCAAGTCAAAGGAAGTAAACTTTTTATATCAGGAATTTTCATATATGTGTCTAAAACCATTTTAGATCAGATTTTGTCAGATTTGGCTGCTTCTAGATAACAAAAAGTGATTTCACCACCTTACAGATATTAATAAAAAACCTGTATTCTTGATGTGATTTCTGGAGATCTTTCAGTTGATAAACAATTGTTATGGCACAAATTTGTCACACTTGGTATGACACTGCCCTTATATCTATCTACTTTCATACGAAAGCTAGCTTCAGTCTAGTCTAAAATTATTGTAATGAAAATCACCTTATTACTTCAAGAAAACATTTCAAGGTTTTGTGGAATTTTCGAAGCATTCTAACGTTTATTGAATAGAAGCTACCTTAAATACGTTTAGAAGCTACCTTAAATATAAATATTTCAGTTTTTAAATACATCAGTATACCACTTGTGCAACAATAAAATCTAAAGATACCTATCAAATTTATAAAAATGGTATCTTTAGTGTCCTAATGAAAACTTGGCAGAGCTGTACACGCTATTTGTTGTATTGGAAAGGACAGTTCTAAGTTTAACGCTTAATGCGATCACGAGGCAACAGTTCTTTAGTTTCCTAAAGTGCTGAATCTCTCCGTAGGCTCCTAGTGCTTCTCTTTGTGTGGCAATAGTTGGGCAGTACAGCGATGAGCAAGTAGTTGGTGGCATGCTACTAAAGTTTTGCAATGATCTCTCAAAGCACATGACTATCAAAGATCTTGATATGGACAAACCGATGTTGGTGGGGTATGTATGCACTATTACTATTCACAATTGTCATCCAACCTTAGCAATGCTATGCACATTGGCTATTTAGCAGACTGTGCGTATAATTTCGAAACTCCTAAAAGATATTCGTTTTAGGTTTCACATTTTTCCAGCGATCATCAAATGGTTTTAAACCAGTGCCAATTGAACAAGAGGACAAATCTCAGCACAAAATAAACTGAATGGAAATTGAATCAAGTGAAAATGACCTAGCAATTTTAACAGGCTAATTTTGACAGATAAGGTTCCTCTATTTGCTCATTTAATCTGCACATTTCTATTTTTATTGCGTTTCATCTTATTTTTTCAATATTTTGTTTTTATTGGTAATTAATAACGTGGATTGGTAATTGTTCGATCTGAATTAGTTTTATTTCAGGTTTGCATTAAATCTACAGAAAGCTTAAGAATTTTTCTTTTTGTTTCAGAATGATTGAATTCTTGCTTTTTAACGCAAAGGTGAAGTTCATGAAGGCTGGTGCTATCAATGGTGTAGAGCTTTGTGATTCGTATGTATTTTAGCGTTATAGTTTGCATTTGAATCTGCTGTACCATCTTGATTATTATTTTCAATCAAAAGGGAAAAACAAATACAAAAGGCGTGAAAGGAAGACAAATGTAGTTGAAGACTTTTAAGGTCTTGGGATGAATAAAAATGCTTATCCATTATTCTAGCCACAAAGTCTTTCACATTCAAATTAAATGAAAATGGCAGATCCATTTTGCTAGCAAAAGTTTTGAGTGTTTCGTAAATCGTGAACCCAATAAAATCATACAAAATTGGATGTTGCTCAAACGTGTCGTGCCCTAAAAGCTGTATTAAGCCAAGTGGGGGCTTATTTAATTCTTGAGTCTCTATAGGAAGGCTTTCTAGAGAGTGGAGGCTTGAAGGGAAAATGTTTTAGGGGAACATAATGCACTAGGGGTAAATCTCCACGAATTTATGTTTTTCCTCGAATTTTTCGTTTTAATTTAATTTGTTCTAATATGTTGATAAATTTTTTTCGACATCAGCATTCTGACACCTATATTCAACCTGTTTTGACAATTTTTTTAAGAGATGAGATCCATTTTTAAAAACATTTTCGTCACGCTTTCTCTCACATAAATTTTTTCTTGTAGATACATGGCCCACGTTGAGGTCCTTAAACTCCTATTGAATTCTGATTGGACAGAGATACCAACAATGCAAGAGCTTTCACATCCGGAGGGAATTCGGTAAATCTTCTTCTGGTCTTAGTACATTACAGTTGCTGAAATTAAAGGCAATCGACAGATGCTAGCAGATACAGATTGCAAAGATTAAATGCAGATACTAGAGTTGCTTAAGCCATCTGTCCATTAGCTACTGGCCAATCTGTAGAAGTCCTGGATTGACCAATTTTTATTGACAAATGGCTTAAGCAACAACTTTTGATAGCATTTTCCTTTGTTTGAGACATCGCAGCTGCTAGTTCATCCCATACTTAATCAATCAATTCTCCAGCTTCAGAATAAAACTCACGAGCAACAAGTGACAATAACTTTTTTGGCACGACAAACAATTATACTTTTTTTAATTGCAGTAAATTGCCCTGAGTATATATCTCACAATTTTAAAGAAGTCGCCATCTATTTTCAAAGTAATTTAGAATTCAAGTAAAGACTTAACATTGTGGGAATGACCAGCTTTGAACTCTTGGCTTTTGATTGAGAATGGCATATCATAGAGCTGACTGGTTTGTCTTTCAAATATTGGATGATTTTTAACCTGCGTGGAATGAGCTAACAACAACCTGTGGATTTGATGGTCTTTGTCTGAAAGCTACTTAAATGTGTATCGCCTTGGTGAAAAATGACAATTGTTTTTTATTCACCATCTACTAACAAAGCTCGTATCAATTTTAAACGTAATAATGACGATTTGTGGGTTTTGTGAGTCTGAGAACGTATTGAATTTTTAAATGAGGCTGTCGAAGGTTCTTGCGAATGATCTGGCCCCGAATTCTTTAGTCATGACGTCCATTAAACAGGCTTTTAGTGCGTTGAAAATATCAGACCGACTGAGTCACGTATGGGAATCTCATATAGATATTCTATGGCAATACTTACTTTAAATTCTGGGGATCCTTTGTAACAGCCAATGCGCTGGCTTTTTATCTTTTCGATTAATAAGAGTTTCTATGTGCTCGAAGAATTTATTATTGATACTTTTGTGTAAAAGTTATTCCTCATTGTGAAATTCCTTTGCTATATCAAACATACTGTAAATTTATATTGGTTTCACTACATCGAAAATATCTTATATCATTTAAATCATATTATTTTGTACCTTAAAGGCGTTTGAGAGATCGATTAGTTGATTCCGAGCGGTTCTCGTTAGCGATTGATGTAACAGGAAAGTGTGGTCTGGACCCTGGGACTGTTTGGTTTGCCTGGGGCCTATCCCAGCTGAAAAGTGGAGAACTAGGTGATGCAAGAGAAAACTTTTCTAAGTGTCTCACGGCAAGTATTTTGATAACATCCTCGTTATGTTTGTAGAGTAACGCCAAATTGTATGTGTACATGGTCTGATTGCAAAGAGTGCTGTCATTTTTACGGATGATGAAGTCGAATCACGGTTTTCAAAAATAAAGCTTGTTTTACATCCTTCGATTAACAGAATGGAAAATGACTGAGATTTTTTCTTCAAATATGCTTTTGTTTAACCGTTTGCATTTTTTTTGCTTTGAGCGTTATGAAATTTTTGATATTCTTGATCCACAGTACTTGTTTGTATATATGGATGCTCATTTTCATACAAATACACTTGAGGGGAATCAACTTTGTCAATCAAATGCGATCAATCTGCCAAAAGACATATTAAAATTTTATAACTCTGTTTTCTTGTCCTTGTCTAAACTGCATCATATATATATATATATCAAGTTTCCTATCATAGTTTCATAACATTCTATTCTCTATTGGTGATCTCATTTTTCAATCCATGTTAACTTCTTTGTCAAATGATTTATTTTTCTTTTGATCATACCTTTGTTTATATGCACTTGCTTTCAATTTCAGCCCTTGAAAAGTGTCGAAGAAAGATCTTTGCAGCCAAATGTTTTGTATCTTAAGCAAATCCTGGAGATCATTGAGACATCTCCGCTGCTTGCCTATGCCAAGGTAAATATCGTTGTATTTCCCTTAACATTGCACTTGAAATTTGGCTTTTGTTTATTTGGCACTTCGATTATAAAAGGCTATTTGTTCACATATAGTACCTTCACTTGAAATTTTGCCGCCGCACTATATTTGCTGATTTATTAACGTTGTTCATGGAATTCTCATTTGAGATAATAATTAATTTCTTTGATTCTCTCATTAAATGATAGTGTATAATAATATATTAAGATTCGTTAGCAGCGGATTACGCAAACATCATTGTTTGGATAATATTTTCACTGGTACAATATCTGTGTTCATCATTATTTTGTCGATGATCTTGTGAAAACAAGTAAACAGAAAGAGGAACTCTTCATATAAGTAATAGATCAGAAGCCGCTATTGGCCAAAAAAGAACCAATCAAACGTACCATTCTTTCCCTTCCGTGTTGTAAAGTCCAGACCGGTGCACAAAGAAAAGCCAACTAGTGATATTCTACCATACCACTAAGCAACTTCTAGCAACTAATTACAATGAGTTCATATGGCAAAACGATTTATCAAAAGGCCTGCCAACGGAGTGGTTGACAGGAGAAAGGATTGGGTTCCACCCTATTCTCAGGGTTCGATCGTTTCAACACGTGTTACTTTCGTTCAACACAGCTTTGGTATGGTGTGTTTCCGCTGTTCCCTGTTCTTTTAAAAAATTTAACTAAGAAATCCAAAGAGCCACATCAAACTAATGATACCTCGTTGGATTTTCTCTTTAGGATGACGATCTTCTTACTCCACTTCATGCCTTTATAGAGCAGGAACGGGTACGTAGGTTTAAATCTTCATCTTGCCTCAGGCCTTTTGAAGATAATTATACATTCTTAAACATTTTTATTTAAATTGTACTTTCGTGTAAGGGCGACATTTTCACAACTGTAACTAAATGAAAGCACGTTTTTTCAATGACAATTCCAAGAGCTTTTATTGTTTTTTGTGCTCAATTTGCCATATATTGTATTCCATAGAAGTATATTTTATCTTGAAATTTTGTATCAATTTTTTCACAGAGGTCGCAGACTGGCTGTGTATTGGATAAAAGGAGATACGATGAAATCATTTATTATCTTACCAAGTACGGATCTCATAAGCAATTTGTCAGATTTTATGTCCGGCATGGTCTTATGAGGAAGGCAGCAGCCTATATCAGAGATAGGGTTAGTTTTTTGGTGCCATATTTTGTTTGAGGTTTTGGTATCTGTTGCGTTTGGACTATCTGTTGATTATGCATATGCTTATGTTTATAGATTGAAGCCTTTGTTGTCAATATGTTGTGACTCACTTTAAAGTAATGAACAGCAGGTATCGCAACAGCATAGTGGGCGAACACGTTGACCTGCCAACCTACCAACCTACCATATTATTCTTGTTGGTCTCATGGATAATTTCAATTAATTTTTTATTAGTTCTGCTACAATTTTCTAGCACCCAGTAGCATCCATCATTTACTTATCAAATTTTTATTTTCACTCTACTTAAAGTAAAACTAAACATTATTGAATAAATGCTTTATTCCAGCCTATAGAATGTTAGGTTGAAGTTTACCTTTATGTAATTTTACGTAAATTTATAACCAAGTAAAAATCTTTTTTTGCGCAGAAATGTTCAGATGATATCTTTGTTGAAGAGCTCCTTATGAGAAATTTTCAAGATGGGTCGTTTGAGCTGTTAACCAGGGAGCTAGAAGAAATGGACCCGACACTTAATAGTTGGAAAGATTATCTGGTTAAGTCTTGCCGCTACCTTAGTCGGAAACGTCTGTTCAATTGTCTCTATCAAATGCAAATATTTTTAAAGGTAAATCAGCCTTTCGTTTTTGTTTTGAAAACATACTGCACTTCTTCGATGCCTCCTTTATAAGCAGTATCAATATCATTCGTAGCCCTGTGTACCTTTACCATTAGTTTTATTACCGTAAATTCTCTTTTGAATCCCCTTATAAATTAACCCCCCTTATTAGCCCCCTTTTCAAAAGGAAAAATTCGATAAGCCTTCTCTCAATTTAGCCCCCCCCCCTCATATTTCACAGAAAAAAATGAGTAAACAAAAAACAGAAATTTTCATTGGTCGTTGGATACCTCTCATCAAATCAAAATACAAAGCATGTTTCTTCCAGTCTCGACGGATCTTAAATCAAAGATTCATTAAGCACGGGCTATCTCAGAGAAATAAAGTCGACCATTTCGAATGCTGGAATTAAAAGACGACATGGCCCAAGAAGATATTTTAGAATTAATAATTGTTAATAATTTTAGAATTGATGACGATGACAATGACAATGTTATTGATTCAAAATCTGTTTTGATATTTTCTCGCAAACAACAAAAACTTAGTCCACCTCAATGCCTTTTTATTAAAAAATATTTATAAGCCCCGCTCTCTTACAAGCCCTCCTTTAAAGTGCTGAAAAACAATTAGCCCCGGGGGGCTTGAAAGAGAATTTACGGTAGTTCTTTCAGTTAGATATTTTGTCTGTGCTGTTAACTTTTATTCGTTTGTAAGATTCTTAAATACAAAAGAGCATCTGAGGATGGAGAATTTTGCTCATTTACGTAATCAAAGAGCCTGACTTACTTTGAATTCAAGATGGACTTGAAGAAATTTGGCTGTGTCAATTTTAAACTATACTCCATCTGTAATTGTTTTCTTTGGTTTGGTCCTTTCTTCTATCCAGTAATTATTTGCTTGTTAGCTCCATTTCATGTAGACACGATTTTGTTTTCATTCAGGATTTCTTCAGAGCAGCAACTACCTGTGTTCGGTTCTTTTTGGGAGATGCTGGAAATCCTGCCCGGTCTTTTAAGGAATTATACAACCGGCTTGATTACCTTGATCGGGCAAAGAGACACCTTGAGACTGCTTTGAAGGAAAAGGCTATCGTCAAGTCAACATTTGTCAGCCATATTGGATCTCTTCGTACGGATGATCCAGAAAGCTCTTCTCTAATCCAAGAAGTTCCAGTGTCTGAGCTTAAAAGCCACCTAAACACGATTGACTTGCAAATAAAAGTTTTAAATTTCTTCAAAGAAAGGGAAAGAGTTTTTAATGAAAATATCCCTGGGACCGTTCCAACCTTGTTTGGAAGGGGACAAGAACGGGCAGAAGTAGTTTCAAAGGTAGCATTTTGTTTATTATTTTGTTGGTTAATGCTTCTTATATTTACTTTTATTCTTTATGAAATCCTCGAAGCTCGTTGTATTTTGTGTATTATATATTGCCAATAACATGCATATTAATTGTTTTGCAATAAATTCCAGTGGGTCTCGTACACCTGTTTGACAATAACTTCAGATTTCGTTTATCACATAGCTGTTGGTTGAGTCCATAAACAACGCGTTTCCATTGGCTTCAAGAATCATGCAGGTCTGTTCCTTTCATTTCTTTGCATATTATGATATTCCAACTTCTTGTTCATGCAGAACTGTTTCAGCTGCTGTTGGCCTTGTTTCAGAATACTGAAATTTCTTTCTTAGATCTTTCGAACCGCCAAATTAAAGGATGGTTTAAAATCGTGTGAAGCCATATTATTAATTTGCAATTTCATCATTTTCTTTTTATATACCTTGGAAAGTGACTAAAACATGTCCCCCAGATATGTTTCAATTTCTTTTCAGGAGTTATTTCTGTAATATTTTATCAGATAAAATAAAAATGATGAATCGTTAATACCTTAGAGTCGTGTACGTTAGTACCTTATAAGTGGTACCGTAGATTTGCATGTGTTATTTTGTAACACGATGTGTACTTTTATTGCATGCATAGGTGATACTGAAATAACTGTTAGTTGTGACTAGCCCTCTTTTCTAGTTAATTTGATATTTTGTATGCAGAAACGCAAGTTATCGTAACTTTAGATCATGGCCGCATCAGATTGTTTACCAGCGTGATAACTTCTTTGTGATACTCCTCACTGTTGTGTTTCACTTCTTTATAGCGTGAGTATAGTTTTATTATTATAATTCTTTTCCTTATTCTCCATCAGGATTATCGTCTGCCTGCAAAAGTGGTTATAGGTGACTGTATTAAAAAACTTGCACTGGAAAAAGAGTATGATGCAATATTCAACTTGATTAAGATGACCGAATCAACAGGGACAATTTCTTATAAAGGAAAGGATCAGCTACTTGTTCAAGTTGTGGAGCAAATTTCGTCTAGCGGAGAGGTCAGTAAAAGACTTTATTTCGAGAAAATTTTATTTCTTTCTCCTGTACATTATCTTAATTAAACAGGTTATACACTAGTACGCCTGGTTTCTAATTGGTAATATTTTCCTGGGGATGTACAATATCATCAGACATTGTATATGCCCCCTGCCGCTAATACGCCAGGGAACTGATTCAAATTCTCTTCCTGGGGTTGTACCAAAATTTTTGTTTTCTTCGGTAAATTTTTTGGTAGTCAATAGTAACAAAATGATGAAAAAACGTTTTTTCATTTATCTTCTTTATCTTAATGTTAAAAACTGAATTTTAAAAATGGCTGTTTCCGTCAGTTTCCAGTCACCTGAAAGGTGTGGCACAAAATCCAATCATTATCTAACAGATAATTACCGCTTAAATCCGTCCCTGGGGCTAGCCCTAGTACCCAAGAAGGATAGCTAGTGATAACAAAAGGAAAAGTCATCCCCGTACCTACAGGTAGTCGTGGAAAGGATTTTTAAGCTGCATAGGACCAGCCCTCTCGTAAGTCGATTACATGAACAAATGTGGCATTACATCCCTGTTGTCAGGGCAGCCATCTTTCCAGCAAGAGGGATCCAGGCTTCCAGGACTGTTCCTGTCTGCACATAACCGCGAACTCAAATTGTTTTAGTTTCCAATTTATACCGAGATCTTGACAAGAATAATTTGATTTTCTTTCGTCTTCTAGAATGCAAGACAGGCAAACCAGTTTATCAAGATGATTAAAAGCCAGTCTAAAAAGGTTCGTTTGTCAGAGCTTTTTTAGCTTATCGTTTTATTCATTGAAGGCGCTCACAGACCTGTCAATTTTCGTGTTTTAAGGTTTTTGGACCCCATTGAATGTAACCTCATAGATTCAGACAATTTCATGTTTTGTATCTGCTGAAGAGACAAAATGATTTTGATTTAGTGAATCTACTTTGTTTTAAATCTGTTATTTTGCTCAAAAACTTTGCTTTATACCGGAGATTTTAAAGTACCTTGCAGTGAGCTCTCAGGTAAAATGAAATGCAGAGATTGAAAGCGTTTTATTCACTGGCTTAATAGTTATTTAAGCCGAGGTATCGTCAGAGCTTAAAACAACGTGTTGGAACGACTAAGCATTTGAATATTTAGGCCATAGTCTGCATTTGCTGGCTGTATACCACTTATCAAGTATTATAATTTATGCACATTTGCAGGTTGACGCACTTATTCTTTGTGAAAGGCTCAGAGATGCTTACGTAGAGGCATTAAAAGAAGACAGTATGCAGGACATAGAGCGAATAAGAATCCAGGCTGTGAAACTGAGACAAAACCACGTAATTGACATCTGCCAAAGATTTCTAAAGAACTACGAGGAGAAAATGAAATCAAAGACAAAATGAAATCGTTAATGCTAGGTTCGGGACTAGCTTTATACGCTCGGTTCATAGCAATTGCGGCAATGTAATGAAAGCCTGATCTAAAAAGTGAAAGGTTTTTGAACTACAATCCCGGACAAAAATGTTGAGACAAATGGAATTTTTGTAGTTTTCTAATTTACCTTACCCCTGTAAATTCAAATTCCCCCCTTTCCCCCTGAAGCAACGTTGGATTTCTAGTTCTATCATTTTTGCTTCAAAATCATGCATTCAACATTGAATCGGGGAAGGGGGAAGCTATTTTTTAAAGGAAAGAGAAAGCATAACGTTTTCTTGAAAAGTCTTAACTATTTTTTTCCGGGATTGTAGTTTGACGTGCGAAGGCTGTCTATGTGTATAATCGCTTTTTAATGAAGAGTTAGGTTTTTCAATTGAAGATCAATTTAGTTGACAAAAGGGGTTATCTAGACTTAAAAGTTCGTTAGTTGATCTTCAGTGTATAATTTGCAAATAGAACCAATGACAATTATTTATAATTCGTTAATTGAAATTTGAATTACCCCTTTTTATGGAGGTGATTTGTATATTTGGAATGTCTATATTGATTAACTATAAATAGCCTCGTTGCTTTCAATTTTTTGTTCCTGTACTTGGGAGACGATGAAATTTTTAGGGAAAAGAAGGAACTGGCCATTTTGTCTTAAAAATTTTCCTCTACTCCCATTTTCTAAGGCTCTGGTTTCCATACTACAGCCCCTACTTCTTGCTTCAAAACCAGTTTGCTTCTTCACACAGCGTTGCAGCAATGTTTCAGGGATTCTTTACAAATGTAACACGAAAAGTCAGTAGTCGCTAGATACTATTTCTTACTTAACGTATGTTTTTAGGAAGGGCTATCTGTCGGTGGAAAACTTGCACTCATCAAAGTTACTCTTGTTCCTCAAGAATTTCGCTAAATCTGGGCAATGCCAAGTTAATCGTCCTATCTTATTTATTGGCCCCACTCGCAGCCCGCAATTCAAAAGGTCGAAGGCTCACAGTTACAGTTAGTTAAATTTGCACATTCGCCCTGGGGAACCTTTCTCTCCTTTTTTGGTACCACTATGTTCGACTCGATTCCTTTTCGAGGAACTTGTACTCAGTGTAGAGGAAACGCTTAATGAACGAAGTTTTTAACTAGAGGGCGTGCTTCCGAGACACGAATGGAAGTAATGGTCAATAAAAGTCGATACAAGCCAATCTAAGTCATAATTCTTAGCAACTTTCCTAAATATTTTGCTAAATTTTCAACTGTAGCGTTACTGAAGCTCTACAGTTTTCATGTGAACAAATGATTGAGTATTTGTAGATGCCTTTTTCCCCTTAAATTTTTATAGTTAAAACTAGTCAGTATATTAAAGCAGATTTACTTGTTCATATACTTTTCTTGTGGTTTTACGGAGCCCTTGATGAGAAATAAAAAGTTGCAAGCCGCTTTCTGTAAATTATATTTTTGTAGAGTATCTAATTCAAGAATAACAAAACACCGTGATAAGGACAACAATCAAATCTTTTGTAATCTGTCGCTAACACCAAGTGGAAATCAGATTTCCGTTGTTTGTGGAGAGAACTTTCCTGTGAATACACTTTGTGCAACGCACTCCTTGCCATCAGATAATCGAAGTAATTCACAAAAGTAATTAATAAACACTCAGCCATTTCCTGTGGTTGTAACAAAGTCTTTCTGTCTGTTTGCTAAATTGCGTGTTGAACAAGGTCATCAAAAATGGTGGCCTTGCAGTACCATAATTCTTGATCCAGATTTACGTCTCATAAGAAAATCAGACCAAGTCAGTCTGGAATCTGCGTTCAGTTCCACTCTGTTTTATGAGAACCAGATAATTTAGGCCCAGACTCGGATGATATATTATTTTGGATGATTAAAGGCTCTATTGTTCTTCATTTTGACATGTTGAACATTTTGTGTTCCAGGTTTAGTTCAAAAAAACCGACGTCATTGTGAAAAGGGCTTTTTTGTCGGTGATAACGTCACCAACATGACGTTATAAGCTCAAATTATCACATTGCTAAGAACATCAATTTCATAGTGCCAATTAATTCCAGACATCCCGTTTGCCATCGATTTTCGCTTTGCCATTTTATGTGGACATCCAAAAAACAGTGTCAATTCATCCGCCTAAAGGTGTACCTACCGCCAGTAAAAGCCTGGTCGTCTATTCAATTTGGCTGCCAAGGCCCAAAGACCGAGGTACAACCTTTTGTTTGGGGGGGCAGCCCTTACTTATAAGAATATAAGAAGGCATCTCCCCCTCCCCCCGGCCCCCCAGTATCTCGGTCCTCGCTAAGGCCCCTGTTGTCACTATTAGGATTCTCAATTCAGAGTGACTATAACAAATGCTAACACTAGATCGAGAATAAAACAGTATTCTATTCAAGACTACCCTCTATTCTCTAGCTAAGCTTATCTTTAGTACCAAAATTGGCGAATGAAAGACAAAGTAAATAATGGCAAACGCTTGGTTAGAGTTCTTATATTAGTGTGTTTACGACGCCTGTTTAGTTGGAGATAACTTTGGCAAGATTGTTTGGCACTAACACTTTAATTCAGACTGTATTTTTAGCTTAGCGTTAGCCTTGAGTTATCAATTCATTGTTGTTTAAGCCAGGTGATTAAACAAGAATTCGTTTATTTAGAGAGGATGGAAAACAAAATGGTTAGAAAAATATTTGTCAAGGAACTAATAGTTAACAAATGGTAGCATGACTGTACTTTTGTTTCGATCGACAAATGTAGTTTCAACTAAATTCACCAAAAACAATTTACTATTTCCTTCTAAAGGTCAAGGAAAAGCAGAACGATTAACAAAGAGAATAGGATTGCAACGTTATACTGAGGCATGGATTTTATGCAAATCTAAGAATGCAAAGCGTAAATGAAAAGTACAAAGGCTTTGTTGCTGTTTGCAAATGTAGTGTTTTTGACCTCAAAGGAGTCCAGTCAGCACTCCCTAGTATATCAAGTATGCGAAACGTCAGTATTTCAGACCTCACAAGCCACCAATGGCAATTAATCGACTGTAAGAGGCTGATAGGAGAATGCTAAGTAGAAACATAAAAATCCAATAATTTATCTGCTATCCTTGTGGTCACATCAAAGTGATTGTACAGAAGAAAGAAAAACCGTGATGAAGTTATAAGGAAAGAGTACATCGTGTTATTATTTTCAAGGGCTCTTCGGACGTTGATAGTGAACAATGGCTGCAAACAATTACAGCTATAAATAAGATATGAATACGAGGCACTGCGATCTTAATTTGAAATCTCCAGATGGAGCCCATAGAATTATGAAGGTATTGAGCCATGCATAATGGCAGCTTAAAAAGACTTTGCATATAATGTTCTTCCCGGAAACCTCAAAGAGGTCGTTTACTGTGTTTTGATAAGCAATGACTGAGTTAGGCTTGAAAAAAGAAAATTAAAGGGCTTCGATAAACCAAAACGAGTGATCTACATGAATTACCCAGGTCAGGAAAATATGTTTTTGCGAACATACTGTAGTCATTTTAAGCAGTGCCAGTCAAAGCTTAGTTTTATAACTACACTTTTTTTATAAGAACCAGTAAATTTAAGTTCAGGCTGACTGTTCTTAATTTTTTCGAAAATCTGAGGCTGGATTGTTCTTAACTTGTTGTTAAATTAATAGGGTGTAAGCAGTGTGGTTGCTAGCTTTTCTCGCTCTAGGGTGGTGTTCGGGCCTCATTTGCCAACAAAGCGAGCGAGACAACCTTCATTTGCCGACAAGTTTGAAGATTCGCTGAACAAGCATCCACACGTGGCTAAAAATCCTCGTTTTTGAGATAAAACGTTGTTCAAAATTGCATTTTGCAGAAGCTCAGCCTCAGCTTGTTCTTAATTTGTTCTTAACTTTTGACCAGTTTTGAGGCTCTTGTTCTTATAAAATTGTTCTTATTAAAAAAGTGTAGTTAAAGTCATTGAACTTTTTGGTCCAAATTTAAATTCGTAATTACAGTGACTTGTATTGTTGAGAGATTTCTTTTAATCGTAAACAAACTTTATTATCAAACAAGATCTGTAGACATCTTTTCTTTAGACAACAAGATCTGTAGACAACAACCTCTTTTCTTTATATCTTAAAAAAGAAAGCGCTTGTTTCAAAACTAGGGTTACAAATAGAATTGAGAATAACAGTGACGTAACCATGGAAGAAGAGCAATAAAAGCATATGGGCCCTTAAGGCCCTAAATATTCCAAAGGAGCGAATGTCCAGGAGTAGGCCTAGGCTATATTGAATATGGTCTTCTTTTTCTTTTTGCTATAATGCTTTGCTATAATAGAGTGGGTGCTCCAGTGTTAGGAACAAGTTTATTCCCTTTTTTAATTTACTTTTTAATAAGATTTTTTTCCAGTTAAGTAAGCAGAATTTCTTGATAGAATTATGTCGGTAACGTTGTCTAGGATCTTCTTAGTTCATTTTGATGACTGACATTCCTCAAGCTTGAAGAAGGGTTGAGATGTTGCTAGATCATTGGCTGGGACGGATTTAAGCAGCAATGATAAGGGGGGGGGTGTTAGATAATAATTGGATTTTGGTGCAACACCCTTTAGGTGACTAGAAAATAATGAAAACGCCCAGTTTAAAAGTTCAACTTTCAACTTCTAAGTAAAGAAGATAAGAAGATATATAAAGGAAATTTTTGCATTATTTTGTTAATACTGACCGAAAACGAACGAATATGCTTAAAGTTAACAACAGTTTTTGTCTCGAGAACTGCACTTGAATAACATTGACATTGGTCATCTATTAACGGGATGATATGGAGGTAAAATATTATCCTGCCAACCCACAAAGCTTTTACTTCCCCGTGAATTACATTGTTAGCGCAAGGAAATCATATGGACCTTAGGGTTCAAGGTGCAAGGAGTAAGGTGATGAGAAGGGCGACAAAAGCGGTAGCGGGGAAATTAACAAATATGAACAAAAAATTAGCCAAAAGGCATAATAGCTCATCTGAGAACGCGCGGTTGCACAGTTTGGAGGGCTGGTTAGCTCTTAAATTCACCATATTATACCCTTCTCAGCTGGGGAACTCTTTGTCACAGACTGCTATTCATCTAATCTTTATCAATTATGGTTAGCCTTCCCACTTTCATGACTCTTATTTCCCAAAGTCTCACTGCAGTTCCTGAAATCCCAACTAAAAATTTGGTTCAAGAGCAAAAGATTTTCCCTATGGGGGTGTGCATGATCCTCACGATAGCCGTCGTTTTCCATGCTCTCGTGACGTTTTCGATAATTTTCTACATTTATATTCCTCTTCTAACCCAAAAATATTCTGCTCCTTCTTCTATTGGTACAGAATAGGTTCGGTTGTCCTTTTCTGTGTCGTCGATTTGATATAACCATTGTCCATTGGGATTTACGTCGCGACGGGAATCTCACCAACTTTTATTTCCGAAAAGCAGCGGGAATGCTTCTTTGTTCTGGGTGTATTGTTCGAGAGAAAGAATTGTGCTGAAAGTGAGACAAAACATTCTTGTCATTCCACGACGATGATTGGTTATATTAATTGTCATGTGACCGTTTATCGCGCATCGTTACTCATGTCCTAAACACAAACATGGAGGAGGGCAGCTTCCCGTAGTGATGTTATACCGGTTTGGTTAGTGCACTTAGTGCTCATTGACTGCAACAATTACTTACAAAGTCCTATCGGTTAGTTGGAAATTTCTTGTGAAGTTTAACCAGATATAATTCAAGAAAGTTATGAAATTGACTGTGTGCTTTGGACCCGTCAAAGTTATTGTTCCTTGTGGAGATGGAGAACTTACTGTTAACGACTTTATTGAAAAGGCCACGTCCCGTTACATCAAGGCTTCACAAAAGGTAAGCTCTATACCATGGTTCTGATATAAGGTAATTTTAATCAAACATATAGCTTAGTTATTGAAATCAGTACACCCTTGGCTGCACCGTAAATCCAATCAGACTGAGGAGTACAACCCAGGACGCAATGTAAACTTCCTTGGTGGTTACATTTTTTATAAAGGTTGGCTTCGATTCCAGCAACTAATCTGAATGTTTCCAAGACCTTCTTCAAGCTGCACCAGGTAGTCAAAAGAAATCGTGACATTTTTTTGGAACTTGAAGATCTTACTGATGAACTGCTGTGAGTCGTGGTATCTCGTAAAACCCCTAACCGAGTCCTTGTAGCTACGTGATGGCAATTATTAACATTCTAAACGAGAACTCAAAACATGACAATTTTTAATACTCTAGTAATTTTAATTTACCACCTAAAAATAAATCTAAGAGGATAAGAATTTCCGTTAGTATTGTCGACGAAAATATTTCAAAGTGAACTAAACTTTGTAATACGAGACGATATTTATCTTCAATTTACATAGGCGGAAGCCGTCAAATGTAAGTTTCTTATCAAATGTCCAAGATTTGTTGGTATAAGGTAGTGAATTATCTGGGAGTCAGTTTTTTTGCAATTACCTAGCTCAGAATCAGGAAAAAACTTTTGTTTTTTGTGATGCCAGTAATGAATTGACCAAAATTTTATCGGCCACTATGCGAAATGAATACAGAATTTGAATTACACAAAATTTTGTCAAGCAAGTATATTGTACTTAATAAAATGAATTGATTATCGATTCTAAAACGGATTTTTTTGTGACAACCATTTTTTTGCTTTTTATGTCCCTTTTCAAGATGGCAATTAGACGTAGGTGTGAACAGAGCTAGCCAGATAACAATATTATGAATGTCTAGTCTCCTACTGTGAATTTTTTAACAGTCCAGAATGGGTTGTCACCTTACAACTCAAACTTTGAGAAGATTCCAGGATAAATTGTTGCATTGCAGTTGTGCTCAAATTTTCATCATGCAAAACAATCACAATTTTACAGCCTGCTCTTTATACTGCAGTTACTAATTTAATCAATTTTTCACATCCTCAATTAAATTATTGATAACATTAATTTAAGCAAACTAAATTTTGTTGGGCCTTGATTCATTATTCCTTATTATATATAAATAATCTTGTTATTATTATTTTATATTCCTTATTATTATATATTGAAATCCAGTTCAGTGTCACAAATGTTCCTTTTACTTTTTGCATATGTTTATTGGTATTTTTTTGCAACTGTCAGCTTGGATCCTTTTGTTTTAGGAAAATGTTGATGAAATTTATGTAAAGCATTTGCAAACAGAAGATGCTGCTATTTTAGATCATGATGATATTATTGCCGATGTTTGTGATGACCGTGACAAGGTATGCTTTCAGATCTTTGACTTTTTAATCATAGTTTTTAAGGTTTCTGATTTGCGTAATGGATTTCCAGATTAAAGCTCAAAGCCAAAAAATATGGATTGTGATTTTTTGTGAATACTTTTATAATGCCTTTTATGTGTTATCTTTGGGGCTTGCTTGCATCTATCCTGGGATTTTTAGAGAAGACATAGCTACCCTTGACAGCCTTTTGGTACAGAAAATAATTTTATCTAGAAGAAAAAAGGCTAGGACATCCTTTTTATTTTTATATTTATGTATATATGTTAAAACAGAAGCATGTGATCAAAAATGACACTTCTAGCAGTCCTAATTCTCTGAAAAGGAATGTGGGTGATATTTTTAGTATTTTAAAACATTCATATTTTCTGAGTTAACCGAGATGCTTTCAGAGAATATAGGCACCATCACCATGTTTTTGATTGGATTGTTTTAAGTTGTTACAATAATGTGTAATGGTTTATATGATCAACACATTATCAGTAATTTTCAAAAATATTTTATATGCTTCTGGCCAAGGGCTTATTTTATATCATGTTTCAATTTCACAGTCATTCTTTGTTGTAGATTTTTTTCTGGATCTTTATTTTCCAGAGACATTTTCTCCAATTAAATTTTTTGTATAATTGAATCTCTATTATTTATATTGCTCTGATTGAAAAAGTTTTGGGTAGAAAAACTGAGTTGCAGTACCCCCATGTTAAAGAAATGAATGTTGCAGAGATTTTAAAGCAATAACACACAAATGAGAAAAAAGCAAAAATAGGAATTATTGAGTTTTAATAAAGCCAATGGATATACAATTTTTATAAGAACATCAAGGCTCAATTTATTTAAAAAAAAAATAAAAAATTGAGCAATATAAGAAATGTTCAGCCTCAAGTGAAGCCTAAAAAAAATTTTTCGAAACCTACTGTTGTTTTATCAGAATATAGCTGATTTCTAAAATCAACAGTATTTCAAAAATGTCATGCAAACATATTGTTGAGTGGTCTTAGTAACATTTTTTAGCATGTAGTTAAAGATAATTTATTTTTGAAATAAGAACAACAATAAGAATAAAACATTAAGGACAAGATTAAGGCAAACATTAAGAACAACATTAGGAACATGTGGCCCCACTTGACCTTGTGAAATTGAATATTTTCTATTGTTTTACCCTTTTACTTTGCACTTTGCCCCCATTGCTATCTTTGAGTACAGGCTTCCCTGATTCAGAACACTGAGTTCTCAAATTATCCAAGCAATGGGTACATCAAACTCAACAGAAATTATCTGGCTCGTATAAGAAAGAGCGTACTTATTTTCAAGCAATGAATGACCAGTTTTTCGTATTTGACTTAAAAAAGTTGCATTTCTTTGTGCATAAGGAGTATTAAAGCTGTGGTCATTTTTTAAGTAACAATTTTGTAATGCTCTTTTGTATGCTCTAGCTGATAGCAGTATTTGAAGACAGGAGTCAGTTCAGCACAGAAAGAGTTGATCTCTCCAGGGCATCTCATATCAGAGCATCATCACAGTCAACTTCGTCCTCAGTCTCAGGATTGTCATCATATCATTTGGAAAGGGATCAGCCAGTAGCACCCCCTCCAAATTTTGAGAATGGAGAAGCACAAACTGTTTATGGAGTTGACAAAGAAAGTTTTTCACATAACGAGAAAACAGCTGGAAGGGAGGATGGCAGAGAGAGGAGAAGAGAACGTCCTTGGAAGTCCAGCGAAGTGCTGAAGTCTTCCAATTCCCAACCCGGACACTATTCGTCCAATTCATCTACCCCAATGTCCAGTCCGGACCCATCGAAAGACGCTCTTGGCTTCAATGGCTTTGACAGAAATTTCAACCGGAAATCACTCTCTGTTGGCCACCCCTTACTGTATAGCTGGATCGATGCCCAAGAAAAGATCAATCAAAACACTCATGCCCCGGTACGTATACCTCATTCGGTTGGCTTTCATCAACTCTTATCTTTTCATCGTGAAGTCTGTGGCTCTTTTATATCTAGAGTGCCCCTCTGCAGGCATCTTCCAATACATATCGCCATTAGCAACCTCAGCTGGTTTTAAATAGAACGCATGCCTGCTCAATGTTTGTTCTATTTTTTCAAGTGGAAATTATTGTTCTGTATATTGTATACAGATTTCTGTCGGTCTTTTTATTTTTTCCGGCCAGTTGTGTTCACAAGCTCGCACTGTCTGTTTTACGCAGCAAGATAGGCTCTTCTTCTGGAGACATGAAAACTGCTTGTTCGGAGATACTAAAATAGGCTTTTCGGATTTATTCACGAACGTGTTGAATTAAGTACACCTTCCGCGCACATCTATTATCGCTTCTAATCCATTACACAGTTTAGAATAAGAAACTTTTTACAAGTAGATTTGAAAATGTTTTCCAATTGTTACGAAATTAACGATATTTTCTATGAGAGATATGAAGTGAAAGTGAATTTCAGAAAATGTGAAGAAATCTTCAAGAATTAGCCCAGAAAGTCCACAAATAGTTTTCTTTTGAAAAACCATTTGAATAAACTGAATTTTGCCACAGTATTAGATTTAATATCTAAATAAATATACCTTTGTTTACAGAGTGAGGAAAAGCCGGACAGTAGGCCTCCTCCAATTACCAAACGTCTATCCACTGGACAGGACGGCTCTTCGGCCACTTCAGTTGGGGATTTCGACGACATAGACGATATCTCCTCGACAACAAGTGAAGAAATTGAGCTTGAATCGCGGCTTAGGGAGGATTTCGGTTTGCGAGTGCAAGGGTACAAGAACGCAGATGGTAAAGAACTCGGGCTTATAGTCCACGAGATAAAGAACGATACAATTATGGGCAAAAATGGATCCTTGAATGTGGCCGATAGAATTACCGAAGTAAATGGGGTGAATCTTAGAGATAAAACAAACACTGAAGCTGAAAATATCTTAAACGATGCACTTGCATATGGCACTATCCGTCTCAAAAGAACTCGATCCCATCACTTTATTAGAGCAAGTCTTAGAGGGGAATACCCTTCTGAACGGACTTTTAACTTACCCAGGGTCCCTGAATCTGCCATAGTGAATAGCAAAGAGGCCCCAAAGATAATGAAACCCATAGCAGCTTCAGATCCGCGTGAAGCTCCAATCGAAGGTAAGAATTCTGACGTCACAAATAATGAGCTTATAGTCTTAGCCACCTTATTGAATTCTTAGGTGAAACATCTTTTATGGTTCATATAGGCTGTACTCAGCTGTATCCTGAAACGTTTCTGAGAAGACAAATATTTTGCCTGTTTGTAATTAAGTCTCTGTCCTTAGAAGGAACAAACGTAATCGAAAGTTTCCCCGTTCACACATATCCGGAAGCAATGACATAAGGCTCTGTTGCTACAGTACTGTTATTGTAAAAAGCAAGGTTTCATAAAATATCCGGTTCTTATACCTGAAAACCTTCACAAAAGCCGCAAAGACCTTCTTCAGTATATTTTGAGGGTTTCGAAGTTGAGTTCTTCAAAAATCGTTGTTTTTCAGGATTTTCTTAAATATGACGTCATTGATTTTAACATTGGATTCCTATTTTTGATATTTCATGCTATGAAATTTTCCAACAGAAGCTTGTTGGGGTGGGGTAGGGGGTTATCGCTGCAGACAGTGAGAGTCGTCGATGTTACTATGTTTTTTAATTCTCGTGACATTTCTGTCATTAGATTCGCTCAAATTACTTATTATGTGGCGAGAGTATTTTCAACCTTTGTGTCTAAATTTCTATGCTTACCAGCCAATCATGTTGATGGATTTTTTCGCAACGTCTAAGTTCTGGACTTTTTAAATTGTTCCTTAATTTTTTTGCTTTGAACGATAAAGTATCTTTATTTTTCCTGATTGTCCAGTACATATTTCAAATAGGGAGTTTTTTACTAAAAATATTGAATGCATTGTTTTTTCATCAATACGCGGCTCCTTTGTCATTGTCCCACCCATTTGTGTATATTGGTCATCTTATGGCAGCCCTTTATTTCATGATTTCTTTCGTTTTCAGATCCAAAGAATGAAGTTTCGGCTCCGAAGCCTGTTCAAGGAAAAACAATTGCCATTGAGCTTAGGAAAGGCAAGAAAACAAATTTATATAATGCAGTTATTTATTAATTATTTCTCTTGTGCCTTGCCCTTTTTGAATCTGTGATATCACCTTGTCATTGTTTGAAAAGCACTTCTGAGACTAGTCTCAGATCAATCATTGGGCAGAAATCTCAATTCGTACATGCTATAAGGAAGATACTTAAGACTTTTAAATTTTTTTTGGGCACTATCCCAGAGTTAGAAGTTATAGGGCATAAAAGAGTTCTAGTTTAATCTTTCAAACATTTTAATATAGTACATTCACGGTTATCTAGCTGTCATCGACACCATAAAGCAAAAAACTTAATGTTTAACGTAAAATATGATCATGTCAAGGGAAATCTGTGTTGGTATTTTGAAAAGAAGTCTTCTCCCGATAAATGAAAGGCATATTTGCATTCGTATTACACGTATCTCTTGTCCACTTCGTATTTATGAATAATAGAAACAACGCATGATGAAAAACAGTAATCTGAAAGATTCAAGATTCATTAATGTATTTATCAGGATTTAAGAAGTACAATATGGCGATTTATGTAATATTTAAAAAGGCTTTAACTAAGAGCTCTTTTCAGGTGCAACTGGTCTAGGGTTCAGCATTACAAGCAGAGATGTCACAACGAAAGAGGCAAATCCTGTTTACGTGAAAAACATTCTCCCGAGAGGAGCTGCTATTCAAGACGGTCGATTGAAAGTTGGTGATCAAATTACCGAGGTGAGCCAATTCATTACGAATTATTCTCCAGATATATTTTCTTGCAAAAAACGGTTTCCCGTTGTTATGTGCCAGCTTTTATCTGTTTTACATTCATGAAACGTTTACAGACAACCTATGGTGATTCTAACTTCCAAGGAAAACAAAATTTGTTCAAATTAGGATTTACTCGAATAAAATATTCAGGCAGTCAATCATCAAACCTTGCCTGTATGAACAATTGATGCTTCGTGTGTATATTTCCATATGTGGATGACGACGAAATTTGTCAGAGAAAGCCATGTAAAAAGATATTTCTACCCAAGTTTTGAATTCGCGAGAATGTTATGAACCGTACTAAGATGATGGCTTAGTTTAGTCGTTGGCTAACTTTTTTAAGCTCTATAAAATACTCAAATATTTATATAAACAGAACTCCCTCAGGTGTTTACAACAAGAAGTATGCAGCTTAATTATTAGGGTACAGAGTTGAACAAACTCCGGTACAAAGCTTAGGGGTATTCACTATACCCAGAAGGCTTCAATAATGGTGTGTTATTTTTATTGTAAAAATATATTTCAGATTAATGGTGTTGATGTGAGCAATAAAGATCAGACAGAAATTGTGAATATTTTGAAGAAGGCCACTGGGACAGTGAGACTTTTGGTCTATAGACAGCAAAATGAAGACACTGCGGAGGTGGATGAAAGCGATGATGCAATCGTAAGTTGTTACTGTCTCTTTTTTGATCCAGAGACTAATTGAGACTATTAGCTAATTGGCAGTCGAGCTTAATACGACGCACAAGCAGTTAACTTTTTGTTAACTTGTATATTAGCCAGCTGCATTTGAGATGCAGATTCTCTCTTTTTAACTGGACAAAATAAAGGTATTAGAATTTGTAACGATGCCATGATATTAATTTCTAGTTCATCCTTACCCAGTAATGCTTTTGAAACTATTTTGCTTTCTAGAGGAAAGTTAATTATATTTTAATTTCATCTCTATCCCTCTTACTTTACTAATTTTATTTTGCTTTCAGGATACTATCTCAAATGATTCTGGTATTGCGACAATTAAAGAAGAAATTTTGTCTATGAATATTCCATTGGATGACCTCGGATCGGCAGGCCTCGGAATCAGTGTTAAGGGGAAAACGTCGGCCCATGATAAATATGACCTCGGAATATTCGTCAAGTCAATAATTAAAGGAGGGGCAGCTTCAAAGGTAAGGGGGGGGGCCGTGTAATGATAATTCTAACCTGTTTGCATGACGGAAATATGTTGCTGAAACACTCACTGTTTTATACAACGATAAGTACGTGTTATCCATAAAAATGTGTAAGATTAACAAAGAAGGGAAGAATAGCAAAGGCTTATAGAGGAGGAAAAGCTCATTAAGCCACTCACAAATCGGTCTCCTTAACATTTTGGCCTTTATTCTTTGATGACTAGATTAGACGTTATATATAGCTGCTAAAGCTTACAGCTTTGTTTTTTGTTTATATACACTCATTTTTTTATAAGAAACTGGCTATAAGAAACGAGTACTGGACATTCAGAACAAAAATTAAGAAACCATTAAATCGTGATAAAACTGAGAACTACAAAGTTTGTAAAATCCGAGAACTTGATTGCCCTGTTGGCCTAGAATTTAAGACACAAGGGATAAAAATATACTTCCCACATCTAAATACATCATCAGAACGGAAGCGAATCTCTTGACGTGATATATAAATGGTCACGAACATTTCATTACATCATTCGTGACATGATAATCAAGAAACTCTTAAGCAACAATGAGTATTGAAATTTCCAAAACATGAAGAAACTGGAGTACTCAACATCGACCTTTGTTTCTTAAAAAAAACGAGTGTAAACATGTATTCAATAATTCATCATCCTTTGTTTTTATTTAACAGGATGGGCGGTTAAAACCGGAGGATCGTTTGCTACAAATCAATGAAATTTCATTAGACGGAGTTACAAATGAGAAAGCAATGGAATCTTTGCGACAAGCGTTAACAGAATCTGTAAAGAAAGGTTTCATTCGAATAGTTATTGCGCGCAAAGCAAAACCAGAAGTAATTGATCCGGTTCCTAATGGAAAGCCCGAACTGATTTTGCCTCCTCTGGACCAAATCGGTAAGTTCTAGTCTTTAAGATTCAATATAAATCTTGATAGTGACTCACACAAGTATATGTATGTACCTTTGTGATACCTCATAATATTTATGTGTATACCTTAATGGTATCTCAATATGTTGTCCGATTGTTTCATTTTTGTAGTAGGCTGGACATTTCAAGATTTCGTTGAAATTTTACTTAGTCTGGAAAATATTTCACAAACCAAACACAGGTAGTTTGTAAATGAGAATAAACTTCAATTGATGTATTCCGTTCTTCGCCTTTTGAAAGCTGTTGGACATTATAACAGCTGAAGCGACTCACCACGACGAGCTCTGTTGTTTTGTAGGTATTCGTGATTCTAAAACTATAGATGGGCAAGATGAGGTATCTCCTGGAAGGAACAGCTCACGATTCAACACTGTTAACATCAAGCCAGCTAGCAACGAAGACACGGAGATTCAGCGATCTCAACATCGGCCAAAACCACACAGTGACCAAATTAAACAGAAAACTTCCTCTCAGGACACTGTTAAATTTGTGTCCGTGAGTTCTAGTGAAATACCCGTTACACAACCTTGCAAAACTGTTATTATTGAACGGTCACCCAATACCGATTCTAGGCAAAGACTGCTGGTTGAAGTCAAATCAACGGTGTATCCTAAGGAAAAGCAATCATTTTATCAGGATGGCCAAACTATGGTTAAAGAAGGAACACGACACAGTGACGGAGACAACAAAGAATCATTTGAATCTATACCTACCCCACCGTCGTATCAGGAGGCTTTGAAACGGCGATCAATCTCTTCTTCAGATAACGCCTCAAATAGGGGCTCTTCTTTTTCCTCACAACAACAACCCTTTCAGCCAGATCTTGAGGATGGTGAGTGGCGTAAAGATATGGATTTACTGCGTACCATGTCAACAAGTTCAAGGTTTTCGTTGGATTCGCTGATGATGAGTCCAGACGCCATGCCCTTTTCGCGAGACGCATTTGGTCGGCTGTCGATGTCTGAGAGAAAGGGAAGGGCGCATCTTGATGCCACCAAAAGCGATTTTTATTCAAGGTTGAAGAAAAGCAAGAGTCTTGAAAATGTCCATTCAAGTAAGCATTACGATATTTCTTTCTGGCCATAAATTGTTGGTTGATTTTGAAAACTTCCGTCTAGGTATTTGCGGCCTGCTCAGTAGTAACGGTCGTGGGGAACAGATCCAAGGGTCTGAGGCTCGAATCCCTGACATGACCAGCCTTCCACTTAGGGCGTAAGGAGTCTCCAGGTCTCTGTAGTTCTAGGCTTATGAATCACAAGGTGTGGTCACATCAAGAGGAAGGACCATGACACTGCCGAATGAGCACAGCTTCTCGGGGTCCTAAAAACTACCCCATGAAAGCCATTAACAAATTCAAGTAACTTTCTTCTTGAAATTTTTAAAACAGCTGGAAAATTTGAGAGGCTGCTTACTCTAGACTTTCGTAATTTCGTAATTAAGAAAAAAAGAAAACAGAAAACATTTAACCAGTCCACCTTGGTAGTCATGGTATTGTACAATACTGGTTATTGCATTATATAAGTTTTATTTTTCTGTCAGCTACTTTTCTCCAGCTTGAGTTTCCAATACCAAATCAATTCATTCACATATTGATCGGAACATTCATACATGCTCTTTTTGTCTACTGGCATTTGGAACTCTATAACCCACCAAACATCCATAAAATAATAGTAATATTACAGTACAGCTTAATGAGCTTCCAAACTCTCTCATGATTATCTAAAACATGTTCAACGTGATATTCTGAAGAACGACTTGTTTTTCCAATCATTTGTAAAAAGTATTAGCCTGTTGGATTTCAAGTGCAAGTTAAGACTGACAGATTCCTGATTGCCTCATTACTTATCCATTTCAGTTAAGAACTTGAATGCTCTTTCTCCGATAAAAATCACTTCGACGACTGCAGATGCCAATGGAGATACAGGTACAGGGAACATTAGTATTAAATCCTTTGAGCATTTACAGATTTGAGCATGGTCGCATTGATAATCAACCGTAGTCTTTTTTTGCACGTCACCAAGGCTGTTTGTGTTTCAAGGCAAGCCAGTGTAATTTTAGTAAAGTAGTTTTTTAAATGAACACTTGCACCAATGAGCAACTCTTTGATACGTATTTGTTAAATGTAGATATCGTGCCATTTCACGAAGCCGTCCGACGCACTGAGTCGCTTGATACCTTGCTGAATAGTTCGCACAATATCACAGGTGATTGCACTTTTTATTCACCACGGAGCACCTTCTAGTTTTTTCGACGAGGACAGGGTAGGGGTATTAATAAAGTACTTATGCTTAGTGAGAGAGATGCACAGAAGGATAGCATAACATCGCATCCAGGGGGAGTGATGGTTTTTAAGGAGACCGAACGCAGGTTATATTTTAATGCAGGCTCGCAGAATGAACAAGCAAGTTTTTATTTAGCATCTTGCGCATGAGGACCTATTTTAACCTAAAATATCTTTACATCCATGAAAAAACGTCACACGGGCATCTCCATAGCATTTACTCATTCTTTATACACGAAAATGTCAGGGCTTTTGTTATAAAGGACATTATCCCTGAACCATCTGTCACCACAAGAACACACCCCTGTTGCTAGGCATCATTCACTATGTTACCATCACAATACGCTTTTTAGATAAGAATATAGTGTAAGAGCGCCTCACCCTAAAAACAATCGTATGCACCTTGGAAACAAGACTTGAGAGCTGTCTAGCTCTTAACAAAGCAGATCATTTGCTAAAAACTTTCAGCATTGCTAAAACAACGACTTTAGAAGTTAAAATTATAAAACATACTGAATAACAACAACTGGTTTGTAATAGGGGAATCATATTTTTTCCTGTGTAGCTCAAGTCGTCCCAAATCCTTGATCCTAATATATGCCATCTTTGATCCTAATATATGTTTCATTTCTATGATTAACAATTTGTATCTATTATGAATTCATGGGATTCATTTGTTGATCTTTTTGTTAAAAGCTAATAAATTTTTCCTCTGCAGAGGAAGAAGATGCTTTCCGTAGAAACAGTATCTTGAGCAAGAGCACTCCTTGGTATGCCCAGAGAACAGTGTCCCCAACAGCTCTCAAACTAAGGTAGCAACCTTCATTTAACTTAATCTAATATTCACAGCTTTCTCAAGGTTCATGAATAAAAATCGTATTTTAGACTTCTGATTTTATTTTGTACAACCAGATCTTCTAATTCTAAGTACTGTTTAGTCTGATTTGTCAATAAATATGTCATTATACATCAGCCTTAACTTTTTTGCATAGCGCTACAAGATCTAATGAAACTTTGAGACAAATCCAATCTTCCTTCGATAGATTTTCATAACCAGTGTTTTAGGCCACGCCAGAACCTTCTCAACTTTAGAGGTTAATTACTGCCCAGCCAAGAATTTTTTCAAAAATCTTGATGTAATCGCCATGTCAGATATAATCGCTTTGAGTTTGGTCTTTTGAGGTTTTGAAAAATCTTCTACTCCTGGTCAACTAGATTAATTTTCAATGTTCTAAAATAGATCGAGGAGTACTGCGTGGAATGATAGTTTTCGGAATGCTGTCGACAAAACCCAGGTGTTTTACACTCAAAGCCTAAAAGAAGGTGAGTTATTGTGAAATATGGTAACATGCCTTAATTTGATCTATTTTCGACCAGTATTTGTGACGCAAACTTAATTATTTAACAGGTTGTCAGTTAATATCATAGATACTGATGCCAAAAATTAACTTCGATTGTCAATTTTCAATCAAGAATATCGCTCAGATCTTAAATCCAACAGTGCCTGCAACTGGTGAAAATAAACAATCCATGAAATTCGATAGATCTCTTATAAAAAACCTGAATATTTTTTCACTCAAATAGATTCATGATTTAATGTTATCGCTCGTATGACATTTCTTAAATTCCCACGACCTGACAGGCAACTCAAATGTCAACTTATTGTTATTATCAATTCGAAAGGATGCGTCCTTACATAGCTCTCAAACCAACTATTTGCAAAACTTCCATTTAAAGCAAGTCACTTTTGGTTTATGAACTCTACTCCATCGTGCTTTATCGTTATTCTTTTCAACAACAGATGGTGGAAGGCAACCAGTGGAAAAATCAATCCCCTTACGGCTTACAAGCAATGCAAACTATATTGAAAATCAGCAATCGAGAAAAAAAACTGGCCTTTTCAAAGGACTTGGAAATCTTTTAAAGTAAGCTTTGCTCTCTTCTTCTTCCATTCGTTATTAATCTACAAATCTAAGGTTTTCATTGCCCTTTTATAATGCCTATGTATTTAGATAAAAGAGTTTGTTATGTTGCGTTATTATTTCATTTATCAATGATATTATGTTCAGACCAAAGAAATAATGTATTAAACTGCCCAAACGTTCTCTTGATTGACTGCTATGCACCAACCAGTAAAGTTAGTGGAGTACAAGTCATTTTTATTTTTGATCCTTTGGGAGAAGCCTTGGGGAGGTCTTTATTAGAAGATATAACATTATTCCCTTAGAAGTTGAGCCAGCAAGATATGTCTAACCTTGGATTTATTGCCTTATGTTTCTTGTTTATGCCCGATTACATATTTTCAAATTAAACACTGCTTAATACAAATAATGGAGGATTTGCTGTAGCTATGAAAAGATAAAAAGTTCCATCATGCTTTTCGTCAATTTTGAACTTTTATGTTCCATTGTTGAAACTTTAACAAAAGCAACTGTTATTTAACGTCTAATTTTTTTAATAGGAAAGGAAAATTAAAAAAACCGGAAGGAAAAACCGAAAACAGAGAGTCCACTAAAGGAAATGCAAGTAATGGAGGACCAGTAGATTATCCACGTAGAGAGCGGCCTCACAGTGTCCACGAAGAAACCATATCACATCAGCGCAACGTTGTTCATGATCCTGTAAGGGAAATCGAATATGCAAAATGGCAGAAAGAAGAAAGACTTGCTTTGCTACAAAAGGAACTCAATAAAGTAGAAAAAGAAGAGCACCAAGTAAATAAGAAAATTATCGATAGAAATGAACGGTTAATCTATTCTAATGGAGATACTTCCGTCAAGGGCATTAGTTATGACGTCAGGACCATTGCGTCTAAGGAAGTTCGGCCTTTGACACAGGGTCAAGTCGCAGGAAAGATGGGAGAGCACAAATCTCTATTACAACGTGGACAGGAAAGGATTCAAATGAAGGAGAAAAAGCAGAATTCAGATCAGCCCGTTGTTCAAGATGTGAAAGGAATCGAGACGGCAAGAAAAACTGCACTGACTGAGACGGAGAGAAACCCATCCTACAGGAGCTCCCAAAGACAAACGATAAGGGATGAGCCCAAATCTAGGCCAGGTATGAATGACTTTTCTATGTCGCACTCTACGTCACAGCCAGCAATGCAACAGCATGGAACGGGTAGCAATGAACATAAAGGACCTATAGCAGCAGAAAGCGAAACTGAGCAGATGCCAGCCAATCGTGTTTCTAGGGAATTAAATGACGAGGATGCAGCCTCGAAGCAGCGGTACTTACCTAGTAGTCAGTTATTTTATTATGGACACAGTTCCTTGCCTAGGAAATTTACTGTAAACCATGCCAGAAGCAAAAATGCGGCTGAGAGTAAACAGTTGAAAAAATACTCTGTGGAGGAGCAGGCGGAGGCCTTCAAGAGAGCGCAACCCAAATATGAAGATTTCGAAGTTCGCGGAAGTAAAAGAGCTGCAGTCCAGCGTCGCAATCAAATGCAAGGTAACGTTAATCAGAATGCTGGGAGTATCACCATTTCTCACGCAGCTAATATCTAATTTATTCATATAATTGAATTCTGGTTTTATTTCCATTTTTTTCCAGTTGCAATGCAAATTTTGTTTTTTTTCTGGGATGATAAAAATGACAAATCACCGTAAAATCTCTATAATCTCCTTCTCTAGTCGGAAATTTGAAGAAAGCCCACTTCCTTATGAATCCCAATCGTAAAGAGGAGGGGCTTCAATCAAGATGGTGCATGCCGTTACGTCCCTTTGAACATCACTTTCGATGCTAGAGATTCTCATGCCAAATGCAACTCAATTTGATTAAAGGACCTAAGGATAAAGGAAACGGTTTTTTGTACCCGTCTCGTCTACTCTTTTACGCTAGCCCTTCTCTTGTGCCATCTCTATCTCTCATAAGTTAGCCTTAAGTCTCATATATTAAGAAACCGCTGGGGATGAATAGAGATTTGACGGTATAGTTAAATATAGAAAACTGGTACACTGTACTATATTTTAAGGAAGGCTTAGGTACCGATGTGGTGAGTTATATGCAACGTAATTAAATATGTAATGCTTGTCATATTCTGAGTCAGATTTTAATAGTACCTAGCATCGGAATGGCGCTTAATTTAGACGAGGGGAATGTCTGCAACTTTGCTGTTCTTTTTCAAATTTACAAACATAGTCAACTTTTACGGTTCCATTGCAGATACAAACCGATGTAGCAGCAGCCCCCCCTCCCTATCAGATTGTTCTCTTGATAAAGTTCTAGTTTTGGCAAAGGCCTGATTTCTGAATGGCCAAGCCGTTATATGCAAATGTCTTTAGGAATATGTCCGCCATTACTCAATGAAACTCGAATACAAAATGAACTTTCCTATTCGAATTTTGGCGAATCTAAGGTTCTTATTAATTAAATTATATTATCCTTTAATTTTATCAAGATGGACGTGAAAATGTCACGAGCAAGCAATTTCCTTCATGCATACAATACTTTAGCTAGGTTTATGCTTAGAATGAGTTAACGCTGTCCCCCGCTGTCCATTTTACACTTCTTCTATTAAACTGTATGTGCAAGACACGATTGTATACATTTTAAGAACGTGTCATTTCTTTTTGCAGAGATTTCCTTTACCAGATACTAAATGTTTTTAGTCCACAATAATTTTGAATGAAATTATTGTTTTCCTTAGCAGGAGTCGTACTGACATTGCAATAAGTATTTATTAGATTTTCGCTAGATTTTACTATCGTTCAACGGTAGTTAGCTTGTTCTAGTCAGGTACCAGTCAGGTGATCAAGTGTAGTTGCATAGGAATTTGTAATGTCTGAAGCAGTTGTAAAGTAAAAATACTGGAATCGTGTAATATTATTGTACATCTAACTATCATGATGTAATAGGCGCAAAATTTGGTGTAATCATATTTTCTGGTTTTAATATATTGTCATAAATAAAATGTATATTTCAAGATTTATATTTCGTGTCATTTGCAACAATCATCAAAAAAGTTATGGTTAAGAGCAGCAAAGGAGCAAAACGGATATTAATAACCTGCGTTTCGCCATTCGTGTAAAAATACCTACCTACGTCCGTTAGGGGCTTTTAAAAATTCAGCTCAGATACTGCATTACACGATTTCTAAAAATTCTTTTTTCACATTCCTTTTATTTTTCAGTTGTTCTTTTAAATGGTTTTGCAAGAGTATTCTAATACGCGTTTAAGTGGTTCAGTTCTGATTAAATTAGCTTTGGGTAAATTGTGACACAATTAGTCGATGTATAAAGGTTGTAAATGTTAATGTTTTGAACAAATTTCATATCGGGAATATCCAAGCTATTTTCCTTTTCACGATTCTGTTAGTCCAGTACGATTACGTCCTATTATTTCTGGTTATGACTAGAGCCTCGAGGATGGAATACCCTCGTAAGGGTGGCCTTTATGCTGTGGTTGCAGATAAACATACTACCGTTTGAGCATAGCTGCCCTTCTTAGCTGTCCCAGATGTAAGAGCAAAACTCTTTGAAAGTCCAGTATTGACACACAGGGGCGCTGATAGGTAACGGCAAACTGAAAGACCAGGCTCACTGCTAGCGAAGTAGTAGCCTACGCCACTTAGTCTGATAGTTTGTGAGTACACGAATAATACTTCAAATGAGTCGGTCTCAACTACATATTATATAGATGAAAGAAAGTACGCTTAATATGCATTTTGAACCCATTGATTTCAAGGGGGCATATTCATCTGCATTCAACTGCTCGAAAAATCGCTCTCACTATTGACGAACCGGATAAATACTTCTTTCCCGAAAAACTTCTTTCTTCAGACACATACTTTCTTGAAGAATTTATGATAAAAATAATTGGCTCTATATATGTTTTCTTCGCCGTCAACAGGGCAGCGGAGAGGGAGCAAGGGAGACAAATTGCCTCGAGGTCTAGGGGGCCTCTTTAAGCAATGAAGTTCATTTTAAGACTGGACATAATCAATGCGAAACAACTAAATAAATAAAATCGGGGGGGGCGTAGCAAGAGGGAGTAGAGGGACCCCCCAATATTCTAGAGGGTCCCCAGACCAAAAAGTTTGGAGATCGTACTGAGTTTGAAAATGTGCACATGTTGTACATGTTTGTGCATAACCTCTTTACGTTCTTCGACAATGTCATTTCTATATGTTGACAAAAAAGCTGGAGGTTGTGGTTTGTGTATTTTTATTATTCGCTTAAGCCTGGTTTCAATCCCAGCGTAAACAGGTATCCAAGCTGGTGCGTATTTTGAAGGAAACAAAATGGTGGAAACAAGTATCTTACTTCAGATTAAAATGGTTTATGGTCTTTTAGTGATCTGACAAAGGGATTGGAAAAGAAAAAGAAGAAGAGAAATCATAGAATATGGATACGGGAATTTTAAAGAAAAGGCAAGAATTAGGTCAGCTTTATAATTATTTTGAGGAGCTCAGACTTCATGATAGAGAGTACTTCTTCTTGTAAGAAAGTTGTAACTTTCAATGGTTTGCACAAAAATTTTGGCTTCCACATGAAAAATCTCCCCGCTTCGACGGGGACGCGACGACATTGTGGTTCGACGGGGACGCGATTCAATCGAAGACATTTTTTACACATCTCAACTTATTATTATAACGGGGACGTCGGCGGCATTGTGGGGAAGTCGGCGACGTCGCCTAAAAAGCGTTATCATATTATCGTAAGCATCCCCGTAGCATCGCCGTTCCTAGGACGTTCATAGGAATCAAGTTTGCAAGGAGTCAAATCACTTTAAGTAAAGGTAGATGTTTTAATTTTTTAACTAAAGATGGCTCCTTGCAAACGTGATTATCCAAGCTGGCATAAAGTCTCCAGGCAGTTTGTACAGTCCAAAGAGCGTCATGCCCTTCTCCCTTATGGGTATTGGCCCGAATAAACGGCTTATTCGCATTTGGAATCAAGCTCCAGAATCCTTAGTTTATCTCAGAAGTCTTACATTTTATTTTAGTCTGAGACGACGAATGAGCTACAGGGCAACAGGGGCAAAGCGCAGAGAAAAAGGGCAAAACAATAGCAAAGTCTTCCAGATTTTATGGAATTTCATCCTGGAATTATTTTGCCATACGGTAAATCCTCGAATTGGCCCTCCTCGAAAAAGCCCCCCCCCCCTCGAATAAGCACCCACCCTAGAACTACAAATTGTCAATAAGCCCCCCCTCGAATAAGCCCCCACTGCTACCGTAAATTCTCAAATTGGACCCCTCAATTTGATGATTTTTGCCATCTGAGGTCGCCTTTGGTGTTTTATTGAATTACCACAACAAATTCATACTTTTGTTAGTAATTAATTAAATGCTCATAAATAAATTTCTACTAAAATAAACGAGGTTTTTTAAAAAATGTTTTTTTAATGTCAACAATGATTCTATGAGCCCCCCCCCTCGTATAAGCCCCCCTCGAATAAGCGCCCATCCAAAAATATAGAAAGTAAATAAACCCCCAAGGGGGCTAATTTGAGGATTTACGGTATTTACAGACAGATACCTGGCAGAAATGAATGCTGGAAATAAATGAAACAGAGGCTATCAACGAGTCCATTGCGGGTCCAAAAGAGGTGTGGTGAGTTTCAAAGACAATTTGTAACAAAAAAATTTCGTAAGCACTCGGAATTAAAACACGATATTCCAGCAGATGTGAAAATGAAGAGCTATCTTAAAATTGTCAGTTGAATAAAGATTTTGTTTACAAAGAACTTCAACAATTTTTCGATTCCCTGACTTAAGTGTTATAAGTCAAGAGGGGCCGGTCCCATGGTGTAGCAGAACCAATCACATAGTAATCTGTAATCACGTGACATGTAGTATATAAATCGAGACATTGGAAATAAGAGGAGATTTGATTTGAATACAGAAGAAAGTGGTCACAACTGGTGAAGGACCCGTTTTTACGTAAATAATCTTTTTTAAATTATCAGACGAAAAAACTGTTCTTCATGTAATTTTCAAAAACATTAAAAAGTAATAAAAAGTTCTGCAGCTCAATTTTTCCATTGTATTGTTCATTGCCACATCATACCTGACACCTTCAATCGGTTGATTTAGTAACATTGTATACCCGGACTGATATGTACACACAGTGATTTGTGACGCTGGATTTTGCAAAGACAAATTCTGCTGGTTTACTTACAGACAAGAAAGGATACGCTGCCTAAAATGAATTATGTATATATGTTCACATCAGCACTTGTGCTGCCTGATTGGGATAAATTATTATACGAACCTGAGAAATATATGCAGGGGCGGACTGGCTAATTATTTTGGCCCGGGCAAATTTTGATCAAACCGGCCCACAATAATAGCATACTATAAAAAACTCCTCGGAAAATACAAGTAAATGTTAGTCTGTAAGGAAAACAAGTTTTTAAATTCAGTAATTTTGTGCATGGATGAATGCTGGTTAACAGAATATGGTTAACAGAACATGTTAAATATGTCATATGCTGACTAAACAGTAAATAAACAAAAATTGTAACTTCTTGGTTTGACTCTGATTCTAAATACAGGAACTTATATGTTGATAATGCGATCGTTCTGGATGTCATTTAACAGGTGTTTTTCTAAGAACATTAACATGAAGGACTCCAGGTTTGGCTGCGAAAAATTACTACGTAACCTGTTCTTTCTATATTTAGTTCTTTATATATTTAAAGTGGAAAAGCTTCTATCACACTCCACTTGTGACAAATAATTTTCTAATCCTCCGGAAAACCACAATGATTTCCAGCAACCCAAAAATATCAATTTGTCAATTTCTGACCCCAAAAAGAAAACATGGGCACCCCTGTTGAAATTTTATCGTGAAGCACCATACCATACTGTTGGGTAGGGGGTGCATTTGACTTATGATATTGTAGGCCTAATAAACTTTCCATAACTTGTTTTGGTTTATTGAAAGGAGCAAGAGCAAGACCCTGCTGTTTTTTGTGATGTTTGTGGCTTTTGCTTGATAAAAAAGCTTTGTATCGTAGCTGAATCCTTTTTTAAGTCTCGCAGCTTTTCCTCGCGAAATTTCTTTGCACCACCTTTGATTGGAGTCTGCTTGCTCTTCCTCGTTCTACGTATGTCCTCTTCATTGCTCCAAATCACAGAGCAAATCGCTTAGTGAACTCTAATAACTTTTAAATTTATTACATTAAGCAATAGCTTGTGCTTAGGCAAAAACATGACCAGCTTCAAGCAAAAGTTAAGTAAGAAGACATCAAGGCAGGTTAAAATCTTATGTATCGCCTTGAAACAGGGGTGTTACAGTATAGTATGTCGCCAATAAGAAAAAACCGTCAAGAGAAAATATAACAATAACATGTTTCCTGAAGAAGTGTGTCTGGGCTGAATGAATTCATAATGAATTCATAATTTTAATGGTTCTCGAGTACTTGCATGTATATTTATTCTTTCCCACAATTCAAAATTCAAGTGTCTCTGAAAATTCAAGGCAAACAGATCAACGCGTGGGTATACTTTTTAAGCTAATTTATTTTTTTGCACCTTTATCAGCCGGCCCTCAATCCGACCGGCCCTTCGGGCGATCGCCCGAATAGCCCGACCAGCCAGTCCGCCCCTGAATATATGGCGGAAATTCAGGTAACTAGAAAAGTTTCTTTCTGGCTTACGGCTTTGTTTCTTGCTAAAATGTACGATGGATCCTTTCATTATTATGGCTGATTTACGTGAATTTGTTGTTGTTCATTCTCGTCGTGTTATGGTGTTACTTATTTATAACATTTTATCGTTTTTTCGCCGCAAGAATTATATCGGATTCCGTCGAGAAGCCTGCTATCGTGGCCTTTTCTTTATTCACATAAAAACACCCTTGCATGGGAAAAACGCCTCGTTTATGAGATGGAATTTTTATGGGTTTTCTCAACTTTGTCCAAATTACCTTTTACTGTACTTCGGCCTCAGCTTATCCTTAATGTGGTCTTAAAATTTGACTACACTCTTTTTTTCATAAGAACATTTTTTTAGCTAGCACTCGCACTGCTTAAACCCTATTAGATTAAGAACAAATTAAGAACAATCCAGCCTTAGATTTCCGAAAAAATTAAGAACAGTCAGCCTGAACTTAAGTTTATTGGTTCTTATAAAAAAGAGTGTAGTTTTAAGGATCGTGTTCTTATGAAATTTTTTCATAAAAAAGGGTGTAGCTTCCTTGGAAGCCAGTTTGAAGAAGGCATATAAATATCGATGGGAGTTTTATGAAAATATCCACTTTTGCCTCATAAAATTCCCCCTTAAAAATAACATTTATAAAATTAATTCATTTGTCGAAAATAATGCTCTTTGCCTAAACTAAAATGCTAAAGCAGTCCAATCCTTAAAAAACTGGATTCTGAGATGCTTGTCGTGGACTTTGCTCCAAGGAAAACGAACTTGGTTTAAAACTTTTGAATACTGTTAATTTTTCTAGATATTTGATACAACTTTGAAAAATCACTTTTTACACGTAGAGATTCCTCGCCTTACACAATTCAGGATTTAAACGTTAGTGGAACTGTGAAGGAAATAGACAGTTGTAGAATATCGTCAGCCACCTATGACGTTGAATAAAGGGAAATTGCCACGTAAAAATGCCATGGCTTTTTCAAACACATTTACGAAATGGGTGTTTTTCCAAATTCTTAGGGGTGTGATTAGCAAAAATATCTTCTTTTTTGGCCTACCAATCTTCCAAACCTGGCTACGCCATGATTAAAAACCAAATTTCAAAAATGGGCGTTTCCATTATTTACCAGTAACCTGAAGGGTGTGGCACTAAAATTAGTGTCTAACACCCCCCAATCGTTGTTGCTTATATCCGCCCCTGATCGTCTGGAATTTCTCATGCCAATTTTGTGCGAGAAAGACTTTTCACAGAACTTAAATTTGCTCTCTGTTATAAAGAAGTGGGTGCAGCTGAAAAACAAAAGAGTCTGATTCAGTGTTTCTGAAGGTTGAATAAACTACGTGAACGCAAAAGCTTATTTTACAACTTTTATAAAACTAATATTTTTACAGCTGAAATTGCTTTATAATAGCTGAAATTTTAATATTAACAAAAATAAAATATTCTGATTGCATTAATATAGTGTAATGCTGCTAAAATTTACTCTGTAGATAAGCACCGGCACCCCCCCCCCCTCCCCCCAAAAAAATCCTGAAACCGGGTCTTAGTCAAGTTGCATTTTCTGGATAGTTATATTTTTGATATAATGTTTCTTTGAGAAATTGACAGTTTAATTTGCTTCGAAAAAGAAATATTTGCTCAGACTGATATCCAATGAGAGAATATAAAGATTTTGCTCAGGAGGGATGTTGGTGGTATAAAAGTTTGCGCTTACGAGGTTTTTGAACGAGACGCTTTTGAGGAGACTGGGCGCTACCGGCAGTTTTCCGCTAAGAATGACAGGAAACATGGCGCTTGTTGCTCTGTAATATTGAAGCTGATGTCAATATATTCAAAATACTCGGTTAATTTGCGTGTCTTGGAGCTTTACATTCGATTTAAAGACAGTTGAAATATCATTTTTGTGCAAGAAAGTTGATCGGTAATTATCGATCGAAGCAAAGTTACAGTTTGTAGGATTACATCGGCCCACAGCACACTTGTCAGTGATCAGAGTGATTTCGACTTCTTATTTACGCTTAGGCCATTGTTACCTGTTTTCAGAATTGGTGCTCATTCATTCTTAGACGTTTCTGGAAAACCATCAATTTTGCTATGTTTCAAGATCCTGTAATGATTGTTGAATTCATGAAGGAAATACCTGGGGCCGTTCGTTAGTGGTATTGAATGATATCGTATGTTGAAGAGAATCATGTTTAGAATCTCTGACTGCAATAGTATCGCATGAAAATAGAATAGAATTGTTTGCTGAAATAATTTGCCATGTGACCAATCCAGTGACTCTTGATGTAAATTATAAAGTTAAATTTATTAGATTGGTAACCTACTTCAGATCACCATGTCGTGTCAAGACACTAACGTTGTACACGGAAAAGTACTAGTGAAAAAAGAAAGGCAAAATCCTTCTGGAATTGTTTCAGTGCCTCTTAACGGAAATGGCTCTTTGCCTGGAAATGCTTTTCTAGCAAGACCTGGAATAGGCAATTCAAGAAAGGCAGGAAAGCTTGGAGGAGGAACTGATAGAGCACTATCTGCTGGTACCTTCGCTCGTAATCAACAATTGGAAAATGTTATGAACCAGTCAGTGGAGGTGCCTAAAGGCTGGAATAGAGTAATTGAAAAAGGAGACATTGTCTATATAAGGTAAGTTTATAGTGTCCATAAAGTGGCATACTGAGAACTTGGAATAAAACCATTTCATCTAATTTTTGTTGTACTGAATTGTGGTAATTTCATGCAACAAGTTACATTCAAGTTACAACCAATCTACACTTAGTGAGCAAAAGTATTGCACAGGTTTGACAAATGAGTAATGACGACTGCGTTGTCAACAACAAAGCGATCAAAATTCAAACCACTTTTGTGAAGCCATTTGGCATCTTTTTATGGTTAAAATCTAATCAAACCAAACTTCAAACCATTGACAAAACTTTTAGTTTAAAAATTAAAAAAAGTTACTTTTTGAAAAGTAAAAATTTTTACCTTTTTATTGGACAGCCGGTCAGCTTTGAAACCTTTGTAAGACTTGCTAAAACTTAATCAAGAGGTTTACTAACAGGTTCTGTTAATCGCGACATGATAAGTTCAGAAAAACATTTACCAGATCACATTTGGGTGTTGAAGTACCAAGTTGAAGGTAGATGGCCTTGTATTTGGTGGAAAGTGGCATATTTTAAGCCATTTTATTATGTCCACTCTTTTACAGCTATTGAGGCAGTCGAGTGAACCTGTTTATCGCGGGAAATTTGGTATTTTCATTAAATGAGAAGATGAAATGCTCTTTTATGCAATTTGCAGCATTATTTGCTCCCATTACAATGGGAATCGGTTGGAAAAGATGGACTTCACGATTTGTGACACATTTTTATTGATTGAATTTTGCTGCAACATATCACAAGGCAGCCGCTGCGATTAGGCCCATTGCAGCTCCAAAAATTTCCAACCAAAACATTTAGCATATTCTCAGACAAAAGTGAGCAAAATGAGCAGTTCTAGACAACCAAGAATAAAGTAAGTACCCCTGAGTTCATTGTGATAAGATATCGAAAATTGGGGCAAAGATGAACTTTTTTATTGCAAATGTTTCACAGGCACTTCAATCATCATGGCTCAATTTGTGTGTTTTTTCAAATGTCAATATTGTTTAGAAATAGGCCAAAATCAGAAACGTTCTTGAATTTCTTATTTTCAGCATCAAACCTTGATAAATTTTCCAATATATTCAAACTAGAAAGTCATCTTATGACTTTTATGAAACTTGCTATGGCCACTTGAATTTTGGTTCGCTAAAAAATTTTGCTGAAGTGCTGCCATTTCTGTTTCAGCCTGTGCAATACTTTTCCTCACTAAGTGTATGTAAGACATTAGAAAAGTTCTTATTTCTGCAACATCACAAATTTTGTTTTTCTTCTCAAGAACCTTGAACCTTGGAGATTTATCAAACTAATCTATACTCTCCATTTAACCCAATACATTTGTAACAACAAAGTAATAAAGAAGATTCAAAGATTTTCATGAAAAAGTGAAGGAATTGCTTGATACTGAAAGTAATTAAAACCTTTCAAGTGCTAGAATAGCAAACATGGTTTTTCTCTTTTGCATGAGTAAGCAACAGAGGTTATTAAGTATATTTCTGACATTGAGCAATGTCTCTCACATTGAGCAATGTCTCTCACATTGAGCAATGCTAGACCAACAAGCAGATCTGTGTGAACAAAGTCAGGTCATTTTTTATAGATTATAGATTTGTAGTAATTTGCTTTTAAAACTTTGCAGACTTATTAAGAATTTCTCAGTTGCAAAGTAGGACACAAGCGCAACTAAAGGTGATTGATATTTCACCAACATATACAAGGAGTATCTGGTTGCTTACATGGAGAACATGGGCTAAGGCAGAGAGGAATCCATGTAAAGCTTGCACCAGATTAAAGGCCAGTTAATTATGAGTCTGCACCTGAGGTTTTGTAGCTTAATGCGCATGGACTGAAAACAAGGCTCTGCAAGCTTGCAGTGAAAACCCATGGAAATCACAAACTTTGCACAATTTATGAAGCCAAAATTGCATGATGCAATGCATGATAAAAATATAACTCAGCCTTTCTGCCAAGAATGATTATAAGTCATATACAATTTATGAGTCATACACATGTACCAAAGCCAATGCAACTTTATGCTAGTTCAAAACTCAACTTGTTAGCTTATGCCAATTTGCTTAAGCTATAACAAAGTTCATACTGGGCATCTACAGCATAAGCTACATTGATTCTATCCTGGAGGATAAGATTAAAAACTGGGAGAATTAAGCCTGTTTTTCACTAGAGTCATAAGGATTGTATTGATCATAAGAAACATAATTTTTAGGTCTGCGTCGCTTATGTTTCTTATAATCCACATGAAAGGGTGATCATTAAAATGTCTTAAGGATCGTAAGAATAAAAAATCCTTTGTTATCATAATGTCATAAGCCTTATAAGTATTGTAAAAGTAGTGAGATTTCTTTTATGAATTGAAAGGGGCGCTCTTTTCCCTGCCACTTGTCTGCATGGATCCAGCATGGCTACTACGAATCTGCATTTGTTCCTGGCAGTGTATATTCTGATCAAAAGATGAAGGCGTCAATAAAAAGCAAGTTCATAAAATATGAGGAAATAAAGGGTTTTTGATTTTGCAAAATTTTCAAAAGGAGATCTGAGCAAGGTGTTTTGCCAACTTGTAGTCTTTTGAAGACTTGTCTTACAAGCAGCTGAATTTCATGGCAGATTATCTTTCTGTGCGAGATAGATCCATTTTGTATACAGAAAAAAAAATTTCATGTTAAGGCCAACGAGAGAAGGAGCAATGTGTGCGGCCTTCAACTGGAATTCAGAAGATTTTGTCACCTAATTCTCAAAACAAAGGAACATCTGATAGTAAGGATCATAAAGATTAAAAAGATCTTTACGATCCTTATGTCACAAATTTTATGAGATAATATCAAGTGCTAATTATTTTATGATTATGATTCTTGGTATTTTCACTTCATCATAAGGGTCATAAAATCTTAAAATTACATTTCTTACAATCCGTATGACCCTCATGACTCTAATGAAAACCAGGCTTTAGAGGTCTGAGAGTTTTTTATTATGCTTGCAACTGTAGTCATTGGTCCACTCTGGGCTTTGAATAAAATGGAATGTTCAATCAAGATAATATCCTTATTTATTTTAAGAGCCAGTTATTGTATTTTGTAGAGCCAGTCATTGTGCTGTATTTTAAGTTTTGAAATAAATGTTATAAAAGCACTTTCAACCAAGGAATTCCTTTCTTTGTTTTATATATTTAGGTTCAAAAGATTTTGAAAGAAATAGACAACTTTCAACACAAAATAACACCACTCCTTGGTTTGCATAAGGATTTTGACCTTCTTGTTATTATCAATACTATTTATTATTTATTCATGCAAAACATCTTGTTTAATGAATTTTAAACCCTAGTTCTTAATGATTTTTTTAATGAGTAAGTGCCATGTTTAAGATATTTTGCATGAAAATCTTTGATAAAGCATTTTGCTTTTATCCTTTTAGATAAATTTTAGATAATCATTTAGATAAATTTGAGAGTAAACTTTGATGGCTATAACTGGAAAATGTAATAATTTGCTCTAAACTCAGCCACTAACCTGTAATATCTATAAGCACAAGAAAGTTGATCACAAGTCAAAAACATGTTCATAAACTTGATGTTTATGATGATATGCCTTAGTTTTTGCAATGTCAATATATATTTACCAAATTGGGTTTATTTTTTTCTGAAATGAAGCTCATGATATTATACCCCTCCCTCTTAGTAACAACCCTGCTGGACATTGTAAAATACAGCAGAATAAATTTTAAAGTTTTGAATTTTTAATGGGATCACAAAAATCATCAACATGGAAATATTCAAAATTGATGGACATTTGAATATATTTTTTGGGAAAAAAATTATACAAGGAATAAAAATTTCAGAGAAAAAAAACATAAGAAAGATGAGGAAGATTTTAGAGCTTGTTGGAAAACACATTTTCTTGATTGACCATTATTATACCTTGTGTTGAAGTGTTTCAGCAGGGCATTACTGGGAAGTTTGATGATAATGTTTGTACTATCATTGTTGTTATTGCAGGTTTGTTTGTAATAAAGCTCTATTTTTCAACTTGAGTCAAGAAGTTTTTTGCATAAATTCTTACTTGTAAATTTAGTTGACACTGCTAGATTTATAGTTCCAATCTTGCAACCCATTTTTGTTGAGTTATCTGTTACTGTTAAGTTTTTGTTCAACAAGATATGAAGCTGATGTCGTTCAAACTGATTCCTATGCTACAAAAGTTGGTTTTAAGATTAAAGAGAGGAATTTCAATTTTGCTATTTCATATTTTTTCAAGTGAAATTTGCTTCACTGATAACTAAACTGTAAAAGTGAGCTAAGGACGTTCAGGAATTTTCTTTATTTCCTCGCAATTATGTGCATGTGCCTAGAAGTAGAAGTTTGAATGGGTTGTAAAACCTTTAAAAACACAAAGTACTCAGACTATAGACACATAGACCTGTGAAAACTATAGACACATAGACCTGTAAAAATGATACACAAAAGTTTTATCTAAAAAAACATTTTCCATCAATGTTTATTGAAAAAAGGATATGCAACCATTGAAATTTTTGTATGCCAGCCAATGCAAAGATTAATGCAAATTGAAGTGGAAATTGTTCCAAGGTCAAATGTTCAATGCAAATTAATTTTAATAAGATGGTAGAATCTTAGAAAGTTATAATGAATCAAGATGCCATGGAACGTTTACCAGTTTGAAGTGATGTCAGCTTTAAACAGCCATGCCAAGTGTAATTTCTTTTAATTTCTAAGTTGTTGGGTAGACAGCATTTTCTGAAATCGTGAAGATGCTAAATTGTTTGCTTTTTCTACACACATTCAAACCTGAATATATATTTGAACAATTTCTTGGCGGTACAAAATTTGAAAATGGCTTTAAAAAATCTTTGCTTTCATAGAAGTCATTTCCAAAGATATATTTGTATGTATACAGTATTACCGTGAAGCACACTGGAACTGCTTACTAGAGGAACTAAAATCTGTGAAAAACCTAAATAAACTTTCAAAAGCTTGATAACACAATGGGATGATCCCACGTGCAACTGTCATGTCTGTCGTTTTATTGTGAATATAGTATAAACAACATAAGGAAAATTTTTAATTTCTTTGTTTTTTTAATTGATTATATATCCATCGGTTTTAATTAATTTTCTTGTACATTTTAATTGTATATTGAAATCAAGTGTATTTAATTGATCGATGTAAAATTAGTCTACTACTACTACTTCTGAATAACCTGAGATGTTGACCTTGTTTTTCCGAAATGTGTCGCTTTAAGTAGGAACAGAGTGGTCTTTGGGGATTGTCCCCTCCAAGTAATTTTTGAACAATGTTCGTTACCATCAGAGTATTGTGAATGGGAATAACTAATCTCTCACTCTTTTTTCGACCCCCTTCTTAGATAACGAGTAATAATATTTTCATAAGCTAGAAAAAGTGACAGCTGAAACTTGAATTTGAACTAAATAGAACTAAACTTTAGCCAATGATAGATACGTTAGCCCTTTTATATGGGCCTTGCATAAAGAATATTTAGTTAAACATCTTATGTGTTTAGCCCTGCTTGCACCACAGAAGGTTTACCACTGCTCAGCCAGGGCTAGTTATCCCAGTTTGAACCGAGTTGAGATTGCACTGCACTTAAGATATTTTCAAGTGATGTTTTCAATTTTTCTCTGCCCTACTTAAAAGATGTTTTCATTTTAGCCCAAACAGAAGTCGACTAAAGTCGGTTGCTGACGTCATAGCCTATCTCATCGCTCCTGCCACTTGCAAGTGTGGATTAGTTTGCCCTTTCAAACTAGAGGAAATGTTCAACTTCAATCCGAATGTGATCAGCAGACCGCTATTACAAAAACCAGCACAGTCTATGGGTGCTTGCGACAGCTGCAAAGTTAACGAAGGTTTCGAGGCGATCCTTCCGCAGTTTAGTCCGGAAAAGATCATGAGAATGCTGCGCAAAGGGTCAAAGAAGAAGAAGAAAAAGTCCAAGAATTCAGAGAAGGAAGGAAAGAAGAAGAACCGCCACAATAAGACAGGCATGCTTCCTTTTTTCTGTTCGTCTTTTTGGGAAAAATTTTTCAGTATTTTGTGTTCATTTGTAATTTCTTCATATCATATCCAGTGTATTCATGAACCTAGTATTTAACACGCTTTATAAAATTCTTACCATTTGAAGAAGAGGCGTTAAAAGGCGTTTAAATAACGGGCGACAACGAATTGTTGTTTGATAAAGAAGGAATTCATCTTTGCAGTTGAATCCAGTTAAGTCAGACTTTCAAGGGGTTAAGGAGATGGTCCAACTTAGCTAATCGCCGACTTAGCGAATGTCCGACTAAGCGAATGTCCGACTTATCCGGTGTACAGCCTTTGACTTGAATAAGGAAGGTTTATACCAATGGGAATTGAAAACCAGTCCAACTTGGTGAAAGTCGGAGTTATCTGTGGTGCGTCTAAATGGAACTCAGCTGTGTGTCAATCATTTTTTATTGCAAAGGGGTTTTCGGGAAAGTCCCTTTAATTTGTTTTGCAGTGGGATGTTATATTTCATTTAAATGAATCTAAACGGTATGTGTATATTGAAGAGTGTGTCGAAAAGAACAGAGATGTTAGGTTATCGGCTGTTTTGTCTCTTTCTTATGTTTCCTTTTTATCATCACAAAGCTTTGATTTTGGCGGCCCGGAAACATGGCTGCGACGGGGCTGCGACATTGTCGACAACCGCGGGGAAGGCCGTTGAAAGCTAAAGAAACTTTATTGGTACACCCAAGCTTCTCCTTGTTTTCGTTATTTTTCTAATGAAGTATTGTAAGCTTTTTAGGAAGGATATTGTTAAGAGGAAGATGGAAATGTTGGTCTATGTGCATTCTGTGTTAGCTTAACTTTATGTAAGCATGCACTGTTCTGTAGTAAATCAATAAAACCAACTTTGCTGTTTGTTCAAAATTTGTTAAAATCCAGCAAATATTCAGTTTAATATTGCACCTAAAGAGCAACATTTACATGTGGCAAATTTTGTAACTGACTATAGTTATAGGCGAGATATAGCGTGTTACACATCATGCTCCTTGTTGATATTGTTGGCTGAAAGATTTTTAAAAGTTGAGTAATTAATTTCCCTGTTTTTTCAAGGGCAAGGCAACGACCAATTTGCAGCACAAAGTATCCAGACATGGGTAAACTCTGGAATACCTGGAACTAGTACTGCCAGCAAACAAGCATCAGTCTCCGGACCAATTCCTAGTCTTACTGGCACTGTGAAAATGGTAGCTGGCATTGACAACAAGACGCGTTATTATCCAGACCATAGTGACTACATTGGTTCGATAGAACCAAACGATACCGCAGTGATAAGCGAAAATAAAGCACAAATCCTTTTATCAAATACAGTTCACCAGAACCGGAAACAAAAGCGATCGTCGCCCGCAATCGTCAGACCCGCACTTTCGAGCCCGGCAATTACAGATGATAAGTCGATGTCTTCCAAAACTTCTGGCAAGAAGTCCAGTTCAAAGCAAAAGCGGATCCCCAAAACCAAAGAGGATTTAAATATTGCATCGATGATGGGTCGGGTTAAGCAGCAAGTTGGAGAAATTGATAAAATTCGCACATCTCAAATGTTTACATCTGCAACCCAGGGGCTACCGAAGCAAACTGCTGCTTCAACATTTAATGAAACAGTGAAGAGTAGTACAGTTGAACTTTCTGAAATGAAACCAGGACAGCAGAACATTACTAATAATCTACCGACTTCTTCTGGTGTGCTAAATTTAATTAGAGCCCAGGCTCCTCCCAATATTACACTTCCCGCATCTCATTCGAACATGTTGCCACCGGGTTTGGCTCAAGGTATGAGGGCAACAATAAGCTCTACAGAACCCGGCAAGATCCAACACCCGTCTTCCATAAAAAATGTCCATGCAGCTTTGACAGAGGCACAACAACATAACTGGACTCAAGACCCGCGTTTATTCGCCGGTAAAGCGACAAGCAACGTCTACTGGGGGTCCAAGGAACATTCTTCATTGAATGATATGTTGTCTTCATCTGTCGAATCCAGCCTCCCTCAACGTACGGAAACACAGAAAAATGACACAGGTGGGAATGGGGGTTTACTGCATAGTTTGAAAGAGGTAGCGAATACTCTAGCAAATGACCCTAATCGTGTCAGGGTTGCAGTCGAGAATATTCCCAGTAGTGAGCTTTTAACAGAACAAGCAGAAAAAGAGAAAATGCTTTTAGCAGCTCTTAACAGCCTTAAAGATCAAAGGGTAATCAGAGGGAATAGTGAATACTTAGGTGATAGACCAGAGACTATTCTTAGCAAGTCGAAAGCACCCAGTCTTTCAAACAAAAGCAGTCAACAAGCCAAGGAACAGGCTTTATCTTCCGATGTCATTCGCCAGTACCCTTCACAACTGAAGGCTCAAGATGTCGGCAGTGCACATGTAAATCTTCAAACATTGACTAATGCGAATTCTCCAGTGACAAGTCAGCTCATGAAGCAAAGTTTATCTGCTTTAAAAGATAGCGCTGCCAGTAATGAAACCCAGGTAAATAATAAAGATTCCAAGCTTGCTGCGTCTCTGAGTGAAAGCCATTCATCCACAGCCAGTTCATCAGAGAATCTCACAAAATCATCACCAATGGTCGTATTTCAGGTCGTTTCGCAATCCAGTTCTTCTAAGTCGGCAACTGCAACTGGCATGATCAGCACAGCGTCGCTTTCTACAAGTGTAAGTACAACTCCTGCGCAGCAGGTCAACTATCAAGGCTTCTATGGTATTCCTAATACAGCCAGTGTACCCAGGCAACCATCAGCTGCTTACCAGAATAGTGTTGCTGCGAACAACCCAGCCCAGTTTTTAATCATGGGCTCTCAGGCATCACAGGCTCTACAGCATCTAGCATTGCAACAAAGCAATGCGTTGCAGGTATCCTTACAGCGTGCTGAAAGTCCACATCCCATGTATTTGCAAACTCTCTCTGGCTACGCACCAAATGCCCTTAAAACATCACACCCTAATATTGGTTTCGCATATGCCAGTGTACCAATTCAATTCATGACAATAGGTGGGACGCAGGTTGTTGGGAAACAACCTCAAGCAACGGCTGCTAATGTTGAAAGATATCAGAATCTGTACCAGTATTACCAAGGAGTGAGGCCAGCAGAGGCTGCTAAAACTGATTCTAATAAGCACGTCACTAGCCAGACCACAACATTGATGTATCCGGGTGTGAATCCCTATGGACAAACCCCAAATAACTATGTTAGAATTGCCCCTGCTCATGTTGCTAATCGTATACCACTACCACCTACCCCCGATGTAAAACCTTTAGCTGGTCTCGAAGCCCTAAAAGGCGAACAACAGCTATCTGAAATGCTATCAGTCTCGCAAGCAATCGCAAAGCAAGGCATTTTTCCTGGTAGTGCTGTCGCTACCAGTTTACCAGTAAAGGTAGAAAGGACACAAAAATCGTCGGCTCTGTCACCATTGTCAGAGAAAAAGGATCTATTATCGATTGATGTCAAGACTGAAATAAATCTACAACCAGAAGTAATCGAGAAACCTCATATAGCTTCACAGGTGTCAGAAGAACAAAAGCCTTTAGTTACTGACCTGTCCCCAGGACTTTCTGATGTCGGATCTGTCAGGGCTACGGCATCCAGAGATTCAAGTATCGGTTCGTCAGGCATGAGCAGTGCTCCTTCACAGCTAGTATGTACTGGCGAGGAGAATGGTCCAAAATCGGTGCCTTTAGGTGTTGGTTTGGCGTCGGTCAGTAATAGCTCAACAAACAGTAACTCGTATATAGCAAGGCAGGGGACTTCAGCAGTCATAACAGAGTCATTGGTTGTCAGTAACGAGAGACAGGATATCACTCAAGGTAATTTCGCTTTTAAAACTAGTGTGACGTGATAGATTTAGCTTCTAAACTTCTTAACATCGGGAAAAGTTGGAAGCAACTTTAATCTATTGCTCCTAAAATGTTTTAACGTCGGATAGTCGTTAGTATAGAAAACGTTGTAACAATGATTATGATGACGATTACTCGCAATAATCAGGGACATTTAATTGGTCAAACAGACTTCAATTCTATATTCATATGTATTCCACTTTTCCTTGCTGTCCTGAATTTCGATGGGATTTTAATGAGACTAAAATCTGACTTCATTTTGAGTGGAAACCCTAAGGCTATTTTTGATATTATCTTCTTAAAAATTGTTTGATACTATCACGCTGATTTTTACGTTTAGCAAAGCTTGTCCAGAAAATCTCTAATTGTTAAGAAAAAAGAGCAGCTAATTGTTTTTATTTAATGATTACAATTCTGTTGGGATAAGCTTGAACACTGAACAATTTCAACGAACAGAGGTTTTGAAGTTGTTGAGTAGAATGAGAGTTTTTAGTACTACAATTGGTTGTTTGCTTTCTCACCTCAAATAATATAAAACAAGAAGACTTTGAAGGCTTTTATGAAAACGAAAATTTGAATGGCAATGGTGTCAGCGATATTTTATCACTGGAAAAATGGTTTTAATTTTTTTGCGTTCCTTGTTTGACACTGAGGAAACTTAGCATCACAACGATGGTGAGGTTTTGTTCCTTTTTGAAAAGAAGTACACATGAGTCTTAGAGACTCGAATTTGTTGCTTTTGAATGGGTAATTTTAGATCTATTCTACTTTTGACATGCAAATTGAACATTTAAACGTATTCTTTCATTCAAAGATTGTGCAAAGGTCGTAGTGAAACATGAAGAACCAGACGAAATCAGTTTGCAATGCAATGAAAACTGCAATACGAGAAGTGGAGATAGTCGGACGCCGACCCCTGAATTGAAAAACAAAGTAGAGTTTAGTAATGGTGCAAATTTACGAATGGAAGCTTGTATTCCAGCACAAGATATAAGTGGAAATCTTAAAATTGGGGATCTTATTTGGGGCCATCAAAAAGGTTACAGTGCCTGGCCTGGCAAAATTGTCAGTGAATTAGAGGTGAAAGAAATTTGCGCAGAGCCTGGTAAGGTAGGGAGACAAACTTTTTCTTTTTGTAAATATGCTATAGTTGGATTGTTTTACTTCAAGACAAGACAGAATTGTGGTGTCTATTGAGAAAAAATTAAGTAAGCGATTGAAGAAAGCTTTAGCAAAAGAGACGGAATGTATTGGCGATTAAGTCTTCATTTTTCTGTTAGAGTTATTTATGATTTTTCAAAGTTTCTTGACAGGTTAGGTCGACAGATTGAGGGTCTACTAGAGCATTAGAAAGAAAATAAATAATGGTTCATCAGAGATATCAACCGGTTCTCTTTAGCTCTTAAAGTCTAGGTCTTGTTAGCGTTTTTAGCATATAAAAAGTCATTTGCTTTTAACTGCTTTGAATATATATTAAATTCAAGGAAGTTAGCCATTTGTTGGTTCATATACCCACGCCATGGACTTATCGTGCAATCTGTTTTTCACAACAGGTTTGGGTGAAGTGGTACGGTGAGCACACCCACAGCCAAATGGAATCAGCATCGCTTAAAAGCTTACAGGAAGGCTTAATGGAATATAGAAACAGCTGTCGTCGAAGAAAAAACAGGTAATGCATGTCTGATGCTCGTCTGATCTCTAAATGCATGATTATTGAGCCGTCTGATGTTTGTTCTTGCTTACTGAACCTGAGTTATATCACTTTGGTCGTTGGAATACTGAAAACAATTATTCTGCTTTAATTGATTTTTACGCAGCTGAAAAAGCATGTTTTGATCTGCAGTATCACAGAAGCTACAGTAAACACCCGCGTATGATTTTTCAAGTCAGCCTGACTTGCTTCTTATGTATTTAGTATTGCATAGAAAGTGAGGCTGCTTAGGCCCTTCAAATGGTTATTGTTTGATGCAGGATTTTCAAAAAATTCTTTTGATGCAATTCACGAATTTTGATGACTGCACTGGGGCTAAAGGTTTACAATCTTATTAGTTGAAATCCAATGATACCTACTACCTACAAACAGAAAGTGTTGAGAAAGTTGAATAACAAGGATTGCAACAAAGACTTGAATTTTGTAACATATAAACAGTAAAGTACTTAAGCGCGGGAATCGAAAGATATTGAAATACTGAACAGAGTCCTGAATATAAAATTTATATCAGTTATTTTGATGCTTCTATAATGTCAGCTGAAGGTTCAATGGCAATGAGTAAGCAACTAGAGTTTCAATGTAATTTGATGATCTCTAAAAAATAAGAAACTATTTAAGATTTCATGTTGGAGGGGTTCTTATATCTCCTTCAGTATAATTGAGGGGTTCTTGTATAATGGGGGTCTAATTCCATTATTTCAGCCTGTAAGTTCTTAATCCACTAGGTTCATATATACATGTATTTACTGTATATCATGCCCATCAGTAAGTTGAACTTTTAAATAATATTATATGCTCCGGTTAAGTTAAAATGCTGTAACGGCGGTTGTTAGGTAGTTTTGCTCCCAGCAAGGCTGGCTATCAATCAGTAGGTTTAGTTTTAGAGCTCTTCCCTTTGTTGGCTCGCTTTTGTTCTGTTTTAACTGGCAGCCAAGCGGCGCTACTGACAATTCCTTCAATCTTTCCGTACATAGAGAAATGTAGATTTTAAAAAGAGATAATGTAACGTAGATAATGAATATTTGTTTGTGTAAAAGATCGTCTTGCTCTGCTTACTTTCGAGAAGTACTGTTATTTTGTTGTTGAGGCAAATGCGGACTCAGAACAGTAGACAGTGACAGTTAACATTCTTTTATGAACCTCAGGCGATGCATAGGCCTACCGCCATTGTGTGAGAATTGATCGAAATTTGCAATCGCTTAGCCCTTTTAAGATCAACAGAACAGAAATTGTTTGGCCTTAAATAGTAAAAAATAGTAAATTATTGTTAAATAAGTAATATTTTGCCTGTATATACTTTTAATCATGATTTCTGTAAGCTGTCGTGAGATACTTTGAAGCGTCTCATCGAAACTGCATTGCTTATGACATTAGTCTCCCGACAACACTTGTTTGAAATGGTATTGATTATGCAATGTATTTCAGAAGTGCTAAGAAGACAGCTGAGAGTTTAGAGCTTGCTATCACTGAAGCTCTTCGAGAAGCAAATTTTTCTCCTACGGTAAGCGCCATGGTGTTTATTTAATGATAATTATTTGCCTTTTATTTTTAAATGGCCGCTTTGTACTAGCTCAACCTAATTGACAACGGTTGAAATAATTGAATCTTGTTTCAATTTCTTGGTAGCACCAAGTCAAATACATTCCAAATGTTAGAGCCAAAGATTATTTATACGTTTAATTTTGTCAGAGAACCTACCTTCCTTTAATCGACATTTAATCGATGCCAGGTGTCCTGGCCTAACTAAATTTAATCTTATGTATAATTTGTCTGTTTCATGTTATGTCCCCGATCAAAATACTCAAGGAATCATTTTGTCACTTATCTTATTTTTCAATCATCTTCATTGCTGCTTATTTTCTTTCATAGACTGTTAAAATTCTGCAGTTTGACTCAGAAGGTGAGTTCAATTTCATCTGAAAGGATAGTCTTTTTCCAATGTTGAATAACACAGTGGCTAGCTTTGTCTAGTACGTTGTGACATTCAAGTAAACCCTGCCTTTTATTTCCCTTTGTACATAGACTGTTAGTCTTAACTTAAGAATGTGCTATTCTATAATGCTGTTACGTCCCTTTTGTTTAAATAGATCTGGTATTGCTGGTCGTTTCCATATGCTTACGCTCTTGTACACTCATTTCTTTGTTATATTTCGTCTATTCATATAAGGCTTTATACTCTCCATCGTCGTCAGCTTACCAATGATGTTCTTCTAGTAAAGACGCCCTAACTATTAAGCATTCATTCTTTTGTTATCTAAATTTTACCATTGGTGCGATTTTCATTTTGTGGTTCATATGACGATGTTTCATTACTGTGTCATTGTAGAGGGTGTATCTGAGGCAAAGAAACCAAAAAGATGACAGAATAAAGAGATTTGGTACAATTTCGAAAATTTATTGAATTGCACATGGAAAGACAGCAGCTAAAGCTTCTTATGGGTTGTCATTGTAAATAGTAAATCTTAAAATGAGCAAGTGAATTTTTCTGTCAGAAGAATTTGACTTAATTTTGACTTCTCAGACTTATCCAAACCTATTTACACAAATTCACGTATATTATTCAAATTGGTAAGATATAGAAAACTATTTGTCTGAAGGCGTGGCAATGCATTTGGATATCAAGTGGTATTTTCCTTTCCAAAGAATAACAGGTATTCTGAATTGATTGAGTTGCCTCTCATAATGAATATCAGTTTTATGAATATCGAACACTAATTTCATTGAACACTAATTCCTTAATGTTAAGGAAAATGGCTGACATTTTCTTCCTCAGTTCTCCTTCAGAGCTCAGAGCTAAATTCTAATCTACCATTGATCACAGTTCGCAGCTCGTGGAGTGCCTTTGATGTTTTTCATGCATATGTAATAGACCATCTCTGAGTTCGCAGTGCCATGATGGAATTCTATTGTTCTCTAGCAAGTCGAAAAATTCATGGTGGATAGAGGCCGTTCTTTTACTTTTTGACCGTGAAACCTCTTTAGAATAGAAAAAATACTTTTGGAATGAAAATCTGAATTTCGTGTATTAACAATTAACGTTGTTTGAGCTACAGAGGAATTTACAAATCTCGATGAATTAGGCCTTAATTGTATTTATTGTGGTTTTTGCCCCACTTGCGTCATGGCGTCGAAATCTCCGAGATGGTCTATTCACTTCCACTCGTATATTTCCCGCAGCCAATCAGTTCAGATATTTTATTTATTTTGTTTAATGCGTAAGTGTGTAGTTTGCTTTTCGCCCTATCCCATTGTCAAATGAGCTTCTCGATATATTATCACGAAGTTGAATGCATGCATCATTCTATGAAGTGAACATTTTCATCAAATTGTATTCTTCATATTTTTAGCTATTATTAAAAAAGTGTCGATGTTAAATTATAAGATTAAATATTTTATCTGTGTCAAAGGTGACTTGAGTTTGCAGTAAAATAGCTTATCCGTATTTCCATTCTTTATTACTTCTGCCGTCTGCCATCTTCTCTTGATGTTATCTCGCCTTTCTAATTTCGAGCACCGTAAACGTTTTATGCAACTATACACAAAGATTGCATTTCTACCAGCCAGAAGAATTCCATTATTTATTTGTCCGTGTGATCCTGGCTACGTTGGGCGCAAAACCTAACGAATTGGGGATGAAATAAAAATATCTCCCTTCCAACATAAGAAACAAAGCTCTCCCCTCTTTTCCTTTGAGAAAGCCTTCTTCTAGGTCTAAAAATAACGTAAACAATTTCTGATTCGGCCATGCCAAAACACTTAACAGAAATCCCAGATTATTCCAAAAGCTTAGAAGGAGACATGTTTCAAATAATTGAGGAAGACCGGTCTTCCTTCGTCTAGTAGTCGAATTCAGCGACTAGAAATTGAAGAAACCGTTTATTTTAGCTTTGAAAGAGTTTGTTATCACCGTTGGACTCCGTTGTTCCTAATACCCATAGGCTAGTAACTATGATTGGGCAACCTTAACAGTAGTGCTCTCTTTTCTGATTGACCTTTTTCGATCTACAGCTGGATTTACTCGTATATTTATATTTCGCAGTTTATAATTTTTTATCATTATTTTGGTGCTTTATGCTCTGAAAAGTGTCAAGGTAAGAAATCTTCCGTATCATCTTCAATGTTTGCTTTTTTCGTTATTTGATGTTTTATATCTTTAGGTTCAAGGCTCCCCCTGATTACAAAGCCACACAAAACTGTATTTTTCGAAAAGAACTCTAGAATCGTCCAAATTCGTCCATTTTGCAGGGCTATAGGCTTGTTTTTTTCCAAAAGAACTGAATGAGAATTTTCTCCATTTTGAGCAAACAATCAAGCTCAACGAGAAATTAGCTACGTTTAAACATTATTTATGGTGCTTTTACATTGAAAAAAGCTTAATGTTAGGGAAACATTTTGTTGTCGAAAATTGACCTATTTTGCAAGGCTATAAGCTTATGTTTTTTCCAAAAAAATTAACTAGAATTTTCTTCATTTTAAGCAAACAATCAAGCTCAACGAGAAATTAGCTACGTTTATACATTATTTATGGTGTTTTTACATTGAAAAAAGCTTAATTCTAGGGAAAAATTTTGTTGTCGAAAATTGACCAATTTTGCAAGGCTATAGGCTTATGTTTTTTCCAAAAAAAGTAACTAGAATTTTCTCCATTTTAAGCAAACAATCAAGCTCAACGAGAAATTAGCTACGTTTATACATTATTTATGGTGCTTTTACATTGAAAAAAGCTGAATGTTAGGGACAAATTTTGTTGTCGAAAATTGACCGATTTTGCAAGGCTATAGGCTTATGTTTTTTCCAAAAAAACTGAACTAGAATTTTCTCCAATTTAAGCAAACAATCAAGCTCAACGAGAAAATTGCTACGTTTAAACATTATTTATGGTGCTTTTACATTGAAAAAAGCTGAATGTTAGGGAAAAATTTTGTTGTCGAAAATTGACCTATTTTGCAAGGCTATAAGCTTATGTTTTTTCCAAAATACTGAACTAGAATTTTCTTCATTTTAAGCAAACAATCAAGCTCAACGAGAAATTAGCTACGTTTAAACATTATTTATGGTGCTTTTACATTGAAAAAAGCTGATTGTTAGGGAAACATTTTGTTGTCGAAAATTGACCTATTTTGCAAGGCTATAGCCTTATGTTTTTTCCAAAAAAATTAACTAGAATTTTCTTCATTTTAAGCAAACAATCAAGCTCAACGAGAAATTAGCTACGTTTATACATTATTTATGGTGTTTTTACATTGAAAAAAGCTTAATTTTAGGGAAAAATTTTGTTGTCGAAAATTGACCAATTTTGCAAGGCTATAGGCTTGTGTTTTTTTCAAAAAAACTGAACTAGAATTTTCTCCATTTTAAGCAAACAATCAAGCTCAACGAGAAATTAGCTACGTTTAAACATTATTTATGGTGCTTTTACATTGAAAAAAGCTTAATGTTAGGGAAACATTTTGTTGTCGAAAATTGACCTATTTTGCAAGGCTATAGCCTTATGTTTTTTCCAAAAAAATTAACTAGAATTTTCTCCATTTTAAGCAAACAATCAAGCTCAACGAGAAATTAGCTACGTTTATACATTATTTATGGTGCTTTTACATTGAAAAAAGCTTAATGTTAGGGAAACATTTTGTTGTCGAAAATTGACCTATTTTGCAAGGCTATAGGCTTATGTTTTTTCCAAAAAACCGAACTAGATTTTCTCCATTTAAGCAAACAATCAAAGCTCAACGCAGAAATTAGCTACGTTTATACAATTAATTTATGGTGCTTTTACATTGAAAAAGCTTAATGTTAGGGAAGAATTTTTTGTCGAGAAATTGACTATTTTGCAGGCTATAGGCTTATGTTTTTTCCAAAAAAACTGAACTAGAATTTTCTCCATTTTAAGCAAACAATCAAGCTCAACGAGAAATCTGCTACGTTTAAACATTATTTATGGTGCTTTTACATTGAAAAAAGCTGAATGTTAGGGACAAATTTTGTTGTCGAAAATTGACCGATTTTGCAAGGCTATAGGCTTATGTTTTTTCCAAAAAAACTGAACTAGAATTTTCTCCATTTTAAGCAAACAATCAAGCTCAACGAGAAATCTGCTACGTTTAAACATTATTTATGGTGCTTTTACATTGAAAAAAGCTGAATGTTAGGGACAAATTTTGTTGTCGAAAATTGACCGATTTTGCAAGGCTATAGGCTTATGTTTTTTCCAAAAAAACTGAACTAGAATTTTCTCCATTTTAAGCAAACAATCAAGCTCAACGAGAAATTTGCTACGTTTAAACATTATTTATGGTGCTTTTACATTGAAAAAAGCTTAATGTTAGGGAAAAATTTTGTTGTCGAAAATTGACCTATTTTGTAAGGCTATAGGCTTATGTTTTTTCCAAAATACTGAACTAGAATTTTCTCCGTTTTAAGCAAACAATCAAGCTCAATGAGAAATTTGCGACGTTTAAACATTATTTATGGTGCTTTTACATTGAAAAAAGCTGATTGTTAGGGAAACATTTTGTTGTCGAAAATTGACCTATTTTGCAAGGCTATAAGCTTATGTTTTTTCCAAAAAAATTAACTAGAATTTTCTTCATTTTAAGCAAACAATCAAGCTCAACGAGAAATTAGCTACGTTTAAACATTATTTATGGTGCTTTTACATTGAAAAATGCCGATTGTTAGGGAAAAATTTTGTTGTCGAAAATTGACCTATTTTGCAAGGCTATAGGCTTATGTTTTTTCCAAAAAACCGAACTAGAATTTTCTCCATTTTAAGCAAACAATCAAGCTCAACGAGAAATTAGCTACGTTTAAACATTATTTATGGTGCTTTTACATTGAAAAATGCCGATTGTTAGGGAAAAATTTTGTTGTCGAAAATTGACCTATTTTGCAAGGCTATAGGCTTATGTTTTTTCCAAAAAACCGAACTAGAATTTTCTCCATTTTAAGCAAACAATCAAGCTCAACGAGAAATTAGCTACGTTTAAACATTATTTATGGTGCTTTTACATTGAAAAATGCCGATTGTTAGGGAAAAATTTTGTTGTCGAAAATTGACCTATTTTGCAAGGCTATAGGCTTATGTTTTTTCCAAAAAAATTAACTAGAATTTTCTTCATTTTAAGCAAACAATCAAGCTCAACGAGAAATTAGCTACGTTTAAACATTATTTATGGTGCTTTTACATTGAAAAATGCCGATTGTTAGGGAAAAATTTTGTTGTCGAAAATTGACCTATTTTGCAAGGCTATAGGCTTATGTTTTTTCCAAAAAACCGAACTAGAATTTTCTCCATTTTAAGCAAACAATCAAGCTCAACGAGAAATTAGCTACGTTTAAACATTATTTATGGTGCTTTTACATTGAAAAATGCCGATTGTTAGGGAAAAATTTTGTTGTCGAAAATTGACCTATTTTGCAAGGCTATAGGCTTATGTTTTTTCCAAAAAACCGAACTAGAATTTTCTCCATTTTAAGCAAACAATCAAGCTCAACGAGAAATTAGCTACGTTTAAACATTATTTATGGTGCTTTTACATTGAAAAATGCCGATTGTTAGGGAAAAATTTTGTTGTCGAAAATTGACCTATTTTGCAAGGCTATAGGCTTATGTTTTTTCCAAAAAACCGAACTAGAATTTTCTCCATTTTAAGCAAACAGTCAAGTTCAACGGAACTTTGGTTATGTTCAAACGTTACTTATGGTGCTTTACATTGAAAGAATGTGAATATTAAGGACAAATTTTGTTTTAAAAAATTGACCGATTTTGCGATTTTTCCGGGTGAAAGTTTTCACCCATAAAATTTAGCCCGATTTTTTCCATTTTCCGTAACCAGACCAGTTCAAAGGTAGATTTGCTTTTCCATATATTTATTCTGGTAGTTTCGCGCTAAACATAGCCGAATGCTGTAGAATTTACCAGACATTTTTCCGAATGGATATATAAGCTTTGCAGGTGAATTTCTTTCGAAAAAAGGACTTGCAAGGATGGTTCTCGAAGTTTTTACAGCCCTGCTTTATGCATTGTAATTGAATTGAGTTGAATTAGGGAATTGAAGCTACCTGGGTATGTTAAAAATATTGCTATCAATGCATTATATACCAGCTGCTGAACATCAAATTACTTTTGAATTTTTTAAAATTAAAAGCTGGAAAACAAAATCTTAGACAGGATAGTCCCTCGACAAACACATTTTATCATAAACGTATCTAAACCGAAATATAGCAAATTGTTTCAAAAGAGCTTGTAAAAGGCTTACTCTAGTGTCTCTAATAGAAGGGGGTGCTAATAGAAGGGGGGTGTTCATGTCGACCAGTTTTAAAATCGAAGTACCTTTTAGAATATACCGCAAAATTTGGTTTCAGTTTCTTGCATAGTTTTAGAGAAAATTGCAATCATACCAAGATAAATCAAATTTACAGCTTTTAACCTCCAAGTCAAAAATCATCGGTTTCCTTTGTACGGTTGAGATCTTACAAAAAACTATGGAAAGCAAAGAATAATGAAAATCAAATTACTTGATTTATAAAATTTAACAGAAGACGGGGTGCTAATAAGCGACGGAGGGAGGGCAAATTCTTCTGAAATTAATACACGGGGGGCCCGTCTGTTAGAAACACTAGAGTATTTGATAAAGAAAGCCACGAGAAAGCGAGAAACATTACTTGGTTGTCAGATTCTAATGAATATTTACAAATATTTTTACATATTTACGTCTGTTAATAAAACTGCAATTTTAGAGATCTCTGTGAAATCTTAAAACAAATTAAAAGAAATGCGGGCTTTAAAAAAAGAAGATTAAATGTGTTAAATGAGGCAGATAGGTTGTATGCATGTATTTGTAATTAATATTATTAGTTTCATAATTACATATCAACAATACGTTAAGAAAGAACTAAAAACCTTGTCTGTTGAAGGGCGTTCTCCGAAACATCCGCCAAGGGCACTTGCTAATCAGTTTGATCAAATTCAAAGTAAATAACTTTTAAGCAAAACAATTCTTGCCCTACAACTAGTTTGAATTACAATATGCGTCTTTGTCTTCACAATACAAGTATCAGCAACCTTCCACGTTTGTTCTAAATTAGGATTTGGAACAGGGTTACCGTTTGTCACATACTGGGACATTTGGGAAAGAAACATGTATGGATTAAGCTTTGACATTACAATTGACAGAAAATCCGTGATTGAGAAAGTACAGATAAGAATTTATGGAAAAATCCTATATAGTCGCCAGAATTACGTGGACAGCATTTAAATTACTAGAAAACTTTGATGCATTCTGATAGTTTATAGCATAAATTTCTCGTATCTATTCAACAAGCGATGACAATCAATAGAAAAAAAGCGAATAATAATTCACGTGATTCTTGGAAGTACAGCGGCACCAACACCACCATCGTGCATCTCCATTTCAGTGGCGACTTCCCAGTTATTAGCCCAAGGGTTATAGACTTCTGCGCTGCCTAAATTCGAAATTCCATTGTATCCACCAACAGCATAAATTTTACAGCCTAAAGATACGACAGCTACACGGCTTCGCCTCTGTGTCATGGATGAAACGAAGTTCCATTGGTTGAGACAGGGGTCATAAACCTCAACAGAACTAAGAAATGAAGTCCCATCATAGCCGCCACACGCATAAATCCGATTGTTAAGGGCTGTTAACGCCAATCTACAACGTCGTACAATCATAGGAGCTTGAAAGCGCCATTGCTTATTGGTCAAATCGTAGGCTTCTACGGAGCAAAATATTGACATGCCATTGTGACCTCCAGCTGCATACAGTTTGCCATTTAAGGAGACAACTCCAGTCGCACTTCTCATGGTGGCCATACTAGCAACAAATTTCCATTGATTCATTGCAGGGTCAAAACATTCGACACTGTTTAATGATGCATTGCCATCATAACCCCCAACGACGTATATTTTCCCATCCATCACTGCTGCACCTAAAGCACTCCGCCTGACATTCATAGGACATACGCGTTCCCATCTGGAAAAAATTAGTGATTTCAACTAAAATTTGAATAACTTTCAGCTCAGATCAAATCAGTAACAAAAAGTACCGGCACTAAACGCAGTTTTCAGTTGATAATCGTACGCTTGGCAATTTTTCTCCTCCTTACTCTAGTGCGTATGGAGAACAGAACTTTGGATTACAGATTTGGGTCTAAAAATTATTTGTGTCAGCCTTGTTCATTCATTAATCACTAGTTCCTTGAAATTTACAGATATAGTTCCTATAGATTAAAGAAATTTACAGATAAAAGTCACTTCTGGACGCACTCAGTGGCGGAGCCACGGGGGGAGATGGAGGTGGGGGACTAGTCCACGCCACTGGGCCACGTACTAACTGAATCAAAGATTTTTACCATTTTCATCTTAAGTTGACCCTTTTGCTTGGGCATATCTGATGATCACAGTCAAAAGGTTTTAAGACAATTTTCACCATAGGTGGGATAAAAATTGTAAAAACTTGTGGAGTTTTTCCCCTGGATCCTCTTTAGCAATCTTCATTGCTTCAAGACTCCCAAGTTCCAAGAATTAGTGGCCCATTGTGCTCCAAAGTTGACATTCAGATTCAAGTTCCTACCTTTTTCAATATTCCTATATATACCAAGCAAAAATACATGTAATCTAGTAGCAAACCTAAAATTCTTTATTGGCCAAATATCACCAAATTTTCCATTTTCAGAGGCTTTTCGTGATGCCCTCTCAGGTTATGTGATTGATAAATGATCAACTTCAATAGCTTAACATAAGTCAGTATCCTTTTTAATGCAATTGTAGAGATTGAATTCATATAAATTATGCTGTAACAGACCCTAGGACAATGGTTGAAGATCTGGATCTTGAAGATCAAAGTAGATCTTGAAAATCCTTTGAGACAAAAAGTATTTGTTTTTTCTTTGAATATCAAAAGATAATATTTCCGTTTTGTTTATTTTTTATCATCAGCCAAGCCCAATGGCAAATGGGTTTCCATTTCATAAATGATTTAATTTTTGTTTTCTCTATCAAATCTATCAAAATCAAATCTCATCAGAGTTACAAGCCTGTTAATTATCTTTTCTTAAAGTCTTGATTCATGAACATGATCAAGAACTGCTGGACCTAAGAATAATATTGTTTGCACTAAATATATAGTAAAATTAAATGTATATGGGAGCACAATTATCTCATGACAAGGCATAGAGCTGCTTCAAGTTGAGGTACACAGCCAAATTTTAAGGAAAATCTTTCTTTCTTTTACTTACCTTATTCATATCAAAACTTATCTTATCTTTCAATATCTTTTAGACAAATTTGCAATTGACAGAAGGAGGAAAATGACACTTAAAGACAGAAATTTTGCTGCAGGACTTCTGACTTAAAGTTAAAATTAGGCACATATTTGTCACACAATGATCAAAATTGATGGCCATTTCTGATTAGCTATAATTCAATTTGAAATTCTTCATTGCCAGAATGAAGAGAAATTCAAGTTATTGGATTATTATATACCGTATGATAAAGATTTTCTTGAACTGAGATAAATTTTATCCTATACTTGTTTCTGTTTAACTTATCACGATATATCAATAACATATCAATTGGCCCAAAACTGAAGTATTTTGCAATTGACAGAAGGAGGAAAAAGTTTAGGAAGAGGTATTCTGAGGTCACAGTCTTTTGGGCATGCTTCTCAATAATCTTTCATACTATTTTCTTGTCCATTTAAATGTCTTGTTTTGGAAAGGTTCTCAAATTATCTTACATACATTTCTTTTTTACACTTTCAAATAGGTTTTCTGGCATTCTTATTGGATACTCAAGGATTAAAAAGTATTTCTGCCTTACCTGTTTGCATAAGGATCAAAACGTTCCACATCATTTAGTCTGACATTCCCATCAAAACCCCCAAGAGCATAAAGCTTTGAGTCCAAAACAACAACAGCAACCCTGCTTCTCTGCATTGTCATAGGTGGAACTGGAGTCCATTTACATGTCACAGTGTCAAATTTTTCAACTGTTGACAATGATTTGCCAGTGGAGGACAAACCACCTACAATGTATATAAGTCCAGCAGCTTCACTACATCTTCTAGGTGATGTTCTGAAACTCTTTACTTGTTTCCTTCTCTCAGGCATTAACATGTAATCTTTAGCTTCATCTATAAGATCTCTACAGTGGATATTACTATGGACAATTTCTTCAGATAATACTCTGTCACTTAAATACTGAGGTGGCAGGAGGGACAGTCGTACTTGTTCCAGCAAAGCAGGTAAAAGTTCCTTTCTTCCCTCTTCTTCATGTTTAACCCACCGTAAAACTGCTTCAAATACCTGCTCTTCTGAGCGAACATTTAAGTCATCTTTAGATATAAGCTCTGTGATTCCACTTAGAGGCAGCTGGTGAAATTCTTCGGACACTGAAACTTCAACAAAATTTTTCTCGATGAATGATTCGGCTGCATTAAGCAGCTTTGGACAGCTGAATGTATCTGCAATGCTTCTCACAGTAATGCAGTTTGTTGGGTGAAGCTTTCTAAGCAAGTAACTCTCACAAGCCTCTCTGACTGGATCGATCTGCAAGAGCGAAGAGGCCGACATGACCTCATTAACATTATTCTGAGTTAGTCTCAACTGTTCACCGTAAAGGCAGCAGATTATGCAGTTTAGTGCCTTGTAGTTTACACCATGCAATTTGACACTCTCCATTTCACTTTCTGCCATATTGTTTGTGAACATAGCACTGAAATAAGAACTATTAGAAGCCAAAACAACACGGTGGGCCTTAATCTCGCGGTCTTCCGCTACTAATGTTACGTCACAAAACAGTCCTGCTTTCCTGAGCTCATTTAAACCAACGAACGATTTTTGCAACAAGTCTGGTCTATTAAAGAAGCAAAATGCTTCGACGTCATCACTTGAGACTACTTCGTCGTCGTTTCTTGTTGCATCTGCATTCTGAGTTGCCATCTTTTCTTTTGGGCATGCGGAAGGTTGGTTGTCAACAACGTCCACGACAAAGATGGCTATGGACTTTACGAGTGGCAAGCGTGGTGTTGTTGTGGTTGTAAATCGACCAGGAACTCTGATAAAACCTAAAACCAAAATAGCGAATTTGAACGTGAGACTGGGACAGGGAAATGCTGTGGGCCCAGACCTGAAAGAAATTGATAGGGTGCTATCGCTAGACAGCGTCGCTTCCGTGTCCTTGTGCTTCGCCAATCACGTCTAAATCTTATCCAAGCATCATCCAAGTTATAAATGTGAAAAGCATTAAGATACGTCTGATGCAAATTGATTGAAAAATTATTCAAAAATGATGGTTTCGATATTGCGCAATCAGTAGTTGGTTTTGTAATTTCTTTTTCTCTAAACAGCAACGGGGCAAGAGAAATTTTCCCCAATGTTTAGTAGTAGTAGCTTAAATGAAATGAAATGACAAAAGCATAGGCGATTTACGTTGATTTTATAGGATTTACACGGTCATGTACTGAAGTTACAGTCGTTCATTAAGCAAGAAAGAGCCTGTAATACAATAATAATCCAGTCTACCATGCTACTGCTTTCCCGCTTGAGCCAGAGATTTTTGCCAGACAAAATGCGATATTTTTCTTTCCACTTGCCCGGGCGTTCCCTCGCGACCTTTAAAATACAATTTCTACCCCAACTGCCTGCACTATTTTTGGGCGATTAATTGAACGCAAACTCAGCCACAATATAAAGTTCTTTGTTCATGTTCAGTATCAACAAATCAATAGCAATACACACGAATATAGAAAATAGGAAATGTTGACTAACCATATTAGCATTACAATTTGAAATTGATGCTGACGGATGCATGGAAGAAGCCTGACGAGGGCGATCTGGGCCATGCACACGAACGATGAATCTTTAAAGTGACAAACTTCTAGCTTAGAGTAATGAAAGACAGGAAAACCTAATTGTTCTCTCAAATAAAAATTACTTGACAGATGCAATTTGTCTAAAATGGCAGTCAACGTGTGGAGTGAGATAAAGAACAGAAATTTAAAAACAAAACTCACGAATTGAGTTCAATTCTTAAAGTTCGCTTCTTATTCCTTTCTTTAACTTAATGAATAATTAGATGTTTTTTTAAAATTTTGTTTATAGTTCAAACCTAGCAATGAGTTAATTCAATAAAATAATAGTTATGCAATTTCAAAAGCTTGAGGTTTTTAAATTGAAAAACTACAATGTATGCCTATAACATAAAGAGCCTGGTTTTAGCAGGTGACATCCTATTTTTCGAGAATATTTTTTGTGAGAAATACTACGCCCCGTGTAGCGGGGACTAATCTATATTTCTCGTTGTTTTTTTCGGGTTTATAATTCCTAGAGCTAATTTGTCATCATATGTTGCTGCAGAGGGCTGCCATGTTTAAATTTGTCACCCGAAGCTTGCCAACCCAAAAGAAACCTTGCTTCTAACCACAGACCCTAAAAATTTTCAAATAGGACCAAATAGGGATGGATCCTAAGAATAACTGATAGTTTCAGGAAATGGATCCAATGATATTTTCAGGAAATCGATCCAGTGATAGTTTCAGGAAATGGATCCAATGATCGTTTCAGGAAATGGATCCAACGATAGTTTCAGGAAATGGATCCAATTATAGTTCCAGGAAACCAAAAACATACCCATAGATGCTAATTTCAAAAACCGAAAAATGATACAAGTCTCTCTATCATGAGTCAACCGGATCATGTCTGGCAATTTCAAAAATGTCACACACGGACATTTATCCCCCCAATGGCGGCGCCAGCCACCTCAGCTCTGGGGGGGGGCAAACCTAAAATATTTAAGCCACGCCCTTTTAACCACCAGAAAACGCCCTTTTCTCAACAGGGAACGCCAATTTTATCCGTAGGGAACGCCTATGACTAACTTTTGCTTGAAAATTGGCAGTTTGAAAAATCATAGGATTACATCACAAAAAGTACGGTGTCTAAATATTACCCCTCCCCCAACATTTTCTCATCGAATTTAGACGAAATACAAAATCGATTCCGCTGAGAACTGGGGGGAACAAACAGCAAAGTTTGACCCTTCCAAGGCACATTCAGTACTAAAGTAGGAACGGGTTGATGAAATTCTTTGATGACAAGATGCCTAAACAGCACAAAGGAAAGTGACAAGATAATTTTTAACCACTGCTTCATTTACTTCTGCAAACAACGGATTAAAGTAACATTTGTTGCACCTCGTAGTACTTCTTCTGGAGCAAGTTTTGAGGCAAGCAGCTGTGAGGGGAAAATGCAAATAGCCTTTTCTGAGGAAACCTGATTTTTCTGAGAAAAACAGATGCAAGCACATCAAAGAAATTTAAGTCAAACCTACACCTTTATATTCAGTCAATTAATATGCAAAATATGGATATTAGTTGGTTTCCTTTAAATCTGGTTTAAATACTGGCCTCAAAATAGATCATCCATTGAAAAAACGAATTAACAATATGTTTAAGACAGACTTTGTATTCGCAAGTTTTTGTTTGTAGGAAATGACTGATGGCAGGACCTCATTATGCTAAGGTGCGGCAGAGATTTCAGGTCTTCATACTTGCTGTCTGCTCTGTGAGCTTCGAAGTACTCAGCTGTTGCTGGATCTTTGCGTTCATCGTCTCAGTGATTGCTTTAAAAGAACAAGGATTAATCCAATCACTCAAAATTAGCAGAGTATTTAATATGAAACAGAAAAAGAGACATGATTTAATTTTGCACCATGGTGCAGCAAACAAATGCAAACCTATCTGGACAAATGTGTGACATAGTAAACCTTTTCGTTATTGATAATCCTAATTGCCAAACCTGGGCCTGCGCAACCGATTCCAAAATCTGGGTGCAAACAACGTAAATGCATTGGTGCAACACGCAGGTTTATCTATATGAAAATTTGAGCTGATATAAATTCCTTAATTAGCAAAAAACCAGAGAAGGCAGGGCCCCCGGGCTACTCTTTTGACACAGTCCCTGCAAATGCCAGTTCGGTTTTACAAAACTCCTTTCTTCTAATGGCTCAAAGGATAGGTAATGGGACTTTTAAGTCATCAAATCTAAATAGTTTTTACTCCTTTATCTCAATGTAACCATTAATAATCGTATTATCATTGAGAAAAGGTTCTTTCTTGCGAAATTGTATCAAAAGTAACATTCTTAGGCCCTCTTAGCACACATTCATTAACATTTCGCTCATAGCTCATTTGAAGGAAATTTGCTGCCGGGACAACCCTTTGTTCATCGAAGAGTTGGAAAATAGCCTATTGTTTAAAAAAATGGATTTAAAAAAAATGGAAAGTCACTAGGGCGGGAGAGGCAATTGTCCCCTAGTTAGAATGTTAAAAAAGGCCATCACAACGTTACTATTTCACATTCCTTCATTCTTCATCTCTTAAATCTGCTGCTATCATTTCATTGTTCTTATTTCATGCCCCTCCCCCTAAACAGAGATGTCGTGGTTCAATAAAAAATGATTGAGGCCTCCTCCCTTTCCATGCCAATTTCATCCCTAGAAGAAGTGCTAAATATGCTGAATTTTGAAGTATGGCTACCCCACAAAATGTTTTCTAAATTAAGGTTACGGTAAACGTTTCTGATACAATATTTGGTTTTCTCACTCTAAGAGCCAAACTATTAACGGAATCGGATTTAATCTTTTATAGTTTAATAAACTTAAACCAGTCGATGCACAAAAATTTTGTGATTTTAACCATATCAAAATAGTTAGCAAATATCATAAAATGATACTTTCCAGGCAAATTTATTGCTTAGATGAGTGTACTTATATCAGCAGTGTACTTATAACTTATTGCTTAGATCTGACTTATATCAGCAGAAAGCGCAGATCCTTAGCTGCCAAAGTGTGTCTCAGATTTTTCAAATTCCTCATTCCTTTGAAACTATACCATGTCAAAATTGCTAATCGATTTTCTACACTCCCGCAGTTGTATTTGGCTATAAAGGATGGACCAGAGAAAAAATTTTGATACACCATTTTCTTACCCGACATATGTCCTAGGCGTGTGCAAATTTTGGAGCCATTCGCTTGGTTCCTTGGGTAAAAATAGCTTTTTCGTACCAGTATGTAGAGGAATTGTGAGTCCAGAGAAAACGGGATTTTACTGATCGCACTTGCAAGTCATTTAGGGTCAAGTCAATTAGAGCTTTAAGCATGGGACCACAGCGGCAAAACAACAATAATCGGCTTAACAGGTCGAGCAATTTTCAGACCTCAACTAAAAGTTTCGATAAAGAAATTATGGAAACCTTCGTTTATATGGGATTTTTCTATTTTCAAAATTTCTGTTTGTTTCAAACAAGGTATCATTTTGTGCTTTGAAAGTTCGGCTACTAGAAAGTGAAAATAGCGAAAAATGTAGGTTTTCATCCAGAAAACGTTTACCGTAACCTTAATGTACCTGCCAACTTCAAAGCAGGATATACTCTCAAATCTGAAATTTTCTGAAAAAACTTAAATTGTTCATGCCACCAGCGTATTAGCCTCTCCATCAGCCATAACTACTTTAAGAAACCAAGTTTCCCTTTTTTGAATATGTTATAAGTGAACAATCACATTTGAGCTTTCTTACTTTGAAATATCTAAGAACGTTTTATTATGGAAAAGCTATTGTAAAATAATGTTTAGTTTTTTAATACAGATTCAATACAATCGCAGATACAAACCTTGCATGAACGCCTGCTTTTCTGCATGAATTGGTTGTATTTTTTCAACCTGTTTCGTGATAAAATCAATCTTTCGTTTGAAATAATCATCTGCCTCTTGAAGTGTCTGCAGAAGAACATGTCAAAATGAAAGGTCTAATTTATTGCACAAATGCTATACACATAGACTGCGTAAGTGTTAATGTCATAAATAAAATACATTGTGCATTAATTCCCATTCAAACAGTAAACCACTTAGTTTGTTACATTTTTAATTCCTTTTAAATGCATAAAGCGGAAGTTGATTTTAAATTGTTGCAACTTTTCAAATTGACCTGTGTGTCACAGAAAGAGATGAAGCTGGGACATGTCCCACATCTAGCAACCTTTTGTCAGAGATTCGGAATAAAATACCCTCAAAATGGTATGCCTTTTTTGGATTTGTAATTTTGTATTGCCACATCTGTATGGAAATGGAATCAAAGCTATGATGGCAAGGCTGATAGTAATATTGCATGCAAATTTAATCATCTGCTAATACAGGTACATGAATCTATATAACCCAAAAAACTACAGTACTGGAAAAAGCAGTTGATAACTATTCAAAAAAAATGTACACATAATTTATGAAACTTGCTGTAAAGTGAAAACACAAATCAACCTTTTCTGCATAGTAACCAGTTCCAATCTCAACAACAACATTCTTTAGATTTTCAGTCTTTCCTGGTACATACATCTGAATGAAGTTGTCAAGGGAACAAGCTGTAGAGGTCAGTGATATAATTAGAATGCACAAGAATGCTGTGTCAGTCATTGGAAGAGATGCACACTTATAAGATTTTGTTAACATTTATAACACATTCTAAACAACATTTGCAATAAAATATGCAGGACGAAATAGGCAAGGCTAAAACTTTTCTTGCATGATTTTAATTAGACTTTGTAACTAACTATATAAGATGTTAAAAGGAAAATGCATTATTGAAAATATGTATGGTATTACAATTACCTAAAAGACATAAAAATCTGAATAGCATTTAAAAGAAAGCAAAAGGATACTGAGCTTGTCATGGGAATCAAAATTTCACTGCCTAGAAATAGAAAAAAGAAACCACAATAAAAAAGCATGATGTTATCAATAAAAGATAAAACTCAGAGGATAACACTTTCTGCAGCAAGTTTGCAAATTACAAAACATATAAACATGAAACAATTTCCTTTCCAACAAAAAATTCAAAGACATATATCTAAAATTGGCATGAAATTATATGAATTTAGTAAAGCACGAAACAACTTTCAATTTGATATATGTATGGTACTCCTTGAATATGCAGTTATCATGTACTAGGTGAAATCAGAGCTCAAAAAGTGGTGACATTTTCAGGCAAAAAATTGCTTGAAATGGTTTCAATTTTATAAAAGAAATGCAATTGGATGTCTTTATCAACAATTGTGACACGTTGCTAATGTGCAAATAACACAAACATTGTTATGGATATACAATTTCATAACAGAATTCTACTGTTGTTAAAAGGCGTTGGTCTGCAAATTTGTGATATTAATGCTTTGCATACAGTTAGTTATCTCTATGGAACAAATTCACTAGATAGAACCAGAAAGTAACTAATGGGTAATTATGTTCTTTTGATTGACAGTGTAATTAGAGATACTGCAAGCCTGGACAAAAAATAAAAAACAAATCTAACCTTCTTTATTGACTCTCAGTTTACCAACATTGTCCATGGAATCATAAAATTTTTGCTGTGCTCCTTTTAGTCTTGAAACTGATTCAGTGAGCATCTTGACTTCCTGTGACATATGACATATAACATGAGATTCAATGTATACACATATCAAAGGTTATAGATAGTACTGAAAACATAAGCAATAAACAAGTCTCAAAATTTCAACCCAAGATCGCATTAATTTTCTTTACCTTAATACAGGGACAAACTTGTCAAATCATATGACATGGAGAACAAACAAATTTGACTATAGGAATTTATTTTCTTAAGATGAAATTGTTACCTTCCTTTGTAATAAGGTGAAAGTGACCTGGATAGAGCTCAATTTGGGAAACATTACAGTAACAAGGTGGTATTAAAATTAAATAAAAACAGGCCTGGTCATTTGAGGAGAGCCTACTCATATCAGGGTGAACTAATGACTTGGTGTTTCTCCAGGGGTGGTTTCAGAGAATGCAAGGCCTCTGGGCCAAAAAAATCTGCAGAGCCCTTTTTCTCCTTACAATTCTTTTTCTAAGGTGCAGGGACCCTTTCTTACTACCATAAGCCTAAGGCCTGCAGCCATGCCCCCCTGGACCCCCCTAAAACCACCACTGTGTTCATCCTTGCAACAGTATGGAGTGAATACCATTAACATGGCACATTTGCCATGTACAAGGCTTCCGAACATCTGATTTTTAATTTAGATGCACACCAGATATTCCTCTGTAAGAACTGCCTGTGGTTAGGACAGTAACTTGAGGGTCCTTATGGAGTGAGGCTAGCATTTATCTCTTCAAAATTATAGCAGTCTCAGGCCTTTGACTGATTTTACAGAAATATTAACTTTTATTGTACTTATTAATGAGGCAGAACAATGTGCTAAGCAGCCCACTGGTTAGTTAAATATTTTAAAGCTAAAAAGTCACTTTTATCTATATTTCACCATTTTTATCAAGACCATTTTTATCTATATTTCAGTGGGGTATATAGAAAAACAGGCGAGGGATTTAGATTTTCCAACATAAATGTATCAAGCAGTAGATTTATTCCTATATTTGAACATAACATAACAACATCAGATCTGATATAAAAAAGATGAAATCTTATCATTTATTCAAAGTTAAGTGTAATAAATCAAACAAATTGAAGATTTTTCTGTTTGTCTCCTGGACAAAGGCATTCTTAAGTATCATACGTTATTGAAAAAGATTGCAAATCAGATTCAGAACTACAAAAGAGCATGTTTAATCCAACTTTAAAATCTTTCCTCTCAGAATGTAATACCTGCTTAACAACCATGTTATATTTCTAACAATACTAGAGGTTTTTCGACAAAAAAACAGTTTAGTTTTACAGGGGGATTTTTTGCCCATTCTGACCCCCAACTTTTTACGCCACTGAGTTATTTTTGTACATGTCTCGACTGTCTGCCCATGAAAAATTTACGCACAGGTTAAGGGTGTGGTCACATAAAAGCCAAAGTAAAAGGCGTTGCCCAAAATAATTTCCTCTCTTTTACTGTCAGCCTCCACTTGCTGGATGCACATCCACAGATTTCACTAGTACTGTACCGAGCACAAAAAATCTGCCTTATATCAGGCCTTTCGGTTTTTGACACATACCTATGCCGCTTTGTTTAATTTTAACAAAACAAAGACTAAAATTGACGATGCTCAGCTGCAAAAATTGGGCACAAAAGTTACTTACTTCTTCTATTTGCCCTCTTAAATATTCTAACTGCTGCAAAGGAAGCTGGGATAAGGCAACCCCACTCGTTTTATTACCGGAGCTCCCTTTGACGTCCGCCATCTTCTAGGTAGGCCTGGCACTTACAAAATACCTTTTGAAATGGCCTCGTTCAGACATTTTCCAAGAAAGCGAGGGGTTAGAGGGGCTAGTAAATTCATTTTCCACCTCGCCCCCATCCTTGGTCTGCCAGCTATAGATTGAAAAATGAGCCCGCCCCTTCAGGGGTTACTCTAGCGTGGTTTTGTAGCCGTTTTGTGAAATTGTAAATCTGATTTGTGGTGTTGTGAAAAATCCTTTTCGGTTATCAGGAAAAATCCTTTTCGTTTGCATCCTTATCGGGTAAAATCGCACCAACCTCTATACCCTGTAAATGTTTTCTGTCTCCAATTCCAACAATGAAGTCAAACGAAAGACTTATTTCTTGAGATCAGTGGTTTTCGTTCTACCGTTTTTTCGGATTATTTTAACACTTTGCAAAAAATTCCCAGTTCTTGAATTTGTGGCGTTGTAAGTTTTTTCTAAGAGTAGACCCTGGCCCCCTGGCCCTTGAAAGTATGAAATCCTTAACTGTAAGACATTTTACAAGCTACACGCCTAATGATTTGTAGGATAGGATCACCATTATTATAAACTTATCTAAGCTAGGCAGCTACAGAATAAAAGCTGATTCAAGCCCAATGCAAAGTCAAACTGTTTATAAAGAGAACAATGCAAATTTATTTAACAAATAAATATAAAAAATATGTATATTTGCATAAAATGGAAAAAGTGCTAAGAATACACTAAGGGTACAAAAGAATGGAAGGGTAGTTAAAAAATGATATTGTTTTACATTATAAAGTTTGAGCAAAGTTTGTTGTGCATCTTCAAAGTTGCCTACATTTCATCGTAGCTGTTTATGAAACCTTTGAAAACTTTTTCCAGAATTTTTCTGAAGCACTGGTTAAAAATTTCCCCGAATTTCTTTTTCAAAAAGTAGAAAAATACTCAGATTTATCAATTTCTTAGATCTAGACAGATTTATTTTTATTCCAAAGCCATTGACATGACGCATTATTTTCCAGCCAAAGTCACTAGCAACAAAAGCCCCTTCACCTAGTAAATTTGTTTTGGAAATTTGTCGGCTTAGGCCCTTGGCCACTGTGAGCCGCCATGTTTGACTATCGTTTCCATACTTTTGTACCCTAAGTGTACATCCCTATTCAATGCCTAGAAGGATTCCCTTTTTGTTATTTAAAATGCAACACATTTAATTCGGTTGAAAACCCAACCTGAGCGACGAATAGTCTACAAAGTATACAGTTCCATTCCTCTCATTTCAAGGTTTTTATTCTCCTTCAAAATGTTCCAAAAGTCTAGTGATCTTTTTCCTAAACAGCTAGAAAACTGCTGCGCCTCATAGCTAAATAAAGGTTTAAAAAGTCTCTCCAGCTGTTTGGTGATACTCAGCCAAGCATTTTGGCAGCTTTATATAAATTTCCCCTCCCACCTTTAATCTTTTTATTAGGGTGGCATCTTGTTTTGATAGTTAGGTTAAAAACCTTTTGAAATTATTAACAAAAAAGTATATTGTATTTAACTGTATAATAGCTAAGAATATTTGGATAAACTGCGTACATTAAAGTTTTGATAAGTTATAATTGCTTTAACAGTGGCACAGGGGCCGATCCAGAGCAAATTTGAAGGAGGGGTAGTTGGTAGTGGGGGCGCTGAAAAATTTTCAAAAATTGGTGACAAGAGTACGCTGTATACAACAATTTCAGATACCTTTTCAGAATAAACAACATAACTTTGATGTAATCCTTGAAGCAAATTAACCTATCGGTCTCAGAATCCTTTTCATCTGATTCTCATTCTTCAAAAGGGGCCCACAATTTCCAACAAAGGGGCGCTAAACTTGCTTCTACTCGTTGAGTGAGGAGTAACTGCCCCTAGTTGCCCCCTTGAATCCGCCACTGCAGTGCCTAGATTGTTAGAATTTGTTTATTTTTTAACTTTTTTCTCCATAAATTCCCGATAAGGGGCAACTGTTCTAGTGTTTCTTGAATACTGTCTTGAAATTCTGTTTGTCAATTTTATTTTTAGAAATAAATTACAACAGAAAACTTAAAAATCTTTTGAGACAAACCATAAACGCGAAAAGCATTTCTTTACCAGCATATTTCAACATGCCTGTTAATTCAATCGAATGTTATGTACGAAGATTTGATAATATATCGACGATATTATTAGTCAGCTGGCTTTTCAGGACCACTATTGCAACAAATGCTTCGGTTTAAAATTGTCAAGATTAAAAATTCAAAGGTTCTGATTATGGTATTGAACAGGGATATTAATTTGAGGTGGAATTCTTCTCTGAAACATCTAAATACTTCTGATAGAATGAAAATGTCGAGTCTGCGTCATATTTTGTGCAAATCCAGGTTTTCGTACGTAGTGCATAATTGAATGCTACACTCCAGAAGAGGTTCATCTTGTTAAATCCTTTTGAAGACTGTGTCCTTTTAACGTCGTTTAAAAAGTAATAAGGCAAACAAATAGAAAATTAGGTATTTACTATTCATTTCGCAGAGACATTGTTGGTGACCTTAATCCTACTGGACAAGACCTAACTATAACCTAACTAAACGTTACAAAAAGGAGATCCAAGCTACGCAGGCGTTATACCAGGTGTGTTTACCAATGCTCCTTAAAGTATGAAGCCTCAGGATGATTGTTGAATTTGCAATAACCTAATTCACGGAAATACAGGAATTGGCGATTGCTTTGGCAGACTACTATTGTTGAAAATGCAGAAGAGAAAGATAAAATGAACCATTTCTGCTTGAAAAATCACTGGCTTTTTAGCTTTTATTAGGGAAAATCGAAAAAGTTTGGTAATAATGCTGCTTCGCCAAAAGCCAAGACATTAGACATATCAGCAGTATTATATAACTTACGATCCACCGTCAGTCAGCCTATAATTTACAATCCATCAACAAGAATTCAAATACGCTTCCTGGTAAATATCTACTTATATACTACCCAGATTCAAAATTTGGTGACGCTTCCTGGATTCTATACGAAAAAAAAAATCTTCAAACATTTTTTAATATGCAATACCCCATTTGTAACCTACTTGTTAGTTAAGTCTGGTCGCTACTACAGATTTGGCAAGAGCAATTCACGATGCGCATAAAAGGATAGTCTAAAGTGGTACTGTTGCTACATATTAACCTTACTGTTAGTATTTTGTAACTTAAGGGCCTGCAACAGTTACATTCAGAAAGTAAGCTCAGATTTTCAAAGTGCGAGCTCGAGAAACAGTTCCCCTCACATGACGTCTTTATAACCGGGAATTCGGAACGGCATCCATTACTAGTTTCAATTATTCTGGTATGTTTCGTTACATTACAGCCTTTTTGAAAGGAATTTACATCAGTTTTATGTTTAGCTGTCTGCTGTGTAAATGTTGGTGTTACTGAAACACTACCAGTGACGATTAACCTCTCCGAAGGCGCAATGGTTTTCACTGAAGCAGTTGCTGGAGGATAAAAACAATGAAACCCTCTTAGAATACTCACCAAAAACAGACGGGAGTTTTTATTAAATGAATTCATTTAAAGTAACAATAATCATAATAAGACTACTTTTAGAAACAACTTAAGCTTAAGGTCAGCCAGCAGTCATAGTAGAAGGTGCTGTCGTACCAAGTAAATCATAACTGCAGCCTTTGCAGTGGCAGCTTGTAATAACAAGATAGTCCATGGTTACCACGGTGCCATTTCCACAGAAAAGCTGGGCGGTGTAGCTTTCGTACCCAGTCGCTTTACAGCATCGACAGTCGTTGAAAAGAACAACTTCGTTAAACTTTGTCCAGGACTCCGAAGCACATTTTCCAGAGCAACTTGTCTGCATGAGTGTTGATACGGACTTGCATCCATCGTCATTTGTGAAATTAACATTTGTAACGTTTACCAGACATTCGGAGACAAGGGCAGGAGTTGAGGGTGTAGAATAATAGGGAGTAGTTGCTGGAACTAAAGTGGTAACATCTGCCAAGGTAAAAAATAAGTTTTCACTTCCTCAGTTGGGTAAAAGTAATGTTAAAATTAACCTCATTGGAGATATGAAAATTTTTATGCTTCATGAAATTACAACAAAATGAAAAAATGATCTACTCTTCTGTCCTAACGGATTAAGTTTACCTTAAAAATATCTTTAAAGATAGCTATTAACTCGTATGCTTTTTGTAACGTTTTGTACTCTGAAGAGTGGCAGACGAAAGCTTTAGTATGTCTGAAAATGTTTGCATTTTTCAAAGCCATTTTAAAATTTGAACTACCATTTTTCTAATGAGAGATAAGATGCATATTTTAAGTTTAGCAATCTTTAAATTGTTTTCAGATAGAAAAGTAATCAAAAGGTATTGATTAACAAAAAGAGTAATAAATTATATTTACTGGTCGGTGAACAGAAGCAGCATTTATCTCTTTCGTGACGGATTTCTTGATCCTGAAAGCAACGAGATGTTGATTTGAGGTTTTCAGCTATTTGTTCTATGATAAGTCATATTGACTAACAGATACTAGTCGCTATGTACTTTAACCACTCGTCCAAATGCATAAACATTCCTATATGCATTCAAAAATTCATAAAAAAACAAAACACAGGCATTGTTTCGAAATAATACTTAAGGGAGCTGGTTTATAACTGATGCGTAAGGAATGAAAATACTCAGTGTGATTTCATATGATAAAGTGGTGCTTCACAAAGGTGATTAAAAAACAGATTGCAAATCTCAGATTTAAAGGTTAAAAATTTCAAACATTTTCAATATTTTTTCTCAGAGAATTACAAATGCTTTAACTCCTTTTGTTTTTACGAAATCGCTGACATAGAAAGGAACTCAAATAGCTTCTATCAAAGACTGAATAACCTAAGAAGAAGATGAAAGTTAAATAAGTGAAGTAATGGTGCTAAACTGTAAAAAGTGCATATATAGCTTCTAGTGTTTATTATATCTAAAGAAACAAATGAAATTTGATTGAGTTATGTTTTAAAGAGAAAGAATTGGGTGTATCAGAGACTAAACAATGGTTAAGTTAGCTAAAAAATTTGAAGGAATTCATCTCACTTACTAAACCGAAGTAAAGTTAGCTGAAAAATTCAAGTTTCAATAAGCAAGCGATTATTCTAAAGGTCTTTCAAACAAACAGGTATCTTTATAGTTAGGGCAGCCAAAAAAATGTAGCTTTTCATTTAGGACAGTCAAAAACATTTTGATGTTATGGATATCTGGAAGAATGGAGAGTGAACAAGAGCAAATGCAGTGTCGATTGCTGTAACTTCAATAAGCCTTTCTAATTGCAGAAGAACAGAATGGCACAAAAAATTTCAATTCGGCAATGTTGTGCCATTTCAAAAAAGAATATGTTGACTAAGAGAGCCTATAGTAGTTTTATATTAAGACACTGTACGTTCACTGACCTCTGGACAGTTCTGTATGGGACAATAAGATGTACAGTTGAACCCAGATGCAGTGCAAATACATGTGGTGCAGTTCTCTATGTGGTTGATTACCGATCCAACCTGCGGAAAAGGTTAAAATGCACGAAATGAAAGTTTAATTCAGTTGAATCTGTAGCAAAACGACAACAATAGTCTTAACTGAATTTCAGTTCCTACAGAACGTAACTGGAAAAACGCAGCTGCTAAGATGCTGTATTTAAAAATCAGTTTTATGCACTTTACATGAGAATGTGATATGTTACCTAAAATAGATTCATTAAATGCAGAACAAATGTCTTTCCCGTTACCATAGATAAGATTTTTTAATAAAGAAAAAAGGAGGTCAATATTCATTCACGTAAGCTCCTTGGTAAAATGTGACCTGTACGAATATATAACTCCCTGATGAACATAAAAGTGCAAGGAATTTTTCTACTCAGGTTTCTAGAGAAATAGATATGATAAAGCATGTAAAGAGTATACTAGTTTGCGTGATAAACAAGATGATGGGACATTATAACTCAAATTTGAGGTAAAATTGTTCAAGGCAAAAAAGCCAACTTATCAACTCGGTGCAAAGGGCAAGGTATTGTTAGTAAACTCGCTATTTTGTCCTAGTAGAATTTTATTTTTGTACAATGTAAAGAGTACCTTATTTACAATGCCATTGAGGACACAGGGACATTTAGGTCTATTATAACAAATGCCATTAGATGCCCTTGTGTAGTTTTGGGTACAGTTACAAAGATCTGTACAAATAAACTGTGCACAGCTGTTGGTATTCTTAGCCATGGAATCGCAAGTCCTCGTGCAAAGGCATGTCGAATTTGATGGACATTTTGTTGTATACAGGGCTGGAATGCAAGTGAAGAAAGATGCAGTTAAGTAGTGCTTGCAAAAATGGCTCGTAGAAGAAAAAAAGCTTGAAAATTCTTCGTTCCTGTTAATGATGCTCCAATTCTTGAAAAATGACCAAGGCTTGCATCCAGATTTATGATCTCTTCAGGTTGAAGCTCTATTACTACGGCAGCCAAATAGGAATTGACAACAAAAGTATGAATTTATTTCGAAATTAATATTCCAAGGAAGCAGTGTTTTTAAGAGTAGGTACAGCTAGATCTAAATCAAAGTTTCTGAGATTTCTATCATATAGATATCATATATGATATTAGATGTTATAGAATATCTAGTAGTGGTAATTGATCATCAACAGAGTTTAAATTAATTATTGAAGATTTTATTAAATAAGCTGGACACGTATAACTAGCAGAGGACTAATGCAAATTCAAGAAAACATTCTTCTTCTTGTTATTCTTCTTCAAGATTCTTCTTGTTTTGTGTTTTATAGTGTAGCTAAAAAAGTCTGATTAGACCCTATAACCTGTTACCTAGGAATCCACTGATGCTTAAACACGTGAATAACTAAAACTTTTAGCACTAAAGCATTTACCTGTTGTGCTTGTACTAGGCACACTGGTGACAGGGATACCGGTTGAAATATTTTGGGAAAACGGAGAGGTAAGATTTAAAACTAATGGAAAAGTGCTGGTTGTCACATGTTTTGTTGCCGTCGTGATGAGCTGGCTACGATTTGTAATTAAGGTGGAGACTGCCGATGTCAAGGTGGCAGGATACGTAGATATTGTCGTTGCCACCTTCAAAAGATCATCGAAAAGAGGATTTAAACTCAAATTTGAATTGAAAGGCATTGCTTTTAAATTATGAATGAATCATATGACATTATTTCAAGGAAAAGATTTATAAAAAATGTTTGAGTTTATGAGATTTGAAAAGTATTAGCAGCAAATATTTGTAGCTGGAAAAGATGGTTTCAAAACCTTGTAAAATCAATAAACAATAAGTACATGTCAACGTGAAGATTTGCTGGTGGTTAGTTAAAGCACGATGTTAGAAGAAAGGAAAGTTGATGTAATAACGTTGCATACATAATCCAATAGGGGGAACTCAAAGAGCTCTGTTACAATATATAAAAGGCTCTTGAAAACTTGGATCTATTAAAGCACCCTTTAGAAGCTAGAAAGCAATTTAATAAACTCGAATAAACCTGTTTAATTCGAAATGTAATCATCAAATTATATGAAAAGCGAACTAGAACAATGTCTTAATCAGAAATGCCATATCAATCGCAGTCTTTCCATTGCAACATTACACTGAAAAACTAAGGAGCTGTTTCTTTGAAAGCAGAAGAACCTTACCGTAGTCGTGCTTATATTGCAATTTTTCTCATCCTCACCGTACGGACAGTCCTTATATTTATCGCACAAGTATGTCTTTGGTATGCATTTATCATTGCTCGGACACAGGTAGGTGTCCGATTGACAGCATGTCTCATCCTCGCTATTTGGACAGTCAACGTAGTTGTCGCAAACATATTTTCTCGGGATACATTTCTTTGAAAGCCGGCACAAAAAGCCAGTGCAGTTTCCTGGAGATGTTGTGGCTATGGTAGTTACTGTAGTTGGACAGTTTTCTTCATCTACTCCATCTTGACAATCTTTGTCACCATCACAAAGAAACCTTTATTTAAATATAATAAAGTTCAAAATTTATTTCATTCTAATATTTAAAAAGCTTTTTAGATTTTCCCTACGCTTGCAGAGGCGGAAATTGATCATCTTTCGTGAAGGGAGCGATAATGTCAACTCAACCGACAAGAATTTTCGCTTGAAGTAAGTGATAGTATGACGCTGGAAGATATAGCAAAGTCACGTCACAACAATTATACTTGGATCTGAATTCAAAGAACGGAAGAATGCCTCCCGTCAAGACAAGTTTTTTTACATCATCAAACTATTGTTAGTCCTCTTTTTCTCATCTTTTCTCAATTTTCCAGCCACAGGAATAACCAAAATTCTAACTTAAAGCGCAACATTTTAAATACAAAGGGATGACATTGGAGAATTATATTATCTTCTTGAAATTTTCTAAAACCCTTAGTGTAAAAGGCGGCAGCCTGTCTTTGGGATTTGGTACCAAGAAAAAAGTGAAAATGCACGCTTAAAATCAATTGCTTACCGTTTTGGTATGCATTTGCCATTAGTACAAGTGAATTCCGTGCTACTACAGGTTACATTAGTACAATTTCTCTCATCCGTACCATCAGCACAGTCATTGTCTCGATCGCAAACGAATATCCTTTTGATGCATTTACCATTACCACATTTGAACTCACTCTCACTGGAAAGCAAAAAATTTTAATTTATCTAAAATAATTTTTAGCGTAGTTGACCTCTCTACTTGTGGTTCTGATCTTCGGGGTGAAGACTTTTACACCCATTGTACATCCTTCAGAGACTGCAGTCTAAAGACTACCTTTAACAAACAATTTGCAAACATTCAGGAGGAGATCGTCAAAAAATTCAAAGGTTATGAGAAATAACAAACTACGCTCTGTAAGAGCGCCGTTACCAAGGGACCTGTGAGATCTGGTGACTCTCTTCTTACATCACCTTGGATTATAAAAGCTGTAAAAGTTTTCATAAATAAGTTCATAAAACTCATTTGGAAGAGATGTTAAAGGATTTGTGATCATGATAGGTTCAGTTTTCAGTCGTTCACCTCTGTTGTGAAATGTAGTTTATTTTGTTTAATCCGTGTTTCGTTATCAACTTTGTAACTGCTTCTGAGTGGAGAGCTGGTATCCAATATTATCATCATAAAAATATTTCAATTTCTTTGTGTCGCGACCAGCATGGCCACTTTGGATTCATCAAATGTATGGTGATACTACCATACTAAAATTTCAATAGGTAGACAAAAGCACAATGCCTCCAGAAGAGCCTGCACCTCAATCCACAAACACTGCTACATTCATGGACTGTGCAATATTAGGCTGGGCCTAGCTTATGAAAATAACTTATGGAATGAAACCATTGAAATCTTACATGAAAAATCCTCAATGGAATATGTACTGAAACCAAACAGGATATAGATAAAATGTAACATGATGAGTGCAAAGTCTTGCCAGGTTTGAACCGTTTACAATTTCAACTATTGCATAACATTTTAGGATTGCATAAATTACCACCAGATTCTGGTGGAAACTGCGGGCAGGGTATTTAAAATTAAGGCACAGTCCATAAATGTGGCAGCATTAGTGGACTGGGACACAGGCTAGGTACGATAAATAACATACCTACCTACAAGTGCGATTGCATTGCAACTCGTCTGTTTTATCGAGGCAGTCAAAAGTTCTGTCACAGACCCATCTGTTTGGGATGCACTTTGTATTGTTATCACAAGAATACTCCGGACAACTGGTTGTTATCTGTGTAGGTTGTGGGGTTGGCACTGTTGCATTGCATCCGTAAGCCTCTAATCTCAAGCATGATGCATTTTCGAATGAATGGATGTTTATTCTCATGAACCTTGAAGTGAAAGGGATTTCCAGCTTGTTGTAGACGATAGAATCTCCATCCACATTCCCTCTAAATATCTAGAAATCCAGTCAAGACAAGGCAAAAATACTTAAACCAAATTTATATCAAACTGTAGATTTAAACTAAGTTTTGTGAGCAAAATAACAATCAATGATAACGACAATTATGCATATCTATGCAGCATATTTATTGTACAAATCCAAATTCTGCTAATAATAATGCTAAGGATTTTTAGTTGCAATAGTTAAACCATACAATACAGAAATTTTCTAGAATATAAATTAGGCAAATTAGTTTGCCTCAAAGCATTTTACGATCAAATTTGGGAGTGCTGAATAAAACAGAAGCATTCGTTTAAATGTGAATAAAAATATATCCTGTTGTTCTGAATTTCCATAAACGAAGCAAACAGTTTTTGGAAAGTGTTTCCATTTTTCTTTCGCGCGATCCTCAAAGCTCTGAAATTCTTCCGCAGAAAGCAAAGAAAATAAAGCGGGTTTGTATCAAAAGTTCTTGCAAAAAGCACAGAATTCAATAGCATGAATAAAGATAATCGAAAAACGATAGATTAAAAAAATACAGGCCATTTTTTTATAATCCAAGATTATTAGCGCAAAGATAAATTTTCAGACGAGCCAAATTTTACGTCATTAATTGACCTTGATTATTAAGTACTTCAGCCTCATCAGAAGGCCTTATAACTTTCACTTGCTCGCTGTTAATAAATGTAGCGTGTATTCTTGGGTGAATATCTAACTAGTCTAGGATGTGCTATGTTGGATAACAATAAACATACCTTAAGGGTTTCGTTAACCATGTACTTTTTCCAAAGAGCTCCATCCATACTGTAATAGACCGAGAATGTTCTGACAAACTCATTATGCAATGGTCTTCCCTGGATCGCTAGTTTCGTAACACGAACAAGTGAGCCAAAATTTACTTGAAAGTACGGATTTTTGTCATCCTTTCTAGCACACCATGACTTATTTGCCAATGTCATATCTGATCTGAGACGGCCGTATGAGGGATGAAAATGTAGCTTTGAAGAACTTGCAGTCAGGTGGTTATCAGGAATTTTTCCACTCTCCAAGCCTAAAATTTATTTAGCAATAAAATAAATGATTTAGCAAGTGCTTAAAATGAGTTATTATCAATTATTTTTCAACGTACATTCCTTTTCTATGTAGAAAAAATCTATAAAAAAAGCTTTAACATTATTCAAAAAGTGAAATAGAAAAAATTGTCGAGGTACTTTAAATGTAATTCCGAACAAAGTTGCAAAAATCTCTATGAAGACCTGAAAAACAAGAGCTTTTTGCCATCTAGGGTTGTTTAGTCAGTGTATTTCAAAGGTTTTATCATGCTCACTCCCTTTGTTAGCACATGGAACTGCTTGCACCATAATGATTTAAGAACGATCTAGCTTTAAAGTTTTGGAAAACATAAGAATAGCAAGTCTGAACGTCAAAATTACGGTCATTTTTTAAAAGAGACAGTAACTGTCTAGCTTATTATACTATTTGCCAGGTTATCACATCATGCTTGAAACTAGGAGTATCAACTTAGAACCGTCCTGTTATAAACACCTATAAATGTGTACAGCTCTGCCTATATCCAGCATTTCAAGGCAGACTTGTAAACAGTGATTATCATTACCTAGCTTATTATTCCACCCGATGTGTTTTAGAAAAACCCTTATAGGCTAAAGCCCAAAGACTGCAACAAACCTAGTGATTGTGAACAGTTTGTCGTGCTTGGGCAGTTGGCTTCATCGATACCAGTCGTACAGTCTCTTTCACCATCACAAAGCCAATTAGCAGAGATACATTTGTTTCCACATTGAAAACCGGAGCAAGTACTAACTGTAGTAGCACTGGTAGTTATTTCAGACAGCAAGCATTTCGGACAACACTCTCCTGCAGGTGTAACAACTTTGTATTGAGGCTGGGGGCAGTGTGGCAATGTAGGACATATCATGGCTGAACATTGTATTTCATTATTAAAGCAATAACACGTACTGCAATTCTTGTACCAAGAATCACCTGGGCGTCTGAATCTTCCTGTGGCATCTCGACAAAAGCAATCCCCAGGTAAAATGCAATAGCTTCCGTTGTACTTTAAACCTTCAGGACACTGGCACATTGGTACACAGCTGCTTATCTGACATGTATTGTTCATGTACTGGCATGTGTCAATACAACCATTGGAGCATGTGTTATAAACACGATTTCCTTCGCATTTCTGCAGACAGTTTAACTCATCTTCGCCAGTGAAGCAGTCTTTTTCGCCATCGCAACGATATCTAACCACGAATTATTTTATGAAATTTTAAAGATTTGAATGACATGAAAAGAAAGCTTAAGACAAACTCAGATTTCAAAGAACAAGTTTAAGAAAACAATTAGATCTAACAAAATTCGGAAAAAAACTATAGTAAAGAGAAAGGTAAAATTGAGTTTCTCGAAAAATGCAGGACATGGTACTTAAGGGGAGATCAGAAACCTTTTGATCCTAAAAGCGAATCCTTGATTTTAGTTCTTACTTATTCAAAGCAACATTGCCTTCAAGCACATTTCTCTTGAAAAAACGTCAAAGATACTAATTAATTCAGTCGACAAACGTTTGCAAAACGGTGTTCAAGGAAGTCCTCTTTTTGAAGTGTTATATATTACATTAAATGTTGGTACCTATTAATCTGTACTTTGAACAAAAAAACTATTTCAAAAACATCCTGGCACGAAATACAATCAAGGGCAAAAAATTAACTTTCAAAATAAAACACTCACACACTAGGTAGACAAGTCCCATTGTTACACAAAACACCGTTGCAAGGAGGCAAAGTTGATAAAGATACATTCTGTCCGACAGTAGTTACTCCAAACTTTGAAGAAGATTTTGAGAAAATCAACGTTGAAAGAATCTGTTCTGTGGTTGGAGTTTTACCAAATGAAGATGTTAGATTGAAACGTGAAGTTGTAGACTCAGCCCTTGTTGAGGTGCTAATATTGAAAATTTCTGTTCTCGCTGAAGAAATTGTTGTAACAAATCCAGTGGAAGTCACGTTGCTTATCTTCGTTGACGCAGTAGGTGGAGTTGCTGTTGTTTGATTTGTTAATGCTACAGTGCTACTGGCTGATGTTGTTGTTGTAGTTCTATTCACCAACGCTGTTGTTTTGTTGGATGTTGTTACTGAAGGGGTTGAGCTTGAAGGCAAAGATGATGAAGGTGGCCTCAACGTTGAAACATTTGTTGGTGTTGAAGATTTCACGGTAGTGACATTTGAGATTTGTGATGTCGTCTCAGATGTTGTTGGAACAAATCCGGTGGAAGTCACGTTGCTTATCTTCGTTGACGCAGTAGTTGGAGTTGCTGTTGTTTGATTTGTTAATGCTGCAGTGCTACTGGCTGATGTTGTTGTTGTAGTTCTATTGACCAACGCTGTTGTTTTGTTGGGTGTTGTCACTGAAGGGGTTGAGCTTGAAGGCAAAGATGATGAAGGTGGCCTCGACGTTGAAACATTTGTTGGTGTTGAAGATTTCACGGTAGTGACATTTGAGATTTGTGATGTCGTCTCAGATGTTGTTGGAACAAATCCGGTGGAAGTCACGTTGCTTATCTTCGTTGACGCAGTAGTTGGAGTTGCTGTTGTTTGATTTGTTAATGCTGCAGTGCTACTGGCTGATGTTGTTGTTGTAGTTCTATTCACCAACGCTGTTGTTTTGTTGGATGTTGTCACTGAAGGGGTTGAGCTTGAAGGCAAAGATGATGAAGGTGGCCTCGACGTTGAAACATTTGTTGGTGTTGAAGATTTCACGGTAGTGACATTTGAGATTTGTGATGTCGTCTCAGATGTTGTTGGAACAAATCCGGTGGAAGTCACGTTGCTTATCTTCGTTGACGCAGTAGTTGGAGTTGCTGTTGTTTGATTTGTTAATGCTGCAGTGCTACTGGCTGATGTTGTTGTTGTAGTTCTATTCACCAACGCTGTTGTTTTGTTGGACGTTGTCACTGAAGGGGTTGAGCTTGAAGGCAAAGATGATGAAGGTGGCCTCGACGTTGAAACATTTGTTGGTGTTGAAGATTTCACGGTAGTGACATTTGAGATTTGTGATGTCGTCTCAGATGTTGTTGGAACAAATCCGGTGGAAGTCACGTTGCTTATCTTCGTTGACGCAGTAGTTGGAGTTGCTGTTGTTTGATTTGTTAATGCTCCAGTGCTACTGGCTGATGTTGTTGTTGTAGTTCTATTCACCAACGCTGTTGTTTTGTTGGATGTTGTCACTGAAGGGGTTGAGCTTGAAGGCAAAGATGATGAAGGTGGCCTCGACGTTGAAACATTTGTTGGTGTTGAAGATTTCACGGTAGTGACATTTGAGATTTGTGATGTCGTCTCAGATGTTGTTGGAACAAATCCGGTGGAAGTCACGTTGCTTATCTTCGTTGACGCAGTAGTTGGAGTTGCTGTTGTTTGATTTGTTAATGCTGCAGTGCTACTGGCTGATGTTGTTGTTGTAGTTCTATTGACCAACGCTGTTGTTTTGTTGGGTGTTGTCACTGAAGGGGTTGAGCTTGAAGGCAAAGATGATGAAGGTGGCCTCGACGTTGAAACATTTGTTGGTGTTGAAGATTTCACGGTAGTGACATTTGAGATTTGTGATGTCGTCTCAGATGTTGTTGGAACAAATCCGGTGGAAGTCACGTTGCTTATCTTCGTTGACGCAGTAGTTGGAGTTGCTGTTGTTTGATTTGTTGATGTTCCAGTGCTACTGGCTGATGTTGTTGTTGTAGTTCTATTGACCAACGCTGTTGTTTTGTTGGATGTTGTCACTGAAGGGGTTGAGCTTGAAGGCAAAGATGATGAAGGTGGCCTCGACGTTGAAACATTTGTTGGTGTTGAAGATTTCACGGTAGTGACATTTGAGATTTGTGATGTCGTCTCAGATGTTGTTGGAACAAATCCGGTGGAAGTCACGTTGCTTATCTTCGTTGACGCAGTAGTTGGAGTTGCTGTTGTTTGATTTGTTAATGCTGCAGTGCTACTGGCTGATGTTGTTGTTGTAGTTCTATTGACCAACGCTGTTGTTTTGTTGGACGTTGTCACTGAAGGGGTTGAGCTTGAAGGCAAGGATGATGAAGGTGGCCTCGACGTTGTTGGAGTCTTTGTTGTTGCTACAATATAAAGACTGTTGTCAATGGATTGTAAATATTAATGATGGTATATTTGATTTGCTTTTTGTCACAGTTTTATTGTATACAACTTTTAGTACCATACTTTATAGACTAGCTCTTTGTATTTTGAAGTTGGTCTCATTGGTCTACAATTTATTTCTCATGGTCGACAAAATTCACAAGCAGTCATTTTGATACCGTGATGACACAAAAGTGAAAATCAAATCTTCGTCCTAATAACAATTTTTTTTAAAATTTTTAGAAACAGATTTCCTCTTGAGCGTTTTTTACTGCAAAATTTACATTAAAATTCTATATTTTGTAATTGCAAACAAGGATTTTGTTTTGTTGGTTCATAAACTACTGTTTCTAGCACTGTTGAATTTCAGCAAAAACATTTGAATGGTAGAATATTTCGTTGTTTAGCTAATATCAATATAGTCTGTTTCTCAATTTTATAACTAATTTGTTACATTCATATATACGTTTTATGAGGACATTTTATATGCTTGAGTTAATGTATTCTAGCAATATTAAAAGATAAATAGTGAACATTAGTTTTCTTGTATGTTTTACTGGCATCCACTTTTATTGCGGTCGATTGAGTTCAAATAAACGTTTTATTAAAGAGGCCCAGAATTCTATTTCAAAACAAAATTGCTAAACTGACTTGCCTGCTCCCGTAGCATTACTAGTAGCTTGAATTGCTTCAGTTGTTGTTGACATTTGTGTGGCGGGAAAAGGAAACGTTCCAATTGACTGTGTGGTTCCTTCGGTGTACGGAATCAATGTTGTTGATGATACAGATGAACTAGGTAGATTTGTTGACTGCTCGAAGATAGACTTGGCTTTCGTATGAATTGTAGACGTCGACTGACTCACTGTGCTGGTCACTATGGTCGTCTGTAGGCCTAAATGACATAAAAATATTGTTAATAAGCAGGACAGGAAATGAATGTATCCTTTGAAAAGAATAAAGAAATATTTGTTTAAAAGATCCTGCCTAGATTTGTTTGCATCTTGTCCCTCCCCTATGATATATTGATAGACATTGATTTTGCTTATTTTATATGGGTTACTACTAATCCAGACGTAATTATTTCTTCAAAATTTCCAACGAATAAGTTATAAAGCTTCCATAAGAATAAGCAATTTGGAAAAGGTTTTTGATGGCATAAATGATCTACAAAAAAGGTTATGCCCAAGGTCGTTCACTGTTTAAAGTTTTACCTTTAGTTGATCAAGTGAGAAAAGTAAAAGGGTATTTCTGAATACACGTTATTTGTGAAGCCGAGATACATTAGCTCTAAGATAGGAGGCTGACTTTATGGGAAGGGGGGGGGGGTGGTTAAGCCATTTTGTCCCACACTCCTGGATGCCAAATTTAGCATTGTGACAAATAAAGTATGAAATTACATAAGAATTGTGGAGCAAATCAATGCAGGGATGTAAAGTACAAAGTAGTTAGTTAACTACGTGCCAAAATGTAAAGAAACTTGCTAAAAGAACATAAAATTTGCGGAAATTGCTACTAACTTGGGCGGCATGTAGGACCACTACAAACAAGGCATCCACTTATGCAAGTGCTGAAATACAAAGCGAAGAGATAAAACGTCATATCACTGAATAAAAATCTAGATATCAAACATTTCTGTCAAGAATAGAGCAAAAGTTTTTTAATCCATGTATCTGTAGACAGACCTCACATCACGAGTTTCCTATAGCATTTTACATAAAATGTAGTCATTGAAGGATAATAAAGTATATATCTATCTTTCAATCAATTCTATCGATAATCGCACTGTTCATACTTTAAACGCGACAAATGATGTTAAGAAACTCACTGCTTGCTCGCAGAAGTAAAATGCATGGTAGGTGCGAGGCAACTTATACCATTAACTCCCAATTTATCACTTACTGTAGCATCAAAGATGTTTTTTTGAATCTCTAAAACTACTTTTACCGCAAGAACTCATACTTGTCAAAAGCTGAGGGTAAAATATTTCAAAATAAATTTACCACTGCTGACAGTTTCTGATAACCAACGATCCAGGTGGATGAGCAACGCCATCTTGAATACATGGACACTGATTTGGGTTAACACAGTTGCCTTGATAATTGACTGTACCGTTTGGACAATGGCAGCCTTCGGTGCAGGTTAATGGCATTTGAGGAGTCGGCTTGCAAAGGTTGTCGCAGGTTCTTGCATAACTTGGACCACATGCTACATACTGGCTACCATAATCACACTGCATAGCTGGGTGCAAAGTAAAAACGTAGTTAAAGTTCTTTTGCGTGTATATCATAAAGGTAACCTGCAGGTTTTAGTTTAGTATAAAACCATAATGCATCCCTCGACTGGTTTGGAACTGCTAAATTTTTTCAGCTCTAAAAATAATATTAGAATTTTTCTTAATCTCTATGATGAATACGAGATGCAAAAGTGACTTTTCTTTAAGAAAATTATTATAATACAGTGCCAGAGATATGCAATAAGAGTCTTTTTAACGTGGTACTATCAACACATGCAACAATTACATGGAATATTTTGATTAGATTCTAAAACAATAACCAATTACGAGTCTAGATTTTTTACTTCTCTAAGGATTATGCCGGTCGATGCCTGGGCGTTGTCTTTATTAAATAACATTTATCATCTTATGCTGTAAGTTCTGAGAGACTTCTTTAGAAAAAAGGGTTGCAGTCTTTCCAATATCTTACTTAAAACACACGACCGCATAATTTTATGGGCATCCATTCAGATTAATCATTATGACTATTTTCCAGAGGCTAAAAGAATGAAGCTCTTTCTCTGGCATATATGATTATTGTTGCTCTGTCGATTGATATTACTGTTACCTCTCGGATACAGCAATTATCCAGAATTATAAGAGATGCTTTTTTGTATAGAACAGGACGGTCCTAAGTTGCTACTTCGAATTTCACGCTTAGGGCGATCATCAGGCAACTGTTCCGTTCCATTAAGCAAGAAATTCGGAGTAGCAACTTAGAACCGTCCTATTCTATACAGCAAAAGCGTATACAGCTCTGCCTGTATGGCATTGAACACTTAATGAAAGACCGATCAACAGTAACTTTCAGAATTCTAAGAGAGATATTTACTTCACTTACGACAGAAGTCTTTTGATCGCCATCTGATATGTACTCCTTGTTTACTGCATTCTGATGCATAGGCCGACACTGCAGTGCAGAGACATTCACAGTCACCCCCAAGATCACAAGAGCATGTATCCAAGAAGCATGCATCAAAGTATGGTTTTGGATTCACCGCCTCGTGGCACTGTATAAACGGTTCTTTATTGAGAATATTGCATTGTTTATGTGCCCATGGTGCTCTGTCTTTGTGGAATACGCATGCGTTTGGTGGATCTTGAGCATTGGGGCAATTTTGTTGTGTTGACCAGCTATCACCAAATGATGTTGCCAATACAGATACGTCATTCTCTGGGGTTTGAAAGTCGTCTGCTCTGTCTCCATTGAAATTACCACACAAGCCGCAAGTTTTTCCTGAAAAGAAGGAAAATGATATTTACTAAGAGAAAAATACTGCACACAATACAAAAATATGAAACATTTCAATAATGTAATATTCAATTTTAGCTTCAAAAAAAAGAAAATCTTCAAGAAAAACGTTTTCATAGATTATGTAGACCTGACATGATTCAAAAAAGTGAAAGATGTAATTTAAAAAGCTTTTCGAAAAAAGAATCTAAAAGCAAATGAGCTCACCTTTATATGTTGGACTGAGCGAAACATAGACAGTAGTACCACCATCCCATATCACGGACAATCCGATATCAGTAACAAGTATTGTATATATACCACTGCTGACAATGTCATACTTTGCTGTCATAGTCAGAGCACCGACTTCCGGCTTGGCGGTGATTTCTTTTCCCCTTTCCATTCGCAGAACAGTATCCCCAACTTGAACAGTAATATCCTTTGCGCACGTGACTCCAGTACTACCACAAACAACGTTCTGTGTTTGTACTCGAAAGGTACCATTTCTTCCATTACAGAAGTCTTGCGCCATAACATACTCACACGAGCCTTGAAACATGAACTTTTTGCCATCAAAAGACGTATAGTGAGGATCTCCATATGCCGAACACCAGCCAGCACACTCACTTTTTGTGCAATGCCATTTTGTGTTGTTACAAATGCTTGAAAAAAGTTCGTACAAATGCTTGAATAAAGAGTAAAGCTGATATTTGTGATAAGAAAGTGGTCTTCTAAAGATCTTATCTTCAAGGAGCGCACGCCATTTCAATGATGTTATACTACATATCATATCATAAAGAATAGAAAACAGACAGCAGGAGCAATTTACTTACCACTGATTGCATCCCCATTGAATCTTTGATCCTGGTTGGTAACTTCTTCCATGATGGTGGCACGGGCACTCGGATTCGTGAATACAGCGCTTGATACTATCATCCCAGACCAAAGGGAATTTGCATCGACAACCTGCTGTTGTAACCGAGCCAAGACATGGTAAATGAAGTGTTGTGCATGTTCTTGCACACTCTGTTCCATATGTCATCCATACCTGGTTGGAGGGACACGCTAAACTTTCACAGGTCGTCTCCTGCTCGCATTTAAAGATGCCATCTTTGCACAAACTGCATTGAAAGGACTACATAATTACCTGACAATGCTGGTTAAGGTGTTGCAGTGAATCTGAAATACTGGTTTAAAAGTAAATTATAATGATAAGCTTTTCACATTTGTTACAATCAATCTCGGCTGGCACAGAGTGCTTCAAATGGTTTGCCCATAGCAGCAAAATTTACAAATGCGGCATAGATGTGTAATAATAGTGCTCAAAAGAGATGTTTGAGTAATACAATGGACTCTCTATCAAGAATGAATCAAGAAAAGTTACAAATGGCTCACATACCACCGTAAACAATCCTTGCGGTACAAAATATGGCCTGGCTGATAAACATTAGTCTGATCGTAGCAAGGACATTGATTCTTTGTAACACACAAGCCATATTCATTCAGAAGAGTGCCGTTTGGACAATTGCAGCCTGGTACACAGATCTGAGTGCATGGAAAGCTTCTTGTTAGATCTTTACAATGCCTCGCACAGCCATTACCGCATTCTTGGTAAATAGTTTCACCATCGCATTGGACAACTACATAATATAGCAAGTATAGGCAAATTATCGATACAGAATTTCTTACTCAAATTTTATGTCTGTACGTGGTCTTTTTCAGTAGAGCAGTAGAATGATCGATGGAGCAGTAGAATGATCGATGTAGCAGTAGAATGATCGATGGAGCAGTAAAATGATCGATGGAGCAGTAGAATGATTGATAGAGCAGTAAAATGATCGATGAAGCAGTAGAATGATCGATGGAGCAGTAAAATGATCAATGGAGCAGTAGAATGATTGATGGAGCAGTAAAATGATCGATGGAGCAGTAGAATGATTGATGGAGCAGTAAAATGATCGATGGAGCAGTAGAATGATCGATGGAGCAGTAGAATGATTGATGGAGCAGTAGAATGATCGATAGAGCAGCAAAATGATCGATGGAGCAGTAGAATGACCGATGGAGCAGTAGAATGATCGATGCAGCAGTAGAATGATTGATGGAGTAGTAGAATGATCGATGGAGCAGTAGAATGATTGATGGAGCAGTAAAATGATCGATGGAGCAGTAGAATGATCGATGGAGCAGTAGAATGATCGATGGAGCAGTAGAATGATCGATGGAGCAGTAGAATGATCGATGGAGCAGTAGAATGATCGATGGAGCAGTAGAATGATTGATGGAGTAGTAGAATGATCGATGGAGCAGTAAAATGATCGATGGAGCAGTAGAATGATCGATGGAGCAGTAGAATGATCGATGGAGCAGTAGAATGATCGATGGAGCAGTAGAATGATCGATGGAGTAGTAGAATGA